TCTTTTTGGAACACCGAACAACATTTCTTTCGCTCATGTCACAAGCTCTAACTTGTCATGCAACTCTTCACTGTTGAACATTTCGAACCATCTGACAGCTTCTGACAACTTGAGAGGTTCTCGTCGTAAAAACGATCCTGGAAGAGGAAGACAAAAGTTTTTGTTCGAGATAATTGCGGACTGCCTCCACGCATTCCATTCGGTTCCCATTTTCACGCGAAGCCTTCTTTTGTTTTCTCATCACCTTGAATTTTTGACGTACGCCCAGAATCCCCAAGCGAATTTGACGCTCATCAAAACTAGCGGTGCCAATCAATCGTGTGTGTGCGTGTGCATGTGTCTCTGGGCTCATTGCACACGAATTCTAATTAACCGGCTGTCCGCGCCCACACTCATTCCATTTATGGATGCTTGCTGGTTGTTTTTCGGCTGACTCGTGTCTGTATCGGACCATCATCGAAAAGTCATCTGTTCGCGGCCCTTTTGAATTATGATACGTTCACCGACCGAAATCTGCCGACCCGATTTGATTGCGTCACATTTTTCGGCCCGGCGCGCGTGTGTGCTAACAGGTGTTTTTTTTTATTTTATTTTTATTCGTCTTCCTGCCCAACGACGATTCCATCGACCATGCTGATGATGTTTTCAAATTTTCTTCATCACTTTCGTTCATCGCCTAGACGAACAAGTAAAAGTTGATCAAATGCTTCTTTAGTTCCAATGTTCTCGATTACCGTCAGAATTGCTGTTGTACGTTTTCTTATAAACATGTATTCTAGTTGAATTAAACCTTTTTTTTTTTTTAATTTGAAGAGTCTTTGATTTTTAATTTATTATCCTATGCACATTTCGAAAAACATTTTTTTAACGTGGGATAGGCTAAAGGTGTGCGCCTTTGACCTATCATATGTGGCCCGTAAATCTACACATTTAGTTTCGCTCCAAGACCACTGGCATTGTTTTTTTGTTGGCATTTAGCCAATCTTCCGCAGTTTCGCGACTCCGACATTAATTATTCTTTATGAAATTCGCGACTTGAAGTTTGCTGGGGATTTTCGAGTTTAAGGTCTCACAGCGGATGATTTTGACTGATTTATTTATTCATTGAAACATTGATTTATCTCAGTTTTTTGCCAGGTCTGCCTTAAATGGTCTTGTGGCGATTTTTGTGTGTGTATGTTACAGTAACTACTACAACAAATGATTATTATCTAGTGCGACACTTTAAGAAAGTGTGTTGAGTGTCACACAGCACTTGAGAGCCTTTGTGGTCGCAAAAAAGACACTGGGCACAAACACACACACACACACAAATCGAGCCTCACCTCCTTTTCCATCTTGTTTTTCGCCTATATTTGGACAGGTGATTTCGAATGTGCGCATGCATATATCTAATTAGCTGCCATGATGATCCTCTCCGTCGAACAGGTGTCGTCGCCTCGAGACTGACTTGACTTGAGCTTGTTGATTTTGAAATAAGGCGTTTGTCGATTTTTGCTGTCCGTCCGCGCGGAATTCCCTTTGATGTTGTATGTATATTTTTTTTCGGCGGCCCCGATGACCGAGTGGGTGTCGGCTTACAGTATCAATCGTTGAGGTGCGGCGGTCGTCGCGACAAATTGCATAACGATTAGGTTTCGTGCGAACTCGATACATTCAATCCATCCATTCGTAATCCTCCTTCCTACCCTTCTTTTTTTTTGATGCATCTTCACCGTTATTTGCTTGTTTACCGGAAGAGATTTGATCCCTTGTCGGTGGCGAACCTTTATTTGAACCGGAAACCGGCCACAATATCGGTTTGTAGCTCCTCTTTTCAAATGTTGACTCTTTAAAGATCCTCATCAAAATTGCTACCTCATTCGTCTTCATTCTTTCAAGGACATTGACCCAATTTGCTGTCGACCTATGTTTTTTTTTGTTTTTGCAACTTTTTTCGTCTTACTTTGTTGATACTTCAATTTGCATAGGATTTCGGTTGACCTTATAGAGTATCGAACAATAAAATGAGCATCCGGTGAGTGGGGGGAGGGGGCGTGTCGAGGTGAAGTACCGGATTAACTCACAATGAGCAGCATCAGCATATGGCCGTACTAGGCTAGATCATTACGGCCATTGTCAGCTTTTGGCTTTGTTCCAATATGGTCTTCCTCGACGTAAGATCTACATTAAAAAAAAATAACTAAAAAATGATTTTTTGTTTCATCGTCTAATAAAAATTTTATAAGCTTCTTTAAAAAATTAATTTTTGTTGCATCGTCAATTACATTTCCAATTGATGTTTTGTTGTTTCTTGAATGTTGTCATTTGATATGTCTCAATTTCAAGAAGAGTTTCTGTCGTGCACCTTTTTCTCAATCCCGATTTTCAGTCATTTGTGGCGTAAAAAAATAAAGCATTTTTTCTTCTTGATGATGAGAAGACGGTGTCGAATTTCCGCCCAATTCAGCTATATTTGAACGCCTTTGTGTGTGTGTTTATGTTCGATTCCGCCCGACGATTTGGGGATATGCAAATTTTACGATGCCTTTCGTCGGCGGCTTTCAATCATTATGAAATGTGCGAAATGCGCGAAAATCCTCAATTTCTCCTCTGAAACACGCCAATTTCGTATAGCTTCAAAATTATCGTCGCTTCAAGACGCTGCTCGAAATTTGTTGAAAAATTCTCTTCAATCGTCTAGAGGAATTATGCGTAATGCTCTTTTAATCGGGATACGAGGGTTATAAGAAAAAAAAAAAGAAACGTCTTCTTCAATTAATTATATCAAAACGGTAAATCATTTTTGAAAGCTCTTCATTAATTTTTTCCATCTGCGGACAATGTCACGGTTACCCAACCCATTGAGAGAGCCCTCTTGATTTTTTCATCTTGGCGCCCAATTTTTTTTCTTTCGTCGACGCCGAGCGTGTCGATTCGATTCACCACCCCAAATGGTTGTTGTTATTTGCTCGGACGACGACTCTTCTCGCTGCTGCTCGCGATTCGCGCCTTTTATGGGTTCCGGGTTTGTGTGTTCGTCGCACTCGCGCGCGGGCGCGCCCTCAAAAAACTTTACACCCAAAATATATTTTGTTGCAATGATGAATTGCGGGCCGCCGACGACGACGACGGTGGCGGTTTGCGCGAGCGAACTGTTCGTTTTCCATCAGCTTCATCATTGCCATTTTTTCGCGTCTTTTTTGTTCTCAGTATATCGATTTTTGTTTCTGCCTTCATTCTTTTCTTTATCTATATATATATGTATTCTTCTCGTTTCCGGTTGCTGTTTGCATAATTTATTAGGAATCGTCAGCAGTGACGGACAGACGGGGGTGCTCTCGGAATGTTTGGGACTTTTTGTTTGTGTTCGTTCGCGACCGAGTTCAAAAATTCGTCTGCATTGCGTCGAATAGGTCGAATTTTCTCCAAATTTCCAATTTTTGTATGATAATTTTTCTTCATTTTCAATTTTTTTTTTTGGTATTCGTCTAATATTTTTTTTTGCTGTTTTTCTCTATATTTTCCAAAAAATGGTAGCAAAATATTTTCGGCCTTTTTTTAATTGTACAAAAGTCATCAGCTTTGACACCACTATCTGTTCATAAAAACAACAAAAGTGTACGCACCTGTTTTTATAAAAATTAATTATTTTGGGAAAAATAGAGCAGAATTATCCCAATTTTTCATCTGAAATCGTAATTTCGCTTATTTTTGACACTTTTAATGATTGAAGAATTTTAGATCTATTTTAGAGAAAAAATTGAAAATTCTAAATCTTAGTAAATTTCTATAATTGAAATATCAACTTTATTTCTCTTTTTTTTTAATGTTTGCTAGAAATTCTATTCGAATGGTACTTGTCGAAAAAAAATGAGAGCAAGAATTGAGGAATTCGAGATGAATGCTCGGATTGGGTCGAGAATCGAGTGTTGAAATATTGGCATATTTTTCGCTTCTTCTTCTTCGTCTTCTTTTTTTTCTCGCCTATTTTTCATGTTTGTCGGCACTCTTGCAATTCTCAATGGAACACCACGAAAGCGGCCGACTCTTGAATCGAATTGGTTTGCGAATGCACAAGGTCGGCTAACAGAAATTCATTTCGCCAAAAAAAACGAGCGAATTGTGCCAAAATGTCCTTCAGACGCGATGAGTCGTTTTTTTTTTCGCTTTTACCCTTGAATTCACATTTATTATATGTATATATGTAATCGAGAGATTTGACGTTTTTTTTATCATATTGAAACCGAAATTTCGAATATTTGGTAATCTTGAAAATTATGCGTTTTTTGTTTCGACCTTGAACATTTTTCAGTCTTTTTTCAATTCAAGAACCCTTCAAGTGGAGGTTAATTACCATACAAGATCATTACCGTACTCGATGTTCTCCTCAAATTTTTTCCTCTCTCTCTCTCTCTCGAGAAACCATCATTATCTCGGTGATTGTTTGACCTCTAGCCCGAAAGTTGTAACTCTAATTAGGAAAAGTGAATGTGAAGAAAAAAGGAAAAACCGCAAACTTGTTCGGGGGTTTCTGTTTCGCTTATTATGCATATTACTGTAAACCACCTCTATTCATTTTTTTTTCAATCGCCTCCATCTCCCGCTTGCGTATTTTTATATATTTGGTTTTTGCTTTGTCAAGTTTGCCGCCGTCGTTTTCCATCATCTTCTCTCGTTATTTTTTTTTGCATAGGTCACTTCCGATTACTCACCATCTCGCCTGTCGATTTGTTTAGATTGTTAGTGCTTCTTCCACCGTTTTTTTGTCGCCACTTTCCCATTTTTGGTAGTTCTTTTTTTCTGTTCGGTCCTGCGACTATCTGTGCAGCAATAATTTTTTTTGACCATCTTGCTCTTCGCGTTGCTCATGCTCATTTAAAATAAGATCCATTCGTAGTTGTTGATTGTTGCTCGCTTTCAGATACGACAAATCGCCCTTATCCCGAATGTTGGGCGTTTGAAAAAAAAATTCACGAATCTGATCATCATCGACTTTGGGGGGTTTTTTGAAGCGAACAATGCCGCTTGTTCGCAATTACGATTATGATTATGTCGATGCACCGCGACGATATTACGCGACTCGCCGCAATTTTCTCAACTCGACGATCCATGATCCGACGGACTTCGAGGCTGACGATTCGCTGGATTTGAACGCGAACGATGTGAAAAAGAAGAAAAAATGGAAGGATCTTTTTCGAAGATCGTCGCGAAAAGACAAAGAGAATCGCAATCATGTGGTCTCGTCGCGAAGTCTATCGTCGGTCTCATTCCGAAGCGAGAAGCCTGAACGGAGTCGTCGACGCGAGTCGGGATCGCTGTCGAGATATCGAACCTCGGAAGAATCGTCGTCGACGGCAACCACGGATTACGAGGAGATGACACCGGCACCTTCCTATGTCATCTATCCGGCCTCGTCGTTTGTCCGCAGATATGCGACGAGGGAAATGATGATGCCGGTGGTTGCGCCAGTGGTTTATTTGGGAACATCGAGAAGGGTTCAGAATGTGGATAAGTCGAGAATCTATCGAAGTCCGACTTATCACTATCATGGTAAATAAATAAAGTGTTGATTGATTTTTTGGTGGTGAAACGAGAAATTGATAGATGGGATGAATAGAATTTGAATGCATGTCCCCATTATAAGGTATAGTTGAATAATTGATTTGAATAATTTCAGACGCGTTCGTCAACAGCCACGAATGGACGCTGAGTCGAACGATAAGCGAAATGCGATTGGTAAGTCGATTTGGTCGGTTCGATATTTTTTTTTGGTGCACCTGTCTCCCCCATTTCCCTTTATTGTACATACTGTGTGACACTAATCCATGACACGCAATCAGCCTTCTGCTGTGGCAATTTCATTGAAAAGAAACAATGTTGCGTCATTTTGTGACGAGCTCTCACCGTTAATTGTCGAGTTCCCAACGAGTTTATGCGACGCCAATTTGTTGTAATATGAGTTTGAATAGAATAAGAAATTGTTGAATATTTCAGATTGTGGTATTGTAAGAACTCGATTTCATTGAGATCAAACATTTTGGCGAATTTTTCTCATGAATCGTTTAAGAAATCCCATTTTCAAAAAAATGCATTGCTCCTCATTCTGCTAATTGTTTTTTAAGAGTACTTTTAAAAAAAGGGTCAGTCTTCTTAAGTGATGTCGTCCAGCTCGTTACCTCTTGCCACTTTATCCCCATTGTATCCAATTAGTTAAGTGTTTCTTGCATCGTTATTTAATAAGCAGTTTGACATTAGTAGTAGTAGTAGTAGTAGCACGTGCTGCTGCCGATGCTCCTTCTGCTCGTTCATCCACCTCGACAACCTCGTTCTCGTTGTCGTTTATGACATCATCATAATCATGCGTTGAATCGAAAAAAATGGAGGGGGGGGGGGGAATGGTGGGGTTGATGATTGGGCAATCGCACCTGATACGATCTTGGGATTATCGACCGCCAAAATCTGAGGTGCGACGAGCGGAAATTGAGCAATCAAAAGTTATTAAGATTTAATGGGTCGATAGGAGTGCGTCATTAATGGTCCCATAACTATCAGCAGGAAACTGCCATTTTTCTGCTGATGGCCGTTTGGTGGCTCTTAATTGGTTTTTTGGCAATTTTTTCGCGATGCGCCTTTAAAGTGTCGATATTTTTGTAGGTAGTTTCAAATGTTTGATATTACATTCACCAAAAAGAAATGAGCTGATTTGCGATGGGCTTGCTTCGCCGTAGGCTTTCCGAAATTCCACTGTCTCAATTCAAATTTGAATTGCCTCCTCGAAAGAGAGTGTCATGGTCCACAATTATGCAAGGTGCTTGTTTTCCTGCGATGGTAAAAGATTTTTACCTTCTCTCTCTCTCTCCAATTAACTTGATGTGTAATGTGGTCACCTTTCGACGAATCCATTCCCAAAGAGCCGTCGCGGTTTTATTGCAGCCAGAAAGTCGCATCATAAAATAAATCGGTGGTGGTCTCTTGCTAACTCATCGGCCAATTTGTCAATTATCTGTCTATCGATTTCGGAAAATCTAGACGATTTCGATATATGTAGTTTGATGTTGTGGGTTGTTTTGAGGCGGCGGTAGGTTCAAACGAGTCTCGAATCACAGTGGGAAGTGACACCATACCATTATGACAGTGGAAGGACCCCAATGTGATGTGATGACCGTAGTGCACCAAACATCACATGGCGACGAGCTCACTTAATTATGCCATATGTGGCGACAGACAGGCGTTGCGCAGATTTTGAATTTTTTGTTTTGTGGAACGGTTTTGCCGGAATTTCGGATTTCCGAGTTTTCAATTCGAAATTGCGCAATTTAATTTTGATAATCTTTCCTTATTCGTTTATCGATTTAACTTCACGTCTTCTCTATTGATTTTCAACACTTTTGCAGTCTTCGGACCTTGAATATTTAATTTCCTTCGAATACCAAAACAAAAAATTCGGTATGAAACCGAAAATCATTCGGAGAAGCGCCGAATTTCGTTGAATGCCCGTTATCCGTTGTGATCCAAATGTTCGGCGTCAAACGCGTGTGACAGCGTGTGTTCATCGACATCCATCTGAATTTTTGTTGTGAAACAAGGCCACGCATTATTTCGATGATTTCACACCTTTTTCTCGGCGCCTCCACCCACAACGCGTAGTGTCTCGTCTCCTTGACGATTTGTTGGCAGATGTGCAAGAGCAGCGGGTATGGTCGGTTGGATCGCGTATGCGCGCGCGCGATCTCTCTCTCTATCTCTTTTTGTTACTCATTTGCTTCTTTGCATTGGATACGGTCCCGAGTTACTTTTGTTTTTTTTTTGTTTCGCTTTTTTATAACTGAAATTGTCACTATTGTCGAGATGACCGCTAGAAATGGTTATCGTAGTCTTTGGTTTCTTCGGGTGCCCTTTCATGCACTTCTTGTTACCCCATCGAATCTGAAAATTGAGAAATTCTTACTTTAAGATTGACTAAGTTTGAAAAACGTCGTGTCTTTTAGGCTCGATTACTGATTTCATTTTTGCATTTAATTAGTCCAATTTAATCTTCATTTATTATTCGAAGAAATTCGTCGGCTTATTTGAGCCATCACAAAACGTCTTTGTTCTTCGTATTCTTCTCGAACAAAAGTATCATAATTTGCATAAGTGCTCGAGCCGACAAATAAGGCAACAATGCACTAAATTACGCCATGTTTCCCCCATACTCATCCCCTTTTTCTTCCTCGTCGATTTCCCCAAACACCTCTCTTTTGTGCAAATACCGACATTTTATTGTACCATTCATCTTCTAGGGAATCGTTGGCATACCGACGTCCGGCAAAACGTCTCTTGTTCATCGATATCTAACCGGATCGTATTCGTCAGAGGAGAGTCCCGAAGGTGAGATTTTCATTTGTTAGGCTTGAAATATGAAATCATTCAATTAATTGCCAGAATTGTTAAAAATTTTCGTGAAGTGAATTTGAGATTCCAATGGGAAACCATTGATATGATATCAATGTGATCCAATTTGAATCCGAAAATTGTTTATGATATTGGCGAAAGTGACAAATTGGTGTGCCTCTGCGATGTATCAATGCATCAGTATTTACACTGTTGCATAATAACAGGACCCCGTCTAGGCCCAATTTGGACACTCACTGATTACAAATGTTTGTCTAATAATAATGAGGCGAATGTTTGTATTTGGGTGAGCGATCTTGCGCCACACGTTCGTTCTATAGTTTAAGTATCAATTACACATTCATTCAGTTTTTTTTGAGTCATATTGTCATTTTTAATTTCGAAAAACGTTTCAAATTGTAACAGAAATGGGGTTTTTTTTTTCACGTTTGCTTACTCATTGTTTTTTTTTCGCAGGCGGCCGCTTTAAAAAGGAGGTAATTCTCGAAGGTCAGAGCCATCTGTTGCTCATTCGCGACGAGGGCTCGCAACAGTTGAATGTGCAGTTCTGTCAGTGGGTCGACGCTGTCATTTTTGTGTTCTCCGTGTGCTGCGCGCAAAGTTTCGATAGTATCCGGACGCTTGTCCATGAGATGAACAAATTCCGCAACATCAACGATTTGCCGTTGTTTCTCGTTGGCACGAAGGACAACGTTTCGGAAAAGAAGGGACGCATCATTAGCGAGGACGAAGGACGACAGTTGGCGGCACAAATGAAACGGTATGCGATTTTTGATGTTGAAAAAAAAAACTAGTATTACCGCTGTTTTAAAAAATTGTGGACCATCGCACTTTTTTGAAGCGCTAATCCCAATTTGTATTAAATTCGCAAAAAAAGAGAGCTTGATCTTGATTCTCACACTCTTTAAATTCGAATTTGAATTACCGCTTTGAAAAGGTGCGATGGTCCACAATTATGCAAGACGCTCGTTGTTTCTTTTCGAATGTAGCGTACATAGAAATATTGTAATTTTTCGATTTTTGAAAAATCATTTTCCCGAAGATCTTTGAAGTTCAACTGGATTTTTTTCTATTCTCTTGTGGCAAATTTTGAAAATAAAAAAGTCAGTATCATTTTGACTAACGTCGAAAGTATGAAAAACTCTGAATTTCGATGCTTTAGGTGTACGAGAAATGTTTTAGTACCGAAAAACAAAAAAAAATTCTATATTCAACAAATCAGATAATATTTAAAAGTGATTTTCAGGTGTCATTATTATGAAACGAGCAGCACGTATGGGACAAACGTCGAAAGGGTATTCAAAGACGGTAAGAGGCTCATTCATTTTTCTTGTTCTTTCCTCGATTTTGTTTTGTTGTTATCCGTGAGATCAATTAACACGGTCGTCGATGGGGGCGAATTGTTTGGAGAATACAAACATTGAACGGTGTATTTTCGGACATGCTTGAACGCGCGCAGCCACCGCCCACAACACGCCCGCCGCCACTTGTAATATCGCCCATGGCGGTCGAATAAGCGCCTTTTTGTTTTGAGGTTTTCCGACGATTTTATTATGCATTGCTGAACCATAATACATAGTAAAATTTAAAAAAAAAAGAACCGCGCAACGATTGTTCACAAACACCTTTTGATTTAAAAAAAAATTAGCCATGACTTGACACCGTTTTTTGATTGTAATTTGACACCCAAATCGATATGCGATGCTCGACACATTCCGTCTATCAACAAATTTGGTGTATGGCAAAAGCAGTTTGAGTATAATAAACAAATTGCGCGGCGCTGGCGTTTAATAGTTCAAATTACTCGAAACCGGACACCAATGTGTGTAGCCTTCTTCCTTGTGTTCACAACAGGCATGCGTACGCCTATTCGATTCCGTTAGAATTGACGATTGCAAAAGTTCGACCTTGGTGTGTCGCGGTTGGGCTGATTAGCTGAAATTACATATCCAACCATATTTGACGTTTCGTTTTTGCAGCGTGTTGCAAAATCATTCAGCACCGACTTCTACGCGCCAATTTCGGCTACACGACGGGCGGTGCGCAGACGACGCGAACGCCGACGCCAACGAATCCCGAGAATCGTAAAGACTACCAGGACGCGCGCTACATGTCGTCGGCGGTGTTCGCGGCTCCGGCGGCCATCCGACAACCGGGCGGCTATGCGACGACGTCAGCGTCGCGACGATCCGGCGTCATTCATCATCGCGATACGGCGTCGACATCAGCGATTCGAAGCGGAAGCGAGCGATCAATGTCGGCGATGTTGAACACGCCGTCCTACACGACGTCCTACCGGAACGCCGGCGCCGTCTCGCCATCGAGCAGTCAGAAATCGGTGCATTCCATAACGAATGGCATTCATTCGAGATCATCGGCCGCTCTGATCGACTCGGACATGACATATTCGGTGGATTCGGTGGCTTCTGGAGCGCAACCCCAAACGAGCACATCGCAAGTGTCGGCATCGACGTCGCATCTTCTGTCGTCAACGCCGTCATCGACGCCGAACACACAACGAAAACATCGGAGGATATCGAACATATTTGTAAGTTTTGATTCGAATTACTCGAAGGTGAAAAGTCTGCAAACACTGTGACGCAAAATTGCAATGTTTGCGGGTGGGAAACACGACTCTCTTCTTCGAGCATTATGTTCACATTTTAAAGTTTTTTTTTCTTTCTATTAGGCTCGACCAAGAGATGTTCATGAAGAGAAGACGAAAGCGATTGAGGCGCTGAACCTTGGCGTTGGTCGCGCGATTCCTGTCAAACAGGGTTTGTTGTACAAAAAGAGCACGAAATCGGCTCTGAATCGCGAATGGAAAAAGAAATATGTGTGCCTCTACAACGATGGACGCCTCACTTATCATCAGAATCTCAAAGATTACATGGATAAGACGGTGCACGGCAAGGAGGTGTTTCTCGGCCTGGCGACGGTGAAGGTCTCGGGACGGCAACGGCCGCGGAATACGCAGCGCGTCAGCGCCATTCCACAAGGTGTCGATCCGTCGATTCCGACGCCGTCGAGTGGCAGCGGAACTCCGACGCTGAAAAACTACGAGTCGCGGAGGAGTGATGTCGCCGCGAATTCGGGTGACGGCACGTCTGGCGGCGGATCGGATGATGCGATCAAGGACAATAATCGCACACTGGAGCACTTCACGCCGCCGACGCAGCCGAATACCGTGGCTGGCAATACGAAGAAGAAGCGCGATTCGCATCGGAGGATCGGTTCGAGTGGCAAGAACAATGACGAGGACGACGAGTGTTTTGAGGTGCTTATTCGATTCGATTGAATTCAACTTCATTGGTTTTTTTCGCAATTTTCTATTCTAGATTGTCACACATAATCAGCAGCGATGGGAATTTTGTGCGGGATCCACCGAGGAGCGCGATGAATGGGTGGCGGCGATCGAAGAGCAGATTGAGCTCGCCCTCACGGCGCAGACGAGTCAGCCGACGACGCGAGCCACAGGCAACAAGAATCAGGTAATCTTTGATTTGCCAAAATTAAATGTGTAAAATCTATAATTTTGCAGGTCCAAGCGCTTCGTCAGATACCGGGCAACGAGAAATGTGCCGATTGCGGCCAACCGAATCCCGACTGGGCATCGCTCAATCTCGGCACATTGATTTGCATCGAGTGCTCCGGTATTCATCGGAATCTCGGCTCGCATATTTCGCGAGTTCGATCACTCGAGCTTGACGGATGGCCGGTCGAATATCTCGCCGTGATGCAGTCGATCGGCAACGAGGCTGCAAATCGCATGTGGGAATACAACATCGGCGATGAGAAGAAGCCGACCGGCGACAGTCCCAGAGAGGACAAGGAGAAATGGATCGATCGCAAGTACAAGCAGAAGTGTTTCCTCGAGCTTCTGCCGCGTGACGAATCGCCATGTGCTCAATTGGTCGGAGCCGTGCTGGCTCGCGATGTCGCCAAAACGAGTCTCCTGCTCGCCAATGGTCTTACGAGTGAAGAGGTCAACGCTACAGTATCGGCGAAAGATCGGCGCACCGTTCTGCATTTGGCTTGCAGCATCGGCAGTTTGGAGATTGTCCAACTCTTGCTTTGGGTAATTTTCGCATTCGCTTATCGTAATTATTTCGGTGTGGGATTACAGAATAATGCGGATATTCGGGCGCTTGATGAGAACGGCCGATCGTGTTTGTGGTACGCGCAGAACAATGGATTCGCTGAATGCGTTGAGGTGCTGGTGACCGCCGGACTCGCGCCGGATTATGGTTGTCCGAAGCCGGCGACGAACGGCGGCGGCCATCATACAACGATGATATCGTGCGGCGGCAATATGGCGGAGGTGCGACATTTGCGCGCATTTTGAATTGTTTTCCGAAAACCACGTATTTCAGGGATCGATTTTGGGCTCAATGGCAAACCGCGACTATTCGTACATTGGCGACGAAGTGATCGCGCGTCGCGCTCCGCCGGTTCCTCGACGGAATCTTCAAACTCAGCCGGAGCTCGAAATGATGCCGGCGAGCAGCATTATCTGAGCCTGTCTTCATCATTCCCACATCGAGTCTAGTCAACCTCATAATAATGTATAGAATGCCTATTCCGACAAAGATCTCTCCTCCCAACCCCTTCCCACTCCCCTAATGTTGTTTATTCATCATCATCGACCTGCCTCTGTTGCTGTTTGTTGTTTCGATTCGCTTGGAACATTTCGAAACGGTTCTCTCCGGTGTTTTTGTCCTGAAAACATCACGCACGTTCACGTACAATATCAGATACACAAATTTAAATTTCATTTAATTACGCTGGCTATCCCAATTTTTTAGGTCCAACGAGATTTTTCCTTTTTTGTTTCGTTTTCTCTCTTTTCTTTTGTTTTTATTCGCAGTTTTAAACCACTTATGTGTGTCTAATGGATATTTTCATTAAAATGTATAAAAGTAGGCTGAAATGATAAACGTTTTTTTATTTATGATTATTTTTTGACATTTCAGTGTATTTTCATTGAAAATAAACACCACGATTTTATGAATTCCATAATGAAATGCGAAATAATCCTGCCTTTTCCCTTTTTTCTTTCTTTTTTTTTTGCCCTAACATTTTATCTTATTCTGTTAATTTGTTTATATTACTGCTAAACATCTACATAAAGCTTATTCAATATTTATACCATATTTGTATCTCTCATAGAGAGAAATAAAAAAATGAATTTATTTATTCTGTACTTTCAATACAGAAAAAAATCAAACAGATTAATAAATATATATGTTTTAATATGTAGATGATACGTAAAGTTATTCCAGAAATGATGAAAAGCCAAATTCAAAAATATTGAAGAAGCTTTGAAATTCAACGCACATACAAAATTTAAAGATTAATCATAAATTCATGATATTATTGGCGTCTACTGAAAATTGGCAAAATGCAGAAAAAAACAATGACAGTGGTTTTGGCGCAAAACTAGGTGTAGTTTTACGAGTTTTATCATATACAAATAGGTTTGATTATCAAATAGCCGCAATTTTTTTTATTATCGGCAATTTGATGTCGGAAAAAATCGACGAAACAATAAGGAATGTCCATTGAATAATTTGGGATATCGTGAAAATTCGGAATTTATATTTCGAATTATCGTTGAAGAAATTTAATAGCTGAAATTTCTTTCTGTCGCACAGCCCCCACCGCGCACCGGGACCTGTTGTTAATTTTTTGGCATTGTGAAAAAAAACAAAAAAAAACTTCATAGATAAATTAAAAATTTTCAATCGGGCCATTTTTGTTTTTGGCTTAAGTCAAACACACTAAAGATTTAAAAAAAACCACGAAAAAATTCCAAACGAATCAACGATCGATACATATGTATTACAGTAACTTTATTTGTAGGCGCACCTAGATTTTAAATAATGGTCTCGTCGACATGATTACGGTTGTCAATGAAATCTAATTTCTTCAATTCTCACGAATTTTTATTAAAAACTGATAAAGCGCGTGTTTAATTTTTTATTCATTTAAATACTAAATTTAAACAAATTAATAGCGGGCGAGCAATTGCTCTTTGAAGAAAACAACAAATTTTATATATTTTTTCGTCACTGTTTCGTACGTTGAGTTTGGCTTGTTTATAGAGTAGTTGATTTTTCACTTTTTTTCAGCAATGCTGCTCAAATCAGGACTTGCAATTGTAACTGGCAAGTTTTTTCATTATTTTTTGTAATAGACCATATTAAATATTTCAGGAGGTGGTTCTGGAATCGGCAAGGCGATTTGTGAGAAGTTTGCGGCGAATGGCGCTCGTATAATCGTTGCTGATCTTAAAAAGGAAACTGCTGAGAAGACAATTGACGGGCTTGAAGGGACTGGCCATGTGGCTGTTGGCGTCGACGTCAGTAAAGTATGTGCAATTTAAGAGAGAAATATTTTTTTAACCGGCATTCTTAGATTGATAGTGTGCGAGAATTGGAGAATTTCGTGAAATCTCTCGATGCGACACCGAATGTTCTTGTGAATTGCGCGGGAATCACAAAGGACAAAACGTTGCTGAAAATGCCGCTGAAAAATTGGCAAGACGTGATTGATGTGAACTTGACAAGTATCTTTTTGGCAAGCGAACATTAAATCGAATTCTTTAAAGAAAAAATTACGAAAAATTCAGATGTCGCAGGCGTTTTCGAAATTAGCGGTTGAAAGAGATGCTCAATTATCAATCATTAACATTTCCTCAATTGTTGGAAAGGTTTAGTAAGTCGGTAATCATTTCAATTGTGCAAGATCCAATTGCAGATAGGAAATTACGGACAGACGAATTACGCGGCCACTAAATCCGGCGTCATCGGTTTCACGAAGTCTGCTGCTCGAGAGCTCGCCGCCAAGGTTTTCTATTCATCAGTTCAGAATTTATTGAAGGTTCTTTAGAAAATTCGCGTGAACGCGGTTCTTCCTGGATTCACCACCAGCCCAATGACAAAACTTGTCCCCAAAGAAGTTAGAATTCAACGCTAATTCACTGAGATCATCGAATAATTTAGGTGCTTGATTCTATTATTAATCAAATTCCTGCTCATCGTATGGCTGAACCGCATGAAATTGCCGACGCCGCTCTATTCCTCGCTTCCGACATGTCATCATACGTCACGGGAGCCACTATAGAAGTAACCGGTGGCTACGGAATGTAATAAAATATGAAAAAAAAATAAATAAAGATTTCAATCATTTTCGGAACTTGCGAGATAATCGTTTTAACCGATAATGTATCGAATTTCATTATGTTCTATATGCGCTAATCACTGCAAAATCAAATCGCTTCTTCTGCTATGTCGGTTTTTTCAGGTTCGTTTGAATGATATACCCGTTCTATCTTATGTCTCGCAATTCGGTCGAACTTGATCTCAAGTTGTGATTTCCTACCGATCCCCAAACTCTATCCTTCTTCATTTTTTTACATCCCCTCTAAGATTGGTCTTTCTTCGATATCATCAAGATTGCACTCAAACAAATGACTCCTTTATACATTTTTTTCTCCTCCCACATCCCGTCTACCGTAGTCCAAATGCCCATTCGTTTTTTTTTTCTCGTCATTTAGCGAGGTGGTCGGTCTCCGTTTTTTTGTTCTTCTTCGTTCTCATCTTCAAAATGTTGCCTGGCAGTACCAGTCACCGGCGCACTTCGGCTGCCGCGTGCCCGTCAGCCAATAACTATAAATCTGAAAATGTGCTTGCACTTTTCGCTTTGTCTTGACACTGGCCGAGCGGGGCGGGCGGACGGACGCCGGCGGTGCCACACACGAATTAAACACCACGCGGTTGGGAACGACGACGACGGCGGCGGCGAATGCGAAATGAGGAGGGCAAAGCGAACGAGGACATAAGAACTCGAAGAAGAAGAAGAGGAAAAAACGAGAAGTACGATAAAGAAGAAAGAAAAAATGCCTGTTGGTGGTCGTAAAATCGGCGGGGCCCCCCACACACAAATCAAACCCGACGCAGCGCAAAAAAAGTATCAACGAAACACACACACTATGTACGATCACATTAAACGCGATTGCAAGCATTCCTTGAGGACTCAAACATTAAACGCGCAAGTATTTTATGGCCAATTCGAGAGCTATGAGAGGCGCTTACATCCACTACCGTTTTGATTCTTGACGGGGGAACAACAGAAGGGATTTGCTTATCAGATTAGAAAGCAAATGGGCTTTTGGAAGTCATACGACTATTCGAGAACCATTTGCACTTTGAATTATGCTGGTAATGGGATTCGTTTATGATCTATGCGCGGTGCGAGTCAGCTAGCTAGATGGTATGCAAGAATAAGAAGAGGTGTTTTTACAAAAAAAACCCTATGCACCTTTAATTGGAAAGTGTGAAACGTAAGAATCATTCAATTTTGAGATTTGATATTGTCGGAATCATCGAAAATTAAAAGATAAATTGAAGTTCGCGTGAGATCTGCGGTATTGCATTTTGATCTATTTCCATCGGCAAAAAAAACGAGAAACCGGAGTGCTAAGGGACCATTTTCACGTTATTGACGCGGTAATTCATTTTTTTTCGATTAAAACAGTTTGAATTCGATTTCGGCTAAGCTATGAATCAAATTCACAGACTTTTAATTTATAGGAGCTCGTTTTTCTTTGCGATGTACACCGTTGAGCAATTGGCTTCCAGAAATGGTCTTAAGACGACGAGACGCATGCTGTGTACTCCACACGAACCACTTGACAATGTGGAGTCCCGCCGCGCGTAAATCGACATTTATGTTGCGAAACCCAACTCTACAGTAGACCGTGCCATATATACACCGACAATATAATAATGTGTTCACTTCGGTACGGAAGCTGTGAGTCCTTTTTTTCGGTTTAATCGATTTAGTCATTTCGGTCGGCTGACAGGCCACAGGCAAAAGTTTCGACAGAGCAAGCCGAAATTAGTAAGTTTAATCAAATTTTAAATATATTCCATATACAAACTATTCAATAGCATTCATTTCAAAAATAACTCGTGCAATAGGTATTTTTTTCGAAATCATAGATTCGAGAATTTTCTTTCTTTTATGAAATATCGAATAAAACGTTCACGTGAATTGATTGTATTGTAAACGATTAAAAATCGGCAATATCTATGAAAATACGAATTGCCGAATTCGTCCGATTACGAAAAATTGGCCAAGTGCCAAAAAATGAGGGACAGGTGTTGGCACAAAACTAATTGTAGATTTACGGGCCGGAGGGGTGGTTTAAAGGCGCACAAAGACAATTATTTCATTTTCTAGCGTTTTGCCGATTTTCCGCCGTCGACAATATACGATTTTAATCTCGCCCAATTTTTTTTGACTGCGTATCAAATACATATAAAACTACAGACATCAAAAGCGAATGAAAAAATTTGCTTATTTTGCGGAAACAAACAAAACTGTATTTGGGAGAAACAATGTTTTTTTTTTTAAAATTTCCATCAGTTGCTTGTCTTCCATAATATGCGATTACGAAAATTTTACCAAACGAAAAAAAAGTGGATCGTATTTGTCGAGAAACAACACTACGTGCAAATCATATTCAATTCGTCGGTTTTCACAGAGACCCTCAAAGTTTCACTGGAAAACGACAATATTAAATTCAGTAGGAATTTTCCTCTTAATTTCGCGGCCACTTGAAACACTGTCTCCCTCGTCTTTCTCAATTATACGTTATGCCTAGCATGACGCGCCGTTAAAACTAGACGGTCGTAACACATCATTGCCATTTCATACGGGTTCTGACGTGCCCGGTTAGCTCAGTCGGTAGAGCACCAGACTCTTAATCTGGCTGTCGCGGGTTCGAGCCCCGCATCGGGCTGATGCATTTTTTGTTGCCGTGGTCATTTGTTGACGGTCGGCTTCATTCCTTTTGTTTACCAGAAGCGCCATAACAATCGAATAATTGAAACGAGCGCCGGAATGCGTTGAGTTGGGCGTATCAGCTCGAAGCAGGTGGCTGGCACACCCCAAAAAAAACGAAATTCTCACGCCATTTGCGGTTTGTTGTGCTGCGCCGGCCGGCGCACGGGGTTGCACGAAGAGCCGCGCGTGGACGATGTCCACCCTGACAAACAACACGTTAATTATTTATCAAAATAATATGTAGTCGTTTTTTGTTGTTGTAAAGGCGACAGGCACTCGAATCAAGGGATGAATGGACATCGGTCGCCGTCGGAAAATAGCCGTCGTGAATAATGCATTTGTTAGGACGGCGAACAGTTGGCTCAACGACGAGTTGACCCCGGCATGGGAAACTCGCATTAGCCTCCCAAAAATTGCCATCTGGCTACTAGTATTTTGAGCATTTCTTGACGACGAATCAAGCAGACAAATTATTATCTGAAGTATTCTGATACTCATTAGTCGCCAATGATATTCTACGAAATGCACAAAAAAAGTATTTTATAGCGAAATGACTCATAAAACTGCTATATATGGTTGCGTAATTATTCAGAAGTCGATGAGTTTCTCAAATATGACCGGATGGCTCGAAATTTTGAATTTCGGTTTATTACCATCACAAAAAAATGAGCCCGTTGACAAATTGTGGACCATCGCACTTTTTCGAGGCGGCAATTCAAATTTGAATTTAAGAAGTACTACGGATGACCTGAGAATCAAACTCATCGTATATTGGCACAGGGTGCTCTTTTTTGCGAATTTAATAATTAAGAATTGGAAAATAATGAATTTTCTAAAGGCTTTTGGTAAATTTCTTGCTCGTTTCGCGAGAATTTTTCATATTTTTTCATTGCACTTTTTGTCTCATTATTTAATGTCAAATTTTTGGCATTTCTAATGGAATCGAATTATCGAGGTGAGACCATTTCAAGCCTTTATTTTAGGATTTGTTTGAAACCGAAAATTCGAAAAGTTTCCAAAATGCTTCGGTTTCGATTTATGTGGTAGAATTTTGGGATTGTTGCTGCCGAAAATCGATTTTTTTTTCAGTCGGATGATCCAGCAAAGAAAACGTCTTAAAATAGATAGTTCGCGGTTTTCTTTTGTGTGTGTGTAGGTGAGCGCCTCCTCATTCCTCCAAGGTCGACATCCCAGCCATTTTTTTTTGTATTCATTCTGCGTTTCCTTTCGGTTCAAATCATCGATGCCACCACACACGTTCGTTCAACCAGTTTTTTTTGTCGCAATCGCGAAGAAGAAGTTGAAAAATGTGAGTGCAATACATACAAAAAACCGCTCATGACAGCAAGAAAAAAAAAGTGCAAACTTGCGGGTTCGAACTTTGACATCGGCGTTGCCGAAACGGTTTGATGGTATTGTTTGCTCCGTTGCCGAAACGAGCCGCAGGTCGCTCGCCCCGCGGTGCCAGGCCCATCGAGCGAAACGCGATGGGGGCCAAGGCGACGACCCCACAAGAACATCTGGCCGATTCATTCGGCGCCCATATATGAATGAGAATGAATGACCCAGTTCTCTCATTTTTTTTTTCTTTTGGTTTTGGGCGCAATGTGCCAGGTGTTCGTTTAATGTGCCCGAAGATTTGTGGGGCTTCACCAATGTCGATGAAAACGAAAAACCGGATCCACTCGTTGGCCTTTTTTGAATCGGCTTCCACTGAGAATTGGCAATTAGCCAAAAATCGGTGTCTGTCGCCTTATTTGTTTTTTTTTCGTGATTACTTCCCATCATTGTTTGACCCAATTTTCCGGCGAATTTGGTGTTTTGAACGAACGCCGAATTGACGATGTAGACCTTTGCCTATAGACTCATTTCGGGGAAAGCGAAAAAATGAATTGGCAGCGATTTTGATGGTCTTGAACCGAAAATGATCTTGCTGATCTAGCGAGCTTCTGAATGGAAAATCAAATTCTCGCCGAAAAATTCGAGATCATCGAACTAATCAAAAAATGTAGCAAATTGAAATTGGGCGACCTTGTCGCAGAAAATTTCAAAATCGAATTCAAATCATGACGAGCGCCATCTGCGGTCAAAACGTGCAACACATCTGTTCGAATCGGACGACGACGTTCAGCTTCGTTTTTCTTTTCATTCCGATCATCGACCATCAGCAGAAAGCATAGAAGAATAAGAATGAAAAAAATGGAGAAGAAGAGATGAGACAATTTTGCAACATTCGGCTCGTTGTTTTCATAGTTTGTTCGTTCTTCTCTTCTTTTTTTTCTTGTTCTTCACGGCCGCCGACGTCGGGGCTCACCCCCCCCGAGGAGGAGGACCCCCCCCCCGGCGCGATCTCGCCTCGACGTCTCCCACTTCGCACACTTTTTGATTTCGCGCGCTCGCTCGCGCCGCTTCTCTGCGTCTCGCCTCCGTCCACCACACACTTCACCACTATCTCTCTGTCCGTCTGTACGAGTCTCAGTGTTGTCCGTGGAGTAGGCCACACCCACTATTTTTGCCCCCCCCCTCATTCTACTACTATCAGTTTTTGGGAGGAGGAGGCGCGCACCGCGCTCTCTGTGTTTTTGTGTTGCTTTCTTTTATTTCTGTTGTCATTTCTTGACGAGAGCCCAACAAATTGTTGCGGCGGACATGCTTCGGGGTCCTCCCCCCCCCACGAGTATCTCTTTTTCCAATTTTTTCTTTCGTTTGACCCAACTCGAAATTCTGAGAACCCTTGCCTCTGACGAATTTCAAATTTCTCATATTTCCCGCCATTTCAGTTCTTTGAGAATTTTTGAATTTTTCATGTTCCGTTTTTTTTTGCAAGAATATTTTTTTTTTGCAAAATTTGAATATTTTCGAGAATTCCGCCAAACCCTCAATTGATGTACGCAAACCAGGAAACTATTGAAATGCCCAATTGGGTTGGGGGTGGGCTCGTGCTCAATCCCAAATGTAATCTTGGCTCGAGCGTGGCCCGACGACGTCCGTCTCGCGCTCGCCGGTCCACCTCGACGACCGTCGTCTGCGCGTCACGGTCCTAGACGCTCTCTCTCACCCTCTCTCTCTCTCACTCTCTCTCTCTTGTCGGCGCTCGCTGCAAAAACCGGCGATGGGCGAGTGTGCGTCGCACGTACCCGGCGGTGCCAAGTCGGCGGGTGGTACGCGCCACCCCGGGCGCGCGCCTCGCCTCGAGACAACGAAACAAACGCCGAGACTATGGGCCACCCCTCCCCGATTGAGGAGGGGTGGCGACGGGGGGAGGGGGGGAGGAAGGGGAAGGGTTGAGGGAGGCGACCGACGACGACGCACAACACAAAAAAAACACATAGCGAAACGGCCGAGCGCAAGATGGGAAAAAAAAATTTGTGTGTGCCCCCCCCCATCCCTTCCTCCCTGGTTGAAATAAGCACGCGGCGCGCGTCTGCCTATTTTTTTGCTGCTATTGCGGATTCTCACATTCCCCTTCGTCCATCTCAGAAATTCGTCTTCCATATCTTGATAGTTTGCTTCACGCGTGTCGGGTTTATGAACCGATAGTCGTCGCAACGATAATAATTGTTGTTGCAGGCCGACGGAATCCGATCAAGTGATGGCGCGGACTCTTGACCCGACGAGCAATTCGATATTCGCCCCACCGGCGCAACCGTTCGCCACAAACTGGACACAAGACTCGTGGTATAATGTCTACTCATGGGTCAACTCGCAAGTGTGTATTTGTGTCATTTTTTGGCCTTCCCCCAACGAATCCATTGATTTTGAAATGTGCCTATCACTATTGCTCTAATCTCCTCTAGCGATTTCTCAAATACGTTTCGAATTTGTCATCCACTCAATCTTTACCATTTTCTTATCTACCGACATTCCGCTCAAAACCATTCAAATTGTATATGTGTCATACTGTAACAGTGAGAGAGAGAGCGGGTGAAGAGGTTTGGCGTGAGCGCTCGCGCGCGCGTTCAAATTTTCATTGGTTTTCGAGGTCATCGCTTATTTCGACGTCGCTCGATCATCTCAAAGGCCAGACTTCGTCTTGGCGCCGCGCCAAAGGTCATCGAGAGAGCACGCGATTCGTAGAGTGTCGTTGTCTGTCGTACCAGTTGGTACGAGCCGCTAGCTGCTGTTGATCGGTGCCGCTAGATGTGCTGGCGTTGCACGCCGTACTGGTTTGAATTGTTAAAAGATTCAGGTCATTTTGAGTGTCAGGCATGGCGGCGTCGGCGATGACTAACTCGGTGACGGGGGTCTTTGAAAGATGGGAGATCGGAGGCTGACGATGGAGAAGAAAAAAAAATAATAAGACGCGGAATTAAATCCACTGTTTACTCGCACTTTTCGCCCTGTCCACGCACTTCGATAGGAGTCCTAAAGGGCATGTGCGGCTTGTCGAAAATGACTTTCCAACTTTTTGGCTTCTGACATTCTCTTTCTCTCAAAAAAAAAAACACACACATTAAATGCGAATTTTGATATATGCGCGTATAATGTAACGCATCGATGTCCGCAATGTGTCGTAAAATGGCATGCAACGTGCGCCACCGCAATTTTTATCCTTAAAAAAAGTCGCCTTTTCAATCAAGTTTTATTGAAATTATCAGGTATTCGACGGCGTACACCGTCATTAATGACCAATCTCCCATGCTTCAGTCGTTTTTATGTTCAACTCGTTTCATCCGACCTCGTTCGCACACATAAATTCACTTTTTATTCGATTTTCAAACATCGAATTACACGCGAACGAAAAAAAAAGCTCAATTAGAGATGTTCAAGGTCATTAAGCTTGGCGGCAAGAAAAAAGAAATGAGAGGAGAGGAGTCGAATGAGAGATCACAAAAAATATTTGTAGGTCATTAATTGTTTTGTGAGCGAGCGGCGCTCGTTGGTTTTTGAAGTGTGAGAATAATTAATCGATTTGCACCAAAACCCAAATTACCCACCAAATATTTTGATCTTTCCCTGAATCTGCCGCAATTTTACTCGTTCTCCATCAAATTTTGTAATTTGGATTCTTTTCAGTCAAACGACTCGGAAGGCGGCGAATCGCGTTCATCATCGTCGTCGCAACCGCAAACTTCGCCTCAATCCGGCTCTGGCGGCTTCGATGATCGTGATCATCCCCTACTCTGCGACCGCGACGCACCGAGCAGCCCGTTCGATCGTCTCGAGACCTCGTCACGTCCGTCGCCGTTGTTCTTCAACAATAACAACAACAGCAGCAGCAAAGATGTGTGGCCGAATCCGCTGAGCACTACACAAAACGAGACATCCGACTATGATTTGATCCATGAGCTTCTCAAACTTAACTTGAACACGGCGGCTACTAGCTCGAATCAAGCTGCGCCGGCTCCAGCTCGTCGCTCATCTGCCAATCAACTGTTCTCGTCTTCATCGCCATCGACCTCGTCGCCATGGTCCCTTCCGCCCGACGAGCCGCTCTATCGTCCCGCTCCGGTTGCCAGTCGTCATGCTTATTCATCAACGAACGCCACATGGCAAAGCGGCTCCTCCAACGATTACGACGTCGACATTTTCACGCAGCTCAGCCAGCAGCTCGGAATTGCTCCACAGCCGAAGCCGCAGCAGCCAAGCGGTGTCGACATGACCTATATTATGCAACAGCAGCAGATCGCCGCACAGCAGCAGCAACAGCAACACCTTCAGCAATCGGCTGCTTCGTTTCCGAACAAGTCTACTGTTCAACGCTACAACATATTCATGCAAATGCAAACGAGGATTGATGAGACATCGGAGGAGTACCGACAACTTGAGGTAACGATTGAATTCTGAAACCCCTTTTCAAATGTGTCTTTATTTTAGAAAGAGCGCAAGCAGACTGAAGCAGAACTCGCTCGTCATCATCTCGGCAAGAAGATCTCGTCGTCAAACACATTGCCGATTCCGCGACTCCCAACAGCACCGTCGAAAGTGGATCGTTTGATTGTCGACTTTTTCCGCGAGCACGCGCGCATCAGCACTCTCGTCGCCAAAATGGAGCAGTTGACGATGAGCAGCATGCCGTCGGCGGTTCATCAGACACTTGCCGAGCTTCTTGACGCCATCACAATGCTTCAAACGCATCGCAACGTTGAGCGCAACGTGATTTTGCAGAGATTGCGCGGTGAGACGCCGATTTACGACGACGAGAAAGGTATCGAAAATCTATTTTTTTTTCCTTTCCTCAACTCATATCGTTTCAGAAGCGATGGAATCGTGCCAAATTCTGATGCATGTTCGCCGCGCAGCGACACGTGTCCGCGCTGCCAACTGGTGCTGCCTTATGAACACATTGGGCCCAATCGATGAGACCCAAATGAGTCAACTCGGTCGAATCGTCGCTTCCGATTACACCATCGCGCCGCCGCCAATTCGACCAAGACCCATTAAAATTTAATGAAACAACTCAAATACCCGTATTTCTTAAGTGTTACTACCAATTCAAACCGGTCACTTTTGTTAGCTCTTCCCCACCACTTAAATCATTATCCCACCATACAGCCGCCGCAACAATCCATGTTTTTTTTTTAATTCTGAAGAATTAGGGCCCTCAGGAACCCTGACTATATATGTAATAGCTTACTTAAAACGCGCTTCCTCGTATAAATTGTCGCCGCCCAATCGAAACCAATTATCGTAGCTGGATCTATGAACGCTTACCGGCCTAGCCGATGAATATTTCAATAATCATTTTCTGTAGAAGCTTACCCATTCCCCTGTATATATATATGCACACAGTTTACTCTCAATTGTTAGATTTTGAGCTTGATATTTTTTTTTCAATCCACACGAGCAATTTTTGAACCAATTTTCTAGATTTTAGTTTCACTTATTTCGGATTCATTTTTTTTTCTCCAATCCACTTTTCTACAACGAAATTTATAGAACCAATTTGATAGATGTCTCATTGTATACCTTCGTTCGATTAAGAAAAATGCAAATTGCGGTTGTTATGGATTTTTGTATCCCATCATCTACTACTTCGTATTACATTGTGAGTGTGTGTTATGTTGTATTATTATTACTATTATTATTATTTCTATAATTGAACAACTGATGAAATGAAGTGACCATATTGATTATGAAGAATAACAATTAAATAAAAAAAAATTGCAAAGTTAACTTGAATCTCAAACAATGTGAGTATCGAAATCTTTTCTTTGTATTTGCTAAGTTGTAGGTTTCTGAATTCTCAGAATAATAACATCTGGTATTAAGGGCATTTTTGCATTGTCATTCTTTTCGAAATTTGAGAATACATGAGAATCTCACAGTTATGGATCATAAATATTGGAAAAATCATTTTAGATTATTTTTCAGTTTCAAATTCAGCCATATACTAAAAATGAGTTTTCATCCACTCATTTAAACTTGAATTTAATTACTCGCTGACAATATTAATTGAAAGCCCTGACTTGGAATCAAGTCAATTCCTTCGATCTTGACCTAATTTTGTTCACGATGCCTAAACCCATTCAATAAATGTGAATTCAAGTTTACTTCCATTTTCCCAACAATTCATCAGAACATTTCTTGGAATCGCATCACGTTTTCATTTTTTAGATCTTCGCAAAAAGATAAAATATGCGAAACAAGAATTCTTTTATTACGAAAGATCATTTTCCATCAAAGAACCAAAAGTTTATCGTGATATGGCAGCGGTATTTAAGCCACGCTCATATATTTGCATTCTTTTTTTCTTTTCCATTTTAATTTTCAACATCAATCGACATTTCGATCGCCACCAAATCACTCGACGTTCATTGTAATAATATTTAGTTTATAAGCATTAAAATATATATCCACGTTTATTCTCGCGGCACCAATTTGTATGCCACTCTACGCTCTCTCATTCTTCAACACACACTAATCAACAATTTTTTTTCATTCTCTCAGGAATTATGGCATTTGGCGAGGAAGTTTTACCATATTTGTCCATCACTGCTCTAAGTTCAACTGTTGGCAAGTCAACTCCGATATCTCATTGATCAACTTCGCTCATTTCAGGACTTTTCCTTTGCGGCTTCCAGATATGCTCGCGAATTCAGCAGCGCGGAACGACTGATGGCACAAGTCCAGCGCCATTTCTATTACGTGAGTCTTTTTTTTTATTTCCTCGAATTTTCAAGAACAATGTTTCAGCATTCATCTCATGCGCATTTTTCGTACAATACGGGGTTTTGAAAAACGATAATGTGATAATTACAACAAACTGCGTCGGATTTGCGCTATATTCACTGTATTTATCGTATTTCTATTTAAAAACTCGAAATCGGGTGATCAATATTTCGAAAAACCGCGAATCATTGTGTTATTATAGCGTTTCCTCAACAAAATAATATTTGTTGAATTGATGTTGATCGTTGGAATGGTGTATTATACGACAAGTCTCGAATTACCGCACGAAACAGCACTGACCCATCTAGGGAATGTGTGCATTGTGCTGAATATTGCAAGTATTGGGGCACCGCTTCTAGAAATTGGAAAGGTATTTGAATAAAAGGAAAGGATATAGTTAAAGGGGTTTTTGTATTTTCAGATAATCCGAACGAAAAGCAGCGAATCATTGCCATTGCCCTTGTGCATCGCCTGTTTTCTTGTCAGCATTCAATGGCTTTTCTATGGAATCATTGTCGAGGATTCCGTTATAATAGTAAGAATTTATTGGTTGATTATGACACAAAATGCATGAAAAAAAAACCATGTGAAATGGAAAACCGTTGCAGTTCCCAAATTGCGTGGCGACGTTTATATCGGTGATCCAACTCTCATTGTTTGTGATTTACCCGGCCGCACCGACATATTCGAAATTTCACGATTATTCTCATGAAATTTAAATTTGGGTGTCGGGTACGAGCACCTCTTTGCGTTGCTCGTTTTGCATTTGCTCGGCGAGCTGACGTCGACGGTAGCGGCGTGTTCCCATCACGATTCGCCTCAACTGAAATGTGCAATTTGAATTCTAGTCGATGCCTTTAATATTTTATGTGTATTTTTTCTTGTTATTTTCTTGGTCTCTCAAATCCTCTTGTAAAATTCCCCCTTTTTTCTTGCCTTTCATTGCGAATTTCTTCATATCATAAATATTTACCCGTTTATTCGCGACTTCTTCAGGCTGTGGTGCAGGCTCAGCATCCACTTCCATCATTTCATCGTGAGGTGGAGGTGTCGCTGGAAGTGCCTGCATCGCGTCTCCCTCTGGTTCCACAGCCAGCGTCGCAAACTCGCCACGAAGCTCCGATCCATTTTCGGCCACTTCCATCGGTTCACTGAAAACACGCAAATGACAAATTCGAGAAAAAGCACAATTTGTTACTCATTTTCCGCTAGATCCAGAGCAGGCATTGTAGTTTCTTCCTGATTTGGAAGTCGTCTGAAATCTTGTGTTGAATTCAATGTAAAAAGTAGCGAGATTAATTGTTTCTATGTAATATGTAAAAACGAATTCGAAAAAATCGAATAATCAATTGCGTCTACCATTTTTATAACGCGAAACGAATCTTTTTTCTTGCGTCTTTGATTATTACTGTAATTTTGGTGAATCAAGATCACATAATCGAAAATGACAAGGACGTGACGCTAAAATTTGGAAAATCAGTAACGCCTAATTAAATTCGTCCTTCATCGACAATATGCACCAAAAGGATGGCGTGGTGTGAAGCAGAGTTGGGTGAAAATGCGAATTCCGCCTAACTCTAGCGGGGGGAGAAATACGGCTATATAATATATAAATAGACAGACGTACTGCTATATACATATATATATACTATAGGCTATAGAAAAGAGGTTAGATTTCAGAAGAGGTTCACCGAATAACTGTGCAGCCTACATTTCTTTTTCGCGCCACGTCCGATTATGCGTGGTTTCGGCGTCACCCTCATGAGATGTGTGCTCGACAATTTTTCGCTTTGTTCGATTCGTCGATATTTCGTCGATTTCGACATCAATGTTGCGCGATTGCGACGGCATTGAACCTCGTCTCGGCGTTTTAACTGGTGACGGAGTTTTCGTTGAATTTTCGCCAAATATGCCGCCGTCAACGTCGAAATCATCATCGGGACAACTAGTGGCTAATTGAAGCTCGACGTCGAAACTCGTACTCGATTCAACGGCGATAATAAGTGGCCTAGAGATGAATGTGAAAATATGGCGAATCTTTGGGAAACTCACTTTCCTGGTGTGTCATAATAAAGACAAACTTCCGAGGCGAGATATTCGGCAAAAATCACAACAGCCTGAAAAAAATCCATACGGAAAAAATCCGAATCAAGAAAATACCGAAAATTCTTTCAATGAAAACGATATTTCGGTGGAAAACGTGATGTTATGCCGCGATAATTTCTCAACTGAAATTTTCGTTTCGGTTCGAATTCGTTTCGGATCTTAAAATGGAAAACTATATCGACAAATTAAACGCACATCGCGCAAATACTTCGCATCTCCGTGATATTCATTCTTGTAAGATTCTCGCTTCCGCTGGTTTGGAAATTTTTCAATTGGAGGTATTCTTTCTCGCAGAATAAGGTGACTTCTCCCTCGTTTCGAAGTTGGTTCAGAATTGGGGTTAGAATGCTTAAAATAAACTATTTTTAAAGCCATTAGCTTAAATTTCAAAGAGCTTAACGGGCAGGGTAGCAATATGGAAATTATCATTCCAACCGTTTAAATCGAAATTTGAATTACCGCCACGCAATACTCCCAATTTTTGCGATGACAGTAATTAAGAATTGAATTCAAATATTCTTACGATGCAAACAATACGGTGCAATTCCTATACTGGTTTCGATCATATTTCGGCCTGACAAGGTCCCCAGAAAATTCGAGTAATTTTATATTTATTGTGCGCGTGATATCTTAAATTCGAATAGTGTCACTTGAAGAACCGAATTCTTATTACCATAACTAAGCCCTAACTGCACTCCCATTGTATCCGACTTTGGATCGACGCGAAACTCGCAAGCAAGAAAATTTTTATCGTTTAGATGAATTCCTTTGAACATTGATTGGGCGGCCTGAAAAACGAGTAATTCATTTCTAGCTCATTATCGAAAATATCCACTTTCATTGACATTCGACAAACGTTTACTGCTGACGGATTTATTAGCGATAAATCGCAATCGTTGAAAAATTCAGGCGCAAAACGAAACACGCAATACGCTGATTTGGAGCGATTCAGAACTTTGAGCATTAGCTGAAAATTGATTTCGCGAATTATTCGATAATTATTCGACGACATACTCCACCATCTGTAACTTCCAAATACACATCTTCTGCCATTTTTCCAAGAGCACTGATTGCTTTCGCAAGAACTGCAAAAAAACCTGTCAAATAGGCATTTTAAGCACCTGTTACTTTTCAAATTTGATTGCAAAACGAATTGAGCGCCTTTGAAATCTACCCGATTTCGTTGATGATTTTCTGATGACGACGATGGATTATCCGTGACATTTAACGCTGCCTGCATCCGAAAAACTAGAAAATTTATTATTTTTTATAAAATCAATTTAAATTTCGAATTTAAATTATTGCGCGGACTAGAAAAATTGTGGCCGTGGACGAGTTGGTAAGATTGCTGTAATCTACACGGACTATTCCTTCTTGAAATTTACGGACAATTCAACTTCTAGCGTAATAATCTTGAATTAAAAAATATGTTAAACATGGATTTATTCCTGAATCACATAGTTTTCTAGCCGATATTTGGAAAAATCGTTACTTGAGATATTTCGACGATCTTGTTGGATACGTGTTCGTTAAAAACATATTGTTGATAAATTCATTGACGGTCAAGCAGGGCGGGACGGTAAAAATTTAAGACTGACCTGCCTCATTTCAGGCTTCTCCGCTCTGAGGAAAACTACAAATTTTTTCTAATCTTTTTTGCCGAAAGCGAAAAAATTCACTATTCCGACCGATGAGTTAACAGTATAGCCGAAAATGCGAAATACCTAAGCAGTAGGAATATTCCATCAATATTACGTAATATAATTAAATTATTGACAAATCTTGATTAAACAATGAAAAATAATGATTTTGGTGAACAACAATTTCGCACTTTAATATCTTTGGCTAACGAAACGGCGTTTATATTCGAATAATTCTATTGAGTGTCCTTCCATTAGCATCATACATTCCTCACATAGACACGGAGCAGTTGTCTGTGTAATGTATTGAGAAAATTCATCAATCACATTTCGGCATTTCTTCACAATTTGATGCATTTCGAATTTCTGTGCCAATTTAAGAACTCCTTCGACATTCGTAACTGAAGCGAAACTGATAAAATAAATTGGTAAAAGTATAAAATCTTACATGGAATTGGATAAGCATCTGGAACAATTGCATTTTGAAGCGTCGCAAAATCTAGAAAATCGACATCTTCAAGTTCATATTCGGTAATTGTCGAATCCTTGAGTAATTCACGAAAAACTGGAGAATGAATTGAAAGAAGCTGCAAAATGAATATTTGAAAAATCGCCGAAATATCTCAAAAACGAACCATTCTATTTGAAATCAATTTCCTTCCGCCAATATTCAGAATAATATCTCCAATTTCCTTCAGCCGATCGACAGGCACTTCGAATTTATTGAATGTTTCAATATCAATTTCCAATATTACCTTGTTGTCATCTCTAAAGTTAATTTTAAAAAAATGTTAGAATAAAAATCGCTATTGTGGAAAAATGACGAATGTGAAAAACTGCAGCGACATCCTATGCAATGTGTGCGTACACCGAGTCGCAAATCTCGGTCTTGGCTACAGTAATCTCAATTGAAAATTATTTAATCAATTAATTTTGTTCTGTGTTTTCTTAGCGAATTTATGGTTTTATCTATATTATTGTGTTGAAAAAATGTAATAGTAATCATTATTGTATATTTTCAAAGTTAATTGTTTTTTTATAAAAAGAAACAATCAATAATAAATTAAATAATTTTCAGTTGAGATTACTGTAGCGAGCCAGATGTGCGACTCGGTGTATGCACACAATGCATCGGATATCGCTGCAGTTTTTTACATTCGTCATTTTTTCCACAATATTAATAAATTTCTATATATTTTCTGGATAAAAATCCAGATAAACGTGCAGAAATTCAAAAAACGCTTACCTCAACGATTGTGCAAACGAAGGAATCTCGAACAAATCTACGGTTGGTCTTGATAGCAAAGTTCTGGCAGAAAATTCCATTTCTTTCGAGTATATTCTCTCCTCGATTAATTTTCCTGATTTGTCTTCTAATCTCATGCTCAGCTTTCCCTTTGCTTTGAACGTCTCGAACTCTCTGTTCTTGATTGAAAGCCTGGTTTTCATCGAATCCGAGCTAGCAGACGGAAACACAAAAAGAGCACTCCTGAAAATGAATTTAAGAATCATTTTCAATTAGAAATCAATAATCTTACCAATGCAAATCGGCAATAACAGTTTGAATAGTATGGTATCTGGATGATTTTAGCTCTTTATATGAGGCATTGTCCATTTCAAGTCGAATTTTTCCAGTTTTCAGATTTGAGGGCAGAAAATCATAAGACGAAAGAATATCAGACATATTGGATGATGAATGGGAATGAAGGTGTTATATCTTGCGGTGCAACTTATAATGGATGCTTTATCTGAATGGTTAATACAAACGACAAGCAACGATCAAATGTACAATAATTATAAAACTACAAAAATATATCAGAAACAATTATCACGCTTATTGCGTGTCACAACAACAGATTAAAACTGACACATTATCGAACAAGAACAACATAACATTAAAACACGCCGCCTAACGATAGATCAAATAATCAAAACTCAAAATTTCAATTGCGCGTCAACTCCGGTATGTGTGTATACACCGAGTGCTTACCGTACGCCCCGGATGATAAAGCGAGAATCCTCGTAACATTTCCCCTCATGGAAAAAGTGGATTCGATTCTGATACTGTCCGTGGGATGGCGTGGCGACGGTTTCGTGAAAATGTGACGCTTGGTTATTCTTGTGGATTTTGTTGGTTTGCAGATTTTCTGACGGGTGGCTGTATGCATTCTTCTGTATTAGTGACTTGGGTCGAATCGCACTACGGGCTTCCTTGTTCTTGAGCTTCGGTGTAAAATCTCCTCGTTTGAAGTTCAGGGAGGCTTGAGTATGCCGATCCGCGTGTCTTGTGTAGTCTTCTCCAGTTTTCCTTGGGTTTCCGGGTCCCCACCGGTTTCAACACATACTTTCTGTTGACTACCTAGCGCTTCATAACCAATTGACAATAAACTACTATTCTCAGGGGGCACTAAGCGAGGGAAATTTGATAACATACAATCTTTTGACGACGGCGACGGTGAACTGTTTTCGGCTTGCTGCGATTGATTTTGGTGTTCTTTTCGGTGTTTTGAGTGGTGTGGTCCGGTTGTAAATATCGATCTCGGGGTTCTCGGTGTTACTCTGGACGATTTCATTGCACTCGCGGGGTCTCCTGATTCCAACTGACTTTGCCTCAGAATGTCTTCCGACTTATCTGAAATCATCTCATGAGTTAGCGGTAACATAAAAACCTCCGCCATTGTATCGAACCACTCCTCATCTTGAACATTTACCCGGTTTGGTCTCATTTGGTTCGCATGGAACTTCTTTACTTTACCACTATGGTCTACCAAGTAAATCACTTGTCCTAATACTTTCGTTACTACACCGTCTTCCCAATTCCATCGATTATTCCGGAAAATCTTCACGAAAACCCTATCCTGCACCTGAAAACTCTTTTCTTTGACCCCCTTCCCATCAAAATACTCCTTGATTGATTTCTGTCGAGCCGATATCTCTTTTTTATCTATTTCCTGCTCCGACATCGGTATCAATAAAGTTAATTTGGTCTTCAACTTACGACCCAAATGTGCTTCCGCTGGCGAAACACCACCGATCGTGTCCATTGGCGTTGATCTATAATACATCAAAAACTTGTCTCACAGCTCTTGAGATGGAGTTCCTTCTTCCTTCATTTTCCGTAATCCGCGCTTTAGCGTATCTACAAATCTTTCCGCCTGTCCATTGCTTTGTGGATGGTACGCTGGTGTTCGGATATGTTGAATACCATTTTCAACGCACATATTTCTGAAAGACTCTGAAATAAATTGAGTGCCGTTGTCGGATACAATCGTGTCCGGCTGTCCGTTTGCGGCGAACATTTTTCTCAATAATGCTACAGTGGCGGATGCAGAGATAGATCTTGTGATTGCAACCTCTGGCCATTTTGTAAGTGCATCTATAGCTATAAAATACCACAATCCATTTTCCGGTCCGGCAAAATCAATGTGAATTCTGCTCCACACTCGCCTCGGCTTCGGCCATGGTTCCAATGGTACTTTCAGCGTAGACTTTTGACTTTCCTGACACTTTCTACATCGATTTACGACGTCTGTGCAGTCCTGATCGATTTTCGGCCAATATACACATGTCCTGGCCAGCTGCTTCATCCCCTCGATTCCTGGATGATTCTCATGCAACTGTCTTAATACCTGTTTTCTCAACGAATTTGGAATCACTACTCGTTCCTTCCAAAGCAAACATCCATCTGTAACTGACAAAAATTCTTTTCGTTCGATAAACGGCTTCAAATCTGCTTCGACATCTCTGTTCCTCGGCCATCGACTCGGCAAAACCTCGCAACTTCTGCGCAGACTTTGAAATATATAGGCGTAGATTAAAATGCAAGTCCGCAGAGTTCATGCGGCCGTGATTACACCACGTTTTGAAATTCATAGATTTCAATAAATAGGATCAAAGAAATTCTGTTTATTTAATTTTTCTTGAAAAATTAGTATTTCATTTCAGCGGCCATGTTTGGAAATGAGCGAGTGAAGCATCGAAAAAGAAGCGGGCAGCACATAGGTAACCAATTGTGTGGAAAATATATAGCTATATGCATATTAATATCAATTATTCAGACGCCGTGTTGACTAGTTTTCGTGGTAATTTCGAAAAAAAGTCTCATAAAAGAGATACCAGTTCAAAGATCAGGGATTAAGGGTTAAAAAAAAGTTTCATGAATTACAATTATTAACGCCGGGGGAGGGGACGACTGAATCGAAGCATTCTGAAGCAGTGTTGATTTACGGAATTGTAAATTCAGCGTCGGTTAATTCCGCATCGGACACGCCTCTTTGCCTCGAGACCCCATGACAAATATCCAACGTTTTATTTTTTTTTTAATTTTAGTTTGTTGCCGTTTGACGCCGACAATATCTCACATAATAATCCGCGAGGACTACACAATTTCTTCGGCCATCGCCGAGATTGTTGTAATCCACACGGACAAGATTAGACCAGTTATTGTTTGCTTTGCGTTCCACCGCTTATTCATTCGTATTCCCTGATTAACATTTTGCAATTTTCTTTTTTAAACTTATTTTTACCGAATATCCATTAGTGCGGATCATATGACCACATAACTAACATCTGTTCATTTCTCTTTTCACCAATCAATATAACTTTGCCATATTATTACACTCATTTTAAACTGTCAATTTGTTTCAGAATGCGATTTTTCGCGCAAACATTATTATTCATATTGCTGATTGTGAAAGGTAATTCTCGTTTTATTACTTTTATATTAATCAATAGAGCGATTAAATGATTAATTCATGGAACCAGTTTTTTCGATGACTAATCGAAAGTTATGCGTTGTTCAAATAACAATTTTTTTCGCAGGACTTCAGTTATTGTAAATAAGATTTGGAGTTCTAAAAAATATTTTAAAACAATTGATATATTTTTTATATATTTAAAATTTAAGTTGAAAACCGAACGATTGCTTGCCTTGATGATTGCACATGCGAGAAATCCGATCATGATCCGGTAATCCGATGCGATAGTCTCGGATTGGAACGATTCCCCTTGCCCCATTCCACTCCACTCACAGGATACAACTTTCTAGGTTAGTGATATGCATTTCGGCTCGCTTCTATTGTCAAGGACTTACGAATTTAGGGTACTTTTGCTAATGATAAAAATTTTAACTAGCCGGTCTTATAGTTCTAATATGATATCAAATGGAATTCATAAAAACTAAAGTACTCAAAAACCCATGCAAAAAAACAAATGTCATTATTTTTCTGTTTGAAAGGGCGCATTTCTTGAAAGATATGTATTAATCATGAATATTTCAGCACTGACATGCAACGATCTCTCGGCTATTCCATCGATTAGCCTCATCAAAGCCTCATTTCCGGATCTACAAGGAATCGATGTTCAAGGAAATCCAAAACTCAATTGCACCGAGCTCGAATTTCTGAAAAGCGATATTCCCGTTCTCAGTGATTGCCAGAAGACCGACGCGCCGATTCAATGCGACAATCTCGATAAGAATTGCGACTGGAAGTGTCGATCTTTGAAAAAATTGAAGAAGCTTTGGGAGGAGTTCAAGCAGCTTCTCGACAGAAAAGCGAAAGAATGGGGAGCTGATGAGGTATGTCAAACGATTTAGACGACATGCAGTAATCATCATTTTTTGCAGACGTACGAATCCATCAAATCCTGGTTTGCCAAGCAATTCTCCCAATTTGCGCAAGCCACAGGAATCGACAATTAATTTTTTATCCCACCAACATGCCCAATTGCCTTTAAATTATGGGTTAAAATTCTCGAATTAATCCCTTCTGTGAATTAATCTTGTATTATACGATATGCCTATATAAATTTCAAATTATGCATTTCTCAAAAAATTTAATTATTACTTTAAAAAAGAATAAAAAACCACTTTTATTGGCACTGGGGCTCCGCCGGGTCGATTGCTACTCACACATCTTGCCCACCAAACAGAAACGAAAGGAGATAATATATCTTATGCATATAATTCGCATTGATATCATTTTTGCATTGATTTGATATACAATTTATGCATTTTCTCATATAATCAAATGTCTCCTATTTGCAGCTCAAGTTGCACCTATAAGACTCATTCATGAATTTTTTTTCGAAAATGTATTTTTGATTTCTTGTACAACCCTGCATTGGAAAAATTATTTAAAAATATTTTTTCCATATCAGGAATTTAAAAAATGCATATAAAAGGAATTTTTGTATATTTTTTTAACCATCATCCACCACAGTCTCAACGATGTTCTTTGACGTAAATTAGTAATTCGAATTTGAATTTTCATGCGCTTCTGTTTTTTTTCGTCGTTAGTTTAACATTGATTTAATTTAGTATTTACCATCAACAAAACAATCAACAATAAATCCTAGGCTAAAAATAATTGAATAATTAAATACTAAATTTGATCGATCTTGAGCGTAAATACTTATAGTATTCATTCATATGGTCCCAACCCGATTTTGGCTTCGTACGCTGCTTGAATCCGGGAGCTGGTCCTTCTTCAAGTCTCACGAATATATGGATGTATCTGTAGCGAACCGGATTCCAATCTTCATGAGCATGACGGCGGGCACCTTCAATTTTAACAATATATGAATAATTGGTTGTTTTTTAGTTTTCAAACCTTTGATAATATTTGATTGCACCGGAAAAGCGTCGGCGATATACATTTGCGACGGGAATTCGATATGGAATTCGTCAGCAGCTCGCTGCTTCGCTTTTTTGATCGTTTCCGCTAAGAGTGTGCATCCCTGAAAGTAAAATCATGAAGAATTTCAAAAAAAAAAAATTAAAATTTGCCTTAGTTTGCTGCATTTCCAGTTGTGCCAGAGCTTCATCGACATTCATTTTCCATACTAATTGGCAGGAAGTCCACATTCTCTTCGGCGAAAAATGAACCTAAATCGTTTCTTTCTCTCTTATTTCATTTCGAATTCAGAATCGTTACCGATTGCTTGCAATGAAACACTTCACGCGGTTTTGGTAATCCAGTTTCGGGAACAATGTAGTTTGGAGGCCAGACAACCTAAAACACGGACATGAAATGAATTCTATTTCAAATATATGTGCACCTTATTGTAGTATTCCCATTTTTCCGGAGTCATTCCATAATTTTTCAGCGGATCCGGAAACCCTTCTTCATTGTTCGCCTTCCTGTCGAGCTCCCATTCCGGCGCATAGTAAACCTTCGACGACAACTGCTCATCTTTCTGTAACTTCGCCACTCGAAGCTTCGCACGTTTCTCCCAGATTTGCTCGGCGTTTTCTGAAAAAGAAACAACAAATCGACGAATTTCATTGATTATCGATTAAAAAATAATTTTTAAATATATTAAACACTTTTTCTTTCTTTTGAGCCTGAAATTATTTAACACACTTTCATTTTAGCGCAATCTTTTCAATAAGCTTTCAAATTTTCATGCGCATTTCAAAATTTTTCTGAATTCAAATTCAACTCAGCAGTCTCAATAATGCTTCTTCTGCAGATTCCCACAAAAGTAAAAGCCTTTTCGTGGTCATAGCTAATTAAAATTCGTAATTACTTGTATGTCAATTAATCGATTGAAACTATACCATTTGGTTTTGCTGCCGACAAAAATGCGGCCGATGTTGATACCATTCGGCATATCTCCGAATTACATCGGAATGCAGCTCTCAACATCTAAATATTCTCCCCGATTGAAATAATCCGTTAAACAAGATGATAATGATTCGGCGCTATTAACCTCACAAATAATGTAAAGCCGAAGAGAAAAAAACGAATTTATATACAATTTGGAACACATGACAAAGAAGTCCATAAAACGCCCGAATCAAATAATCTCAAGAGAATTCCAAAAAAAGTTCATTAATAGATCAGTGATCAGATGGGTTTCGTCGAGGTTTCTCCCTTTTGTGCCGCGACCAATGCGGATTCCAACTTCGAGCGATGTCGGCTATGATGGCGGGTTTTGGTACGTTCGCGGCGAACTAAAAAAATCGAACAATTCTTCTTTAAAATTCTTTTCAAATAAAAACCTGGTCGAACCGATTCGAATTTTTCTCCTCTTGGAGGATTTAACGGCTCTTTCGATCCATTATTGCCACCGACAGTTTCATTGATTTCATCGTTGTTCTCCGACGAAATGCTCTCATTTCTAAATAATAATATTCAAAAATTCCAATTTGAATTTATTTCAATGATCATTTTATTTTATTGAGTAGATGAATTTGTTAGTAATTTGCTCAAGCCTCAATGTGAATAAACTTCTCCTAAAGCCTAAATATTCCAAAAAAGCTACGAGTGTCTTGTCGAGCTTCTCACTAACCTTGCACGTCTAGAAGCCTGTCGCCGACTTCGTCGTTCCATGAACTGTTTGACAGCATCCTCGATTTCCTCAAGAATCGGACCGACCACCGGAATACCTTCTCCACCCTGCAAAACCGAATCTCACTCGCCCACTAGGTTCCCACGAAACCATCTCACCTTGGCGACATCTTGCTTGTGCACGATTAGAAGGATGTAGCCGAGAACGAGAGCGACGATGAGTTCAAGTAGCATTGCGAGTTTTTCGTTTTGAATCAAATCGGATTTTCGAACCAGTCAAGTTGTCGAGAATCAAAATAAGCAAAATGATCACAAAAGAAATGAGGGAGGAACAGACGACGAGCCGATTCATCATCGAGATGGAGGAGGAGGAGGAGGAGGTGGATCACGCGTTAAACAAAAATGAAATGATAATTTTTGAAAAAACAACAAAAAGAAAAATCTGACACACGGGACTAAAAATTGAATATTCACCCGCAATTTCGTTTGGAATCACCACAATTTTTGACCTATGAGAATGGGAGATTTCGAGAGAAGATGAAAAGGAATAGATGAGGGGGCAATTGACAAGACAGATTGAAAAAAAAAACACACACACTTATTTGGTAAAGGCGACATGGATTATTTACAGAATATACAAGGGATATCAGTTGAGGGGTGGCTCAGCGGTTTCCGGCTGCGGTTGAGGGCTGTTCGGAACACTACCGGACACTGTTAATGTGCCGCGACCGGAATCAGACGATTGGCGTGAAAATGCATTGCCAAACGCTTCGGCCGTTAGTTTCTCTTCTTTAATTATCTGCAAAACAAAACAAATTGGTTTCAACAAGAATCCGAAAGCAATATTTTTCCAATTTTTTATTTTGAGCATTTTCAAAAATTCTCACTTTGGCTCTTAGATCTCGATACTTTTCACCAGGGAATGCGTCGAGCTTCTGCTTGAATTGTGTTGTTAATTCAGCGCATTCTCTATAAAAAATTGAAAAAAAAATCAATTGCGTCAAAAAAGAAACGAACGTTTCAATTCGGTTGTCCAACACCTGAATTTTAGTGAGCAGTGCGTTTTGTTTTTCGATCAAAAAATTAATATTATCCATGGCTCCTTCCAATGTGAAAATTGCCTGAAAATGCGCATTGATGTAGGCAAATCGAATTCCAGCACTTACTTGATTGCAGACACAATTGACAACAGAGAGAGGCGGTGCCAATTGACCAGATGTATACGCCTCAAACTCACACTTGTCCATTTTCAAGCTTTCATGATTCATATCCTGAACGAATTGAAGTGCACACGAGAGGTTTGTGAAGAAATAAGCTGAAACACATCGAAATTCGATAAATTTCACACGGAATTCGCGAATCTGACCCGATTCTCCGCTCATCACCCGCGTCGGAAGTGCAAAACGACTAATAAATTTGACATTTGATTGAATCAACGGCGGATTTCCGCGCAAAAGCACAAATATCATAATCGGCAAGAATTCGTCGGCCGACGTCGGTGCTCCTAAAATAAATTCGGAAAACAATTTAGGAATGATGAATTCGAGTGGTGGGAAATTACCGCTTTCGCTAAGTGCTTCAAAAATGAAGTGCGAGCAGCGGACGAGACATTCGAGTTTTTCCGATGTCGATCGTTTCGAGTTCACTTCGATCATTTCTCCAATGGCTTCATCCAATTTGTTTCGAACCTGAAGTTAATCAAATCAATTAAAGTGTGGAGGTTTTTTTTTTTCAAAATTCAATTAAATTTTAACAAATTGTAAATTAATCTTCAATTTTCGTGAAACTCGCGGAAAATCGTTTTACTCATTGCTTATAATGTCCAAAACGTTACCGTTTGCTTCTTGAAATCCAGTTTTGTCTCCAAGAATCCAGCCGTAACCCAATGCAGGGATCGTATGCGGTCTTGTAGGGAAACATCAGCAACTTCCTCATCCGAACTACACCAAAAATAATCAGCAATGGAATTCAAAGATATTCAAACCTGGCACAAAACAACTTCGAATAGCAGCTAGTGCAAATGAACTTCTCCACTTCTTCCATAACATCTTGAACGCTAACCGGGCATTCTGAAACTCATCGAACTACTCAAAAATTCATCATTTACAAATCTCACTTTTTTGCGTGAAAAACGGCGAGGCGTTCAATTTGTCAGTAAGATACTGATAGAATCCCTGGACGAGTTCCGACAAATCATCGGGAGCGATTCGAAGCTCGAAAATCTTATTCGCCGCGTGCTTCACCTGTCGCGTCACCTCTTGCACAATCGCCGTCGGCAGATTCGTGACAAGAAAATCGGTAAGGCGCTCTCGTGCCGCTCGCGAATCCGGCGATAGTTCGCGCTTTCTGTAATATTTTTAAAAATTGCCAAAAATCGAAAATTGAGTGGAAAAGCTTCGCACAAATCATGGATGTGTGGAAAATTTCTCTCGGAAAACTTTTCCACCCGGATCTAAAAAAAAATCCGGAAATTTTCGGGAAATGTGCGCTTCGTTTAATTTCTTGCAATAAATTTGACGAAAACTGCATTAGCCCACAAAAACCCAATGTGTTGGTTTGGAAAACCGCATAAATGAACGAAACCGAGGATTAAATGTCGAAAATTATTTTTTCACTGCAGAATGTTTTCATGCTTCCTACATGTACCTTTAAACATCTACAGTAATTCTTGTTTGAATTCACGCAATTTCCCGCACGTACAAATCCATAGAACAATTTTGAAAATGAATGAACAAGTTCAGATTCAGCTTCTTCAAAAACTAAAGGTAACTGCGTTTGAAAGCAACTCTTATAGGTCTATTCATAAAATGTATTTTTTTTTACAAAAAAATGTTTAAAATAAAAAATGTTTTTTTACAACCTTGGAATTTTTTTTAATACATAAAAAAAAATTTTCTAAAAAAAAACTACATTTCTTGAACAATCCCATTAATTTTTATCAATTGATTTAAAATAAAACTTCAAAATTCTACAAAATGTTTCCCTTCCAGAGCAAAATCTCCTCATATTTTTCCACATTCTCTCAATAATTCAAACAACATCCCCACACACAGAAATTAATTAAAAGTAGACTTCTTGCATACAATTAGCATAATTGAACTTTCGTCTCCCGGCTGGCTGATTCATCGATTCCGTCCTTTTTTCTCATTTGAAATGTAAAACCACCAGTGAGAAAAAAAGGAGTGAAACGAAGCACAATGGGAGACGTAGATAAACGATTTCATACAAATTCGATTCGCACATCAAAGTGACAACAAAAATACGCAAAAGAACATCCAATTTTGTACAGGAAAGAAAACAACGAAATGAATACGTGCGATTTGCAACGAATATCAAAATATTCATAGTCAATGATTCTAGAAAAATTTATGAAAGACTTGGGTCAAAATAAAAAAAAGACCAACTACGAACATTTTAACGTTGGAATTTCACATTTCTCATAATGTTGACGATTGAATTTTCAAAAAAAGTCACACTTTTAATTATCAAATTTTCATCGTTCGGTCACGTAAAAATATTGAATACTTAAATTTTTTTGTTCTTAAAATTTCTAATTTTCATATCGAACGCAGAAAAAAATGCAGCAACGAGATTTTTTTTTTAATATTCAGCGCTCTCCCATCGTCGATGCGAAATTCGAGAACTCGTCTGCCCTTGACATCGCGTTGTTTTTTTTGTTTCGGCGAATAACTTTTTTCATTTTTTTCAGCACAACAATTATATCTCATTCAACATTCGTATAGTAGTAAACAAAACTTCCATCCATTTAATTATTGACGACATCAATAATCAAAATAAATAATAAAAAAAAGGGATTACCTTGATGGCGTCGCGATCGGAGACGTCGGCGATTGTGGCAAACTATCTGAAAGCCAATAACGATTTACGTGAGATTAGCAAAAATTAAAAAAAAAGCCAAAACAATTCTTTGGAAACCTACCAATTTCTAACTGAAATCCAACCATTTTCAATAAATTTTCCCGAGATTTTGATGATTTCAATATTGGGATCAAATAATTTCGAAATTTCATGGCAGGCAAAAACAAACGGCAAAAGTGAGACTCTTACTCTTCAAGATACCATCTTTTGAGTGCATTTTGAGTATTTTCGAGAAAAAATTCGCATCTGATTAACGTCATCATGTCTTGTTCGCTACAAATTCAACTAACTGCTACAATTCAAAGATCGGCGACTGTATGGAAATGGATAGATTTATGAAACGCGTAGGAAAGACTAGAATCCTAACAACCAAAAATAAATAAAATTTTCATTCATATCCGTAAATCAACTAAGTTTCTTCGAAGATTTCTACGTATCGTGCATAAATAAATATGGTACAACTTTGGCAGAAATTAAAAATTCGCAAAATTCAAATATCACCTGCCCAAAAAATCGAAAGAGAAGATTATTGAAAATATGTTTTTTTTCTCAAGCATAATAGTATTGTGTAGATTTTACAAAAAAAAACAACAACAAATAGGCTGAAAACTATCAAAAAGCCCTAAAAACCTTATTCAGATAAAAAAAAAAATGCATTTTTTGGTTTTTCAAGTTTTCTTAGCATCATAATTTTTTTGAAGCCATAATTTTTCGTTCAGAATAACAGAATATTAGACAAACCATTCATTCTTGATATCGGCGACAATAATAAATAGTATAGTCGCGAAGAAATACAATTTGAAAATTTTTATTTGGCATAGGCGATCGGCGCGAATCGATCGATTTTGGAACTGGGGAAATAAAAAGAAAAGACATACCAGTGGTGAGCGGCGATTTGAAAATTTTCTTGATGCTCAATGAGCGGCTCTCGTTCGTCGATTTTCGGCGTTCTTGAAACTGATCGAAACTCAATAATGTTCTGCAAAATCGACAAAATCAATCAAGATCATCGCCTAGCGGCGTTCGATACTTATTCTTGGCGAAATCTTGATTTCTTTTCAGGACCACTTGATGAGCTCGCCAACATTTCGAGCATCGATTCTCCCATTGTGGTGTGCCGTAAAACCCGCAACCATTAATGCAGAGCTAAAACGAGCCATGGATTTGATTGAAACAAAACAAAAGAAATTCTCAAAAATTACCAAATCTTTTTCCCTTATTTGCACTTTTATCCTTTTGTTTTCCTCGTCCTCGGCATGTTGCGACATCTGAAAACATTCATTTCAAGACAAATCAATACAATATTTTTGGAAATGAAAGAAAAGATCATAGATCTGCGAACATTGGTGCAGTCCGAATAACATAATTCACCACTCAAGTCCGGCTTTTTTTTCTCGTTGGGAAAATTTAATTTGAAATTGCATTAGATCGGAAAGAGCAAATTCGATGCGGAAATTGGCGATGATATTTTTTCGAAGCGTATGGGCTCACTAATAAATTGTATTTCGGAATCGGAAAAGAAAAAATCCAAAGTTTTGAGAAGAATCATAGAAGCATAAATTGCTTATTCGCAAATGACCAAGCGAAACAATCGAAAAAGGAGCGAGCTGAACGCGAAAAAAAAAGAACGAAGACGAATAGGCGTGGCCTCATTTTTCTTTTTCTTCTTTTTTTTCCCCAAGGCGGGATGTGAGGGCAATCGACGGACCGAGTCGAGAAGGAAGAGGGAGCCGAGAGCTTGTTGCTCAAGTTCATTCCAGGAAAACGATTTATCAATTATTTAGAGTCTCAATTTACATTTTTTTCCCACGATGAAATTTTGAGGAACGAATGATTTGGGCATGCTTTTTTTGCATTTCATGGCCAATAAAATGTTTCATTTTACAGCCAATTGACGAATTTGGCAAAAATTTTGACAGAAACGAAGCAATAATGCTAGTCATGCGAAACAGGACGTTTTTTCTTCATAATGTCAACATTGTGCCGAATATTACGAAATCGGAATTAAACTACAAAAAATATAGAAGACATTTAGGAGGAAGAAAACCAAAAAATTTGTTGAGGAAGCGTTTCGAGACCTATTGAGAAAAAATTGAAACTATTTTTTAAAGTTTTCAGCTTCATTTTTAAATTAACTAAAATATTCTTAAGTAAAATTTAATTTTCAATATAATTTTGGTTTTTTGTCGCCATACGCGAACAAATTCAGCGTTTTGAAGCAAAATTTAACAAAAAAAAAACGATCGGAATACTCGCATATTCATATTTCGTGACATCAAAAAAAGGTGAATGATTCTCGAATTTCATTATAAATTTTGCGTTTTTCACGTCTCTCATGTTTCCGTTTTCGAGAATTTCAGTCAAACTTGCCTAACCGGATGAGAATTGCACCTGATAAGTCCCGTCAACGCCATATTTCGGCGAATTGGCGGTGACTCAAAACAACAAAATGAAAAATCAAAATTGTATTCCATCTTTCTAATTAATTTTGTTATTCATCGCAAAAATTTTTTTTCGCGTCCTCCCTAATAATTAATTTACACAATTGTACTATTCGGACACAACAACGCGTTTTTGTGAACTCGAAGAGCCCGAAAGTGCAGTGACTCACAAGAGTTCAAATATGCTAATATCATAAACCATCGAATAGACTGAAATGGGAAAATTTGTCTAGAAGAAGAATATTTTTGACAAAAGGCAATTTGAAAGCCCTAAATGGCTTTGGAAGGATTATGAGAGAATATGGCGAACAACTCAAAAGAGAACCGAAGAAACTAGTAATTGAGGTAATTTGAGGCGTGTTTGTGCTCAATGAGCACATTTTGAATATCCAAATTTGGAAACTATGTAATTAAAAATTGCATTAAATGCGTTTTTGGACAAACAATTTCCTAGAAGTGTGCCATAAAAACTTTTTTTTTCAACATGAAATGAATAAGTACGCTAAGCGAAGGAAATTTAGTACAATTTGGCAAGTAGGCAAAATTGTGTGTTTCGGGAACAAAAACTCAGTTATGAATGTATATTTTCTTTTCCTTCATTTCTCGTCGCAAAAAATTGGGCGAAAAAAAAAGTGGGGAGTTCCGCAGGGTCACACGGCGTTTTTTTTTTTTTTTGAGGATAAGACGGAAAATGCAAAAAAAACGAAACGTGGACTCGAATAACATGATGAAAACAAAAATATTCACATTTTGAACGAGATTCGAAGCCTTTGAAAAAATGCAAATGACATTTTTTGGGGTCTACTACATAGTAATATTAATTGCATAGCCATCAAGTATACTAAGAAATGAAAAACGAACGCATTCGTACTCTTTCGTTCGACGGCGCCGCCACAGCGCAATAGTGAACAACAAAAACAGCATTTCGCCTGCCGTTGCTGCTGCTTTTAGTCGATGGCTCGCCGAAACCAGACGAGGATTTCCATTTCTTTTTACGCCTCTGGGATTTCTGCGGAATGATATGTACCGCTAAATAATTGCGCTGTTTTTTTTAGTGTTTTTTTTTTTCATTCGGCAGAAAGGAAGTGCGCTTCTGGCGATTTTTCAAGTGCAAATTCGTTTGGTGGAAAATTGCGTCAACAAAAAAGTTAATACATTTGTGATTCTGTTTTTTTTTCATTCAAGATTCATAGATTAGTGCTCAATGCATTATGTGAGACAAAATTCTTTATATTTTTCAGTTATTTCTAAAAACGATGACTTTTCACAACTACGAACCTTGTGAGATGATTTCTGGATTTTTTAAAAATATTAAATGCTTTAAAAGCGTTCTCTAAATTTGATCAGACCAACACTCAAAACAAAATTCGGCAACTTGAATAACAAAAAAAAATGTTTTTACATTTTAATACACTGAAAATGGGAAAGGGGCAAAAAACTGGATGAAAAATAGATACTTCTATAGTCGGAACTATTTTGCATCCATTTTTGTCCTTTTCCCAATTGCAGTGTAATATTAGTTCTGAAATTATATCGAATTATAGCAAGAATTGCATGTTTTCCATATTGTGAAATGTTTTCAAAGAAAATGACACTGAAATTAAAAAAAAAGCGTATACTCAGGATATTCGACTTATGGAGTTTTGAGAAGATTGCATTAAATTTATATATTATACAAACATAAGCAATGACACAATTATATCAGAAAAATTCAATTATTATTATAATTTTAATTAAATTTTTATAGACATAAATACTAGGAACGCGGGGTTTTTAGTTCCCCCAAGGAATTCATTTCCTTCGAGATTATGAGACTAAACCGGATTAGCAGAACAACTGTCTATGTCATTGAAAGGTTTAAATGGTAGACAATTTTTTATTTCCTTTTCGATGTTTGCAAAAAATTGAAATATGTGAAAATAAATGAGGAAACAATATTCTAACTAGTAAAAAATAATGGAAAAATGAGCTGTGCAAACACCATAACGCACGACAGCATGTCGTAGACTTTGATGTTTGCGGCCAGTTGTTGGGGAATTTAATTTTCGAGTTCAAAAAACGGAGTTTTCTTGGGAATACGAATCGAATTAGATTCAAACCATGGGAAATAGTATTGATTTCGTCGAATAGGCTCTTTAAAACGTAAAACTGCTGCGCATTTTTTTTAAATTCTGGAACTAACTATAGACGACAGTTTGTACCTGTTTCGAACTTCTAGTAGATTCCGTAATTCTACTCAAATTAATGAATATTCTAATTTATTAATGAATCTTAAAAAAAATTTTAAATGAAAAAAAAATTTTAAAATGTTCGAAATTGAGCCAATCGTTAAATCAATTGAGACATCCCTTTGAAGCTTATTTCCTTAATTTGATATTTCAAAAAGATTTTTTTCATTAAAATGATTCTAGATTTCAATTTTCGATATTTTTATAATCTCATTCCATCGTTTGTGCTCTAACCAGTGGGTCCATGGCCACACCAGAGATGCTCACATTTCTTACCCAAAGTTACGGCGGATGTCCAACTAATTTGTGGGTGACAGTGCTGCCGGAAAAATGGTGAAGAAACGAAAGCATTCACCTTGAACTTGACCACATTTTCCGAAAACAATATCCGCTTATTTTTGCTCAATATTGCGAAAAATCATTTTCACATCAAAGTGAGTGAATTTTTTTTTAATTACGTGAAAAACAACGTAGCTTCACCAACTCGACACACGTCATACAGGGTGTCATTTAAGTTCCCGCACAACTTTGAAGACGTATATTTCTGAAACTAAAAGTCCAAATCAAACGAGACTCAAAATATTTTTTATCTATAGTATAACAAATATTTATCTATTAACTCTTTTTGATTCGGCCTCCTTTCGCAGCTATGACTTCACGGAAACGCTTCGGGTAGGATGCGACTGTGGTACGCAGGTATTCGATGGAAAGATTGTCCCATTCCGCCAGTAATGTCTTCTTCAGAGCCTCTACACTTGAATGGTGTTTTGCGTTGACCTTCTCCTGCAAGACCCCATCACGGGAAAGTCAAGCGGGTTCAGGTCTGGGGAGCAATCAGGCCATTCGGATGACTTGATGAAGTCGGGAAAATGGGTCTGGCACCACTCCTGAGTAGTTTTGGCAGTGTGGGCGGCTGCTCCGTCATGTTGAAAGATCCATTTCTGCCCACCGAAATGCGTTTGGGTCCAGGGCATCACATGCTTCTCCAAAATGTCCCGAACGTAGACTTCTTTGTTCACTTTCACCCCCTGATCCGCGAAAACCAGGGGGCACTTCCCGGTTGAGCAGATGGCAACGAAAACCATCATGCTGGCAGGATGTGAGGCTGGATGATATGTTCTTCTTTTCTCAGAAGCTTGCTGGGATGTCTGGGCAAGTACTCAATGGTTTTGTGAGTTGAATGCCGTCTCCACAGTGAACAGCTTCTCGTCGGAGAAGACAGTGACGAGGTGTTGTCCAGACCGCGTGCGAGCAAGAAGTCGTTTTGCTTTTTCGAAGCGTCTCTGCTTGCTGACGGCCGATAGAATTGCCGCTTTTTGGACACGATATGGGGTCAGTCCAAGCTTCGTTTTGACAATTTGTTCCATAGCGAAGATGCTCATTCCCATGTCTAACGCCATCTTTCTCATGCTCCTGTGTGGGTTTCGCCTGATCCTCGATTTGACGGCGTTGATCTTCTGAGGAGTGGTTACTGAGACGAGTCTTCCTTGTCTGGGACGGTGACTGGTCGTATTTAGCTCCTTGAAACGTTTGATGGTGTCGCAAACCGTTCTACGAGGCACACCGACCCGTTGAATGATGTCTCTCGAGCTCACATTTTGCTTATGAAGTTCGATAATGGAAGCGCAATGGATGTTAGCCTTCGCCATTTCTCGGAAACACATCCGAATGAGGTGAAACTTGGAAAGTAAGTAAAATATACCTTATTTAACAAAAATAAATTGTATTGGTGCACGAAAAGTGCGACAGCCAAGCTCTTCATGGCGTCAAACTTTTGTGCGGGAACTTAAATGACACCCTGTACAATTATTTCATTTGTTCCCAATTTCATTCAAGCAAGCGGTGAGTTTTTTTGAAATCATATTAATTGACATGTTTTTCAAAAGACTTTAAATGCAATTTAATCGTTCCGTTGATAATATAGAGATGAGGACAACTGCCAACGATAACTTGGTAAAGAACGCAATTATATTGTGATCTCTTTCTACCAAGGACCAATTCGTTTATTCGAATTTGTCAGTATTAAGCCCGCACGAGCGCGATGATCGGTCAAACCACCCGATCTTCGAGAAACGCTTCGCATCGGTGGTCCGAAGGGCCCGACGACTGTAAAGGAGGAAGTCCGTTGGTGGTTGTGTGGTCTAAATAATCTCTTATATTTACGGAATTTAGATATTTTTCTAAAATTAACTCGTTTCAAAACAAAACTAAAACAAAAAAAATATTATGAATCTAAATAATATTTAATTTTTCATGGCGAGTTCCAAATGCGTCGGGAAGCAGCCAAATAGAAGATTGTATCGTTGAAGTGTAATACTGATTTTGGCTTCATTATTTCCCAACTAAAATTTCAGATAACAAAAGCAGATTTTCTGGACTATTTGCCAATAAGACTGGAGATTTGTGCAACTCAATTCACTTTCTTCGATATCTCAGGGTACGTCTTTTTTTTAAAAATAACATCTTTTGGAATTTAAATTCAAAATATTTTGAGCATTGCGCGAATCAGAAATAATTTTCATTTGTGTTTAATTTTTAAACCACCTTTCGTAAAAGTTTTCAATATGGTTCAAAATGATGTTGTTTTATTAATCCGTCTTATGTTTAGGACATCATTTTAGTAAAGATGAAACAAAAAACAATAAAACTTTATATAGATAGCTATAAATGTGCTTTTTTCAGAATCGAAATCGTGTCTTGGAACCTTCTTTTCGAAGAATCCTTCAATAATTTTCAAGTGGAACGAATTTCAAGCGATTTTTTTTAATCTCTGGGTTTTTTTTCTAAAATTTGTTGCCACCATCCCATATAAGCGGATGGTAGGTCAACGCTAGTCTGGTGTCATGTTTTACTAATCGTATAGGTGCCAGGTTTAGATAGGGTTAAAAAAATCACGTCAAGTTTTTGGTCCCCGACTCAAAAGCAATGTCGTGAGTTATAATATTTGTGTTCCCGGCGATGACATCGTTGCTTGAGCCTTACTTCTTTCACGTCTTGCTGAGTCTTGATGTCCTCTCGGCGATCCTAATCGATCGAAGGAATCCGTATTCGAAATTTTTGGAAATTCCATAAAATGAGCTCATCTATTTCAGAAAATGTCACTAAAACGTAACAATTTACTCGTTTTAGTAATATTTGAAAGCATAATTTATTGCTCGGATTATTTTCAAAAATTTTAAATCTGATTTCTCTTTGCGGCTACATGTTGAATATGATAGTGGGTGGCGACCCGGGAGAAGACATGCCACCTACTCCCTATCTAAAGGAAATGGGTAGAATGAATGTTGGTCCCATCTCCGGCCAGTTGCGCCGTCGATGGGCGGAGTCTATCGGCCCGCCCGTAACAGGTGCTTTTGTGGTGCACAACGTGATAGGAGTACGAGAACTATTGTATTGATCAATTGGTGCTTTAACATTTTCTTACCGTGTTCTGATACTTTAGTACAAAGCCGCAGTCTCCTGCTCTTGGCTGGTAGTGAGCAATTTGTTCTTTTCCGGTATAAAGAGATCTGTTTTCACCACTCAAGAAGCTGAGAGGGAAGCCAATGCCCCACCAAGAGAATGCCTGGTCAACTGATCAAAAACAAATAAATTTTGATCCATTCAAATAAATTAATAACCAAAAAACTTAGGCAGGATAGATATACTTCCGGTTTCTCAATTCAGATTCTTATCCGCTTTTCCAAATGTCGACAATGGCATCGTAGAAATGTCTATAAAACAACGCAAACGCGCGTTTTGCACTACCGACTTTTTGATTTTACACAGGAGGCAATTCAACTTAAGAACGTCCAAAAATTTTTCGGCTAGTAACTCAGCGACATTCGTCCTGCGGAAGGACATCACCAGAGTTTTCTTGGTTGTGTCGTATAATCATTGAACATTTGGCCTTTGCAGCTTTATCGATAAGTAGAAAATGCGCATTTTTGTTAATTTATTCCGTTTTAAAAATTTAGCTCTGGGTAACCGGCCACTCTCTTGGTGGCGCACTAGCCTCAATCGGAGCTTCGTGGGTGGTGAAGACTGGACTATTTGAACCGAAAAAAATTAAACTGCTGACAGTTGGACAGCCAAGAACAGGAGATTATGATTATGCATGGTGGCATCAAAAAACGGTACGAGAAATTCAAAAATTCACAAAAAAATGTATATTGGGTTTACATGATCCCACACCTTCCGTTCCAATATGAAAGAGATATCGTAGCTGAAAAATAGTTATAGGGATGTTAGTCTGTTCTGAACTGTTCTGCACTGTTAACTCAAAACCAGTCGGATCCGACAAAATTTAACTCCGGAATCAACGTTATCCAATTGGAAATTCTACGTAACATTGCCAGATCCATTTCGAATCGGTTCCGGCAATTCTACGAACTTGCAGAATTTACAATCGGCTAAAGTTGATACCGGAGACGAATTTTGTCAGATCCAATTGGTTTTGAGTTACCAGAGAAGGAGAGGCACTGCTCGCATGATTTCGAGCTCAATACTGTTGGAATTATAATTACAGCAAGACAACGCAGCATAGTTGTGTACAAAAGTGTGTATAAACTGAAAATCCATTAAATTTAAATTGTTTTATTATTATTATTTCTAACAAAAATTGTTTTAAATTACCAGAAATTAATTTTGAACATTTATTCATGCTTTAGGGCATCCATGGTCACCATAAACTCCCAAATCAGTATTGTAATAATGCATGTGATCATTCCAACTGTAATCCCCTTGTTGATTACTGCAATAGAAGCCGTCGGCTTCATGACAAACATGATATGTCGACCCAATTGTCATATTATTATTATACCTATAATAAACGAATAGATTGAACAGTCGTATGGAATTAGGCGTACCAAATCTCTGTGCGATGATGATACATCTTGTCGTGGTCAATTTCATATTGGAACGGAAGGTGTGGGACCATGTCACGATGATGAACGACACGGTATGAAAACGGGAACTGTAAACCCAAGATACATATTTTTTGTGAATTTTTGAATTTCTCGTACCGTTTTTTGATGCCACCATGCATAATCATAATCTCCTGTTCTTGGCTGTCCAACGGTCAGCAGTTTAATTTTTTTCGGTTCAAATAGTCCAGTCTTCACCACCCACGAAGCTCCGATTGAGGCAAGTGCGCCACCAAGAGAGTGCCCGGTTACCCAGAGCTCATAATCCGGGTACAAGTACTTCAAATTCCTCATTTCCGACTCTAATCCTCCTTTCCAAATGTAGACAAAAGCATCATAGAAGAATGCGAAAATTTCGCCAGAATCAATGAATTTCCGCTTCCCATGGAAATAGTTGACGAATTCTTCGGAAAGCTGAATATCGCCGTCGGTCCCGCGGAATGACATTACTAAAATCTTTTTTGTTCTATCAAAAGCGGTTATCATCGAGCATTGTGTGGCTGAAAAGAGTGAATTTGGGATTCCAGTAATTCATATTTTTTTTTATTCACTTGGAAGCACCGGACTTGGATCGGAGCAATTGACAAAGATGTGTTTCGAGAGTGCCATGGTTGGCCAATGCGTTCTAAATAGTATAATTAAATTGTATTTCGAAAAGGTAATTTCCCCTACTCGAAACATTTTTGCGCCATTTTCATATTTCTGGTAGCTCCAGCACCAAACAGTGGCATCCATTTCGTTCGGGCTTCGTTATCATCATAGGCGTATGCTTCATCTGGAGTCTGCGGGCAATTGATGAGATGCTAATTTATGTTAATTATAATTCTTTTTTTTCAATCTATTTTTTTACGAACTTTAATTGTTGTTGGGCATGGCTGAAAATTGCAGCGGCCAACGGTAGCACAGAAGGTGAACAATTTTTTGATTTTTCACGAATAAAACGAATCACTCACTGATTTCCATTTTGAAGACAGGTTTGACAGTCGTCAGTGCCATGAACGACGTTGAGAAGAAGCGCTGCGAAAATTGCAAGCCGCATTCTTCAGCCCAAAAAATTTGCTTATCGAATTTTTTCGCTGATTATTTATAGCGATCCACTATTTTATATGACTTTTATGCAATAAAGTGCGTACTTGCCACGAAACCCGTAAACCGCATTCTCTGTCTAATCGTCAGCCTGTTCCCCCCTGCGCAGCTTCCTCAACATTTTCAGTCTTAATGTTTCAGTGATAAATCCACCGTGAACTTTCGATTAGTATGGCTGTGGTCAATGTCTAATCACAACCATACTAATCGCTGCGTGGGGTCTAACGCTCACTTCTTCTCGGTGAAATTTTACTCCGTTTTCACGTGATCGGTCCTCACTCTCTCCACGTCTTTCCGGCATTTCTCCGCCGATTCGACCGAGTTCAGGCCGTCATAGAGGTACAACACTACGTTTATTCCCTCCATTCTTCACTATTGTAGTATTTTTGTGAAAATGTATGGTGCTGAAGGCATCCCAAAAGGGAGCACTCTAAACTTGAACACACTCCCTCTCCATTGGAATGCGAGGTATTTCGTCTGTTCCTCTATGCTTCTGTCCTCCAAGCGGAAAACGAACTTTCTGACACTCTCGTTCAACTTTGATAAGTCCGGCACTTTTGAAGTTCCGTAATCTCTTCATATTCGAAGTCCACGTTGGCCATAGCACTTCACACTTCGCATCTATAGCATCGATTCCCATCTCGAACGCGCCTTTTGGCTCCATCATCGAACCTTCTTGGCTTTAGTCCTTCCATTCTCTTCTCCTTCCGTCCTCTTCCCTTCTTCCTTCCTCATCTCTTCCGTAGTCGGGTAGCCTCTTGTAGCTGGATCGTTTCGCGTGGTGTTACCAGGACCGTTCGAAACAGCTTCTCGTATATCACCCGAACTTTTTTTCTGCTTCTGCTCTTATTTCCGATTCAACGCCTTCATTTCTTCTGCCTTTCTTTTGTTCTCGATAAACTCGAATACCGACGTGTCCTCCGCTATGGCCAACACATCATTTCGGTTTTTGAGCTCTATGATTGCCTGCATATTATAATTTATGTATATCTTTTTCAACAACATAACCTTTCCCAAATGCTCTCCCTCCGGCTTATTTTGCCATTTCGAGTAGCGCAATGATCCAGTCGTTAAATTTTGTTTAGTTCTCGAATCCCTTCTTTACAAACGTTCTCTGCCTCGGTCTTCCGCCCTCCTGATCCCATCGAAGCTGCAGGAGTCGTTAGTCAATTCTTTCTACCAACGCACCAACGTCCAATTGCGGCTACATGTTGAATCATGGTGTTCACATCCTCCGTTGACAGAAAAAGCTCCCTTGCCGCTTGTCTTTTGTCGTTGGCAAAAACCGCAAACGTAATGGCGATTTTCCCTATTTTTCTCGCCCGCCCGCCCGCGGTCGCACCGTACTCTTTTGCGATGTGGGAGTCAACTCGTTTGGTGGCCTGCGCCTTTAGACCACACTACTGTATTTTTTGCAATCCGTTTCGCAAAAATTTTCAATGAAATTTTTTTAAAACTTTAAATGCAAATGGACATGGCTTGAACTTGACCACATTTTCCGAAAACAATATCCTCTTATTTTTGCTCAATATTGCGAAAAATCATTTTCACATCAAAGTGAGTGAATTTTTTTAATTACGTGAAAAACAACGTAGCTTCACCAACTCGACACACGTCATACAATTATTTCATTTGTTCCCAATTTTATTCAAGCAAGCGGTGAGTTTTTTTGAAATCATATTAATTTAAATGTTTTTCAAAAGACTTTAAATGCATTTTAATCGTTCGGTAAATAATATATAGAGATGAGGACAACTGCCAACGATAACTTGGTAAAGAACGCAATTATATTGTGATCTGTTTCTACCAAGGACCAATTCGTTTATTCGAATTTGTCAGTATTAAGCCCGCACGAGCGCGATGATCGGTCAAACCACCCGATCTTCGAGAAACGCTTCGCATCGGTGGTCCGAAGGGCCCGACGACTGTAAAGGAGGAAGTCCGTTGGTGGTTGTGTGGTCTAAATAATCTCTTATATTTACGGAATTTAGATATTTTTTTAAAAATTAACTCGTTTCAAAACAAAACTAAAACAAACAAATATTAGGAATCTAAATAATATTTAATTTTTCATGGCGAATTCCAAATGCGTCGAGAAGCAGCCAAATAGAAGATTGTATCGTTGAAGTGTAATATTGATTTTGGCTTCATTATTTCCCAACTAAAATTTCAGATAACAAAAGCAGATTTTCTGGACTATTTGCCAATAAGACTGGAGATTTGTGCAACTCAATTCACTTTCTTCGATATCTCAGGGTACGTCTTTTTTTTAAATAACATCTTTTGGAATTTAAATTCAAAATATTTTGAGCATTGCGCGAATCAGAAATAATTTTCATTTGTGTTTAATTTTTAAACCACCTTTCGCAAAAATTTTCAATATTCCTTCCAACCATATTTGCCTCGGAACGGGTCCAACTGCATAATTTCACCCGACAATTTTCTGTTCAATGTGCTACTTTTCTGGGAAAAAATGCAGAATTTACAAATTTTGAATTTCCACGCGCTATGCTTTTTCTGTAGGTTTCTGTCTGAAACTACTGAAAAAAATTTGTCATGGGTTCAAAATGATGTTGTTTTATTAATCCGTCTTATGTTTAGGACATCATTTTAGTAAAGATGAAACAAAAAACAATAAAACTTTATATAGATAGCGATAAATGTGCTTTTTTCAGAATCGAAATCGTGTCTTGGAACCTTCTTTTCGAAGAATCCTTCAATAATTTTCAAGTGGAACGAATTTCAAGCGATTTTTTTTATCTCTGGGTTTTTTTTTTCGAAAATTTGTTGCCACCATCCCATATAAGCGGATGGTAGGTCAACGCTAGTCTGGTGTCATGTTTTACTAATCGTATAGGTGCCAGGTTTAGATAGGGTTAATAAAATCACGTCAAGTTTTTGGTCCCCGACTCAAAAGCAATGTCGTGAGTTATAATATTTGTGTTCCCCGCGATGACATTGTTGCTTGAGCCTTACTTCTTTCACGTCTTGCTTGGGCGCGGGCTTAGCACCGCGCCATTTGGAATTGTGAGTCTTGAAGTGTGTCCTCTCGGCGACCCTAATCGATCGAAGGAATCCGTATTCGAAATTTTTGAAAATGTCATAAAATGAGCTCATCTATTTTGGAAAATGTCACTAAAACGTAACAATTTACTCGTTTTAGTAATATTTTTAAGTAGTTTATTGCTCGGATTATTTTCAAAAATTTCGAATTCTGATTTCTCTTTAACACATAAAAACTTTCAATCGATATAATTGAAATTAGATTTGAAAACCTGATTTCGATTCAAAAATCCAAAATCGATTAATATTCGATTTAAATTCTCGTGTGCTTCGAAAGTAAACCGCACATAGTGTACGTCGCGACATGCTTCATTTTTAATTGTTTCTGCCTTTATGAGAAATTTTGCGCTTCTTCTAAAAGTCAGGACTAGGAAAATTGAAGTCAATTTCGGTGTATACTATAAAAAACAACGTAAAACATTCATCAATTATTTTTCTGCGTTGTCCCTTTTTCTTGTTTAACAAATACCTAAAATCCATTGACTGCCGAAGATGCCAAAATCCATTTCTTGTTTTCCTTTCAGTTGAATATTAAATAATTTTCGAGCAGCAAAAATTTCCCATTAAAGATCAGGAGGAAATATCTTCGAAAAGCGAAATGAAATCTAATAATGCCGATAAATAAATCAAAGAAATTCGTGATTTTTCGGCGCTACTGTTCAAACTTTCGAACCTTTTCGAACAAATTCTCGAATATTTTTTTCCAGGTTATTCACTGCTTGAGATCTTATCGTTCTTTTGTTTCACAAATTCTGTTTAAAATGGCGCATACAGCATAATATGCCATATATACATGCCATATAAGGCATATATATGTATTATGTAGTATCACTTACTTACTTATTGGAACAATACAGATTATGTAGTATAGTTTAATAATTTTATTAGTTTTTCGTGAGAAAATTTCCATTTTTGAAAAATTTCGGTTCGATCCTTTCGTGGGCGTTTGTAAGCCCTACGCTTCTTCAAAAAAAAAACGCGCGTGGTGCAAACACCATAGCGTACGCCGCCGACTTCAGTGTTTGCGGACTATTCTCGCGTGATTAAATTTTACACTGACCTCGCTCAAAAACCAGTTCTATTCCTACTCTCAACGTGACTTCGTTTTTTTTTTTTTCAAATTTTTTAGCTTCTCTAAGCTAACAAATTTTGATTTTTCAGATGACAGTAAGCGCAAAATTAAACCACGCTGTCACGAACTCGCAGCAAGATGCGTTTGCGATTGCGAGTTCTGGAGGGGTAAAGTTTTTCAACACGGTACCCCTCTCGCTGCTGTCCAGTGTAGATAACGAAGGTAATATTGAGGATATTTTAATTTCGAGCCAATAATTTTGACAATTTTTTTCAGTAACAGGAAACGCGAAAATTGTGGCAATTCTCCATCGCTGCAATCTAATTTGCTTTGTTGGCACCGGAAAATATCCGGCCAATACGGCAATTGTATATTGCACAAAGCGGCGAAGAATTGTGATGGAATACACAATCCCCGGAGGGGAGATACGAAATGTGTTAATGTCGTCAACACGAATAGTATTCCTCCAGGATAAGAGAATTCACATATTTTCGTTCCCAAATCGAAGCAAATTAATCAGGTTTAATTAAAATAGGTGTTCGATATTAAACATTCAAATTCTTATAGGTCCGAAGAAATTCGATATAATCCAACAGGATTGGCCGCAATGAGTGTCGACGAGCTTTTTGGACAACAATTAGTATTTCCCGGATTTAAGGTAACATTATTTTCTGGAAAGTAGCTCGCAAAATTACAATTGTATTTTTCAGCTCGGTTCAATTCGTCTGATGAATTTAAATTCGGTGAATGAGCACGAATCCCTGTCTCCGTGTAATATTGATGCGCATAAGAATGAGATTGCGCAATTGGCAATCAATTCGCAAGGGACACTTCTTGCCACCGGTTCAATTTTGGGAACACTAATCAGGTAAAAATAATAATAATTATTATTATTATTTGAAGAATATCTATGTCATATCTATTTTAGAATATTCGATACTCGCACATTAAAACCATTGACCGAGTTGCGGCGAGGTAATGTTCAGGCGCATCTGCACACTATCGTTTTCTCGCCGTGCTCGTCGTTCCTGGCGGCGGCTAGTGACAAGGGCACTGTGCATATTTGGGGAATTCGGAATGCCAACGTGTCGGCGACGAACGCAATGCTAAAACATGTCGGGATCAAAGGCGACCGCGACATTGCGAATCTCACCATCGAGCCGAGGGTATTGACGATCGCATTTCACAAAGGTAAAACTTTTGTGAATGGCTCGCTTCGAGCTTTATATTCATTTAATCAATATTTCTCTATTGTCAAAACGCCGTCGCTGATTCATGCATTATTCAGGAAACTCGTCGTCACTTCAAACGCTCGTCATCGCCTGCGCAGATGGCTCATTTCATCGCTACACATTCACCACAGAAGGCAATGTTCAACGACAAGCCTACGATATTCTGACATCAGTAGCTAATGATCAGGAATTTTGGGGGAAGTAGAGAGTTCCCCAAATTTGTACATTTTGTAATATATCATGCTTATTCATTGCTTTTGCTTTTCTAACCCAGGGTCAGTCATCAATACTTGTCCACAAAAATGCATTTGAAGTCAAAATTAATCGCCCAGATACTAATCATGTCCTTTGTGTTTTTTTTCTGTTTCTTTCATTCATTTTCTACTTTTTCGTTTTGCCTTTCATACCCCTCCAAATGTACACTTTGTTGATGTTTGCGTTCAATTTGTTATTAGTTGCCTGAATTTATAAAGTCTTCAAAATCAACGAGTTTTTTGGAAAATTTTGTTCGTTGCAATCGTTTTTATTTGGCAAATACTAATGATTTCAGCAATTATCATTTAATTATGGAATATTTACCTAGGGTCTATATTGTATGGTGCATAAAAAGTTTGTGCACTTGAAGCACGTTAAGAAGGCAGCAAATTATCGTATTCCTCCATTAAATGTAAGATTGTGCTTTATTAGAATATGGAAATCGATTTTCGGTGAAATATTTTAAAAGTTCAGTGAATACGTTTTTGAAGTGAACTGCTCGATTTTTTATATAAGCGGATTAAAAAAAAATAAGATTTTACTATTTTTGTTTACAAGGAGGATCGAACAATTAAATCAAAATTTCGAAACAACTGACTAATTATCAATTAATTTGCCTAATCCTATGCTATCACGGAAAATTTCAAAGGCAGCCCTTGCAAAGCTGGTTTCTTGAAGGCAATCTTTGAATTCAGTATTCAATAAAAATATGTGAATCAAATAAAATATGCAGATAGATAATTTCATTGTGTGTTTTTTCCCTTTCAGCCGGTCAACTATTTGGACAAAATGGCGCCAATCAACGGACTACCAGATATTTCAACCGAGGTTCATACAATAATCCGTATTGCTTAACACAATTCGTTTTCAGCAAGCTCAGCGCATTCGCGAGGCATTTCGCGATGAGGTCTCGAAGCGAATGGGAGAATTGCTTCTAAAAGGGCACACAATGCTTGATGAATATTGCCAAACGTGCAGTGTAATTGAGTTTTTCAAAGTGCAAATTGAAATGATTGTAGTTGTAGGGAATTATCATGGAGGATCGGCAGCAACAGCGTCGATGTGTCACGTGCGAGTTGTATGCGGAAAAAACAAATGACGGATCGCGAATTGCGGCGCAGATTCCATTGGGTATTTTTTTTTAAATAATTTTCAAATATTTTCCAACATAATGCATTAATTATTTTTTCTCGAACCAGTCGCAGATTATTCTTTTTACTTTTCACTGAATGACACCTCAAAGAAGAAACAAAAATCTGTAAATTTTTATAATCATGTTTTAATAATTTTTTTCAATTGTGTTATTGTCTAAGTTATGTTTGATGCGCACCCAAATCGAAAATTATTACGGGGACCAACTTGAAGCCGTCTCGAAACGACAAAGTTGAAAATTTGAATTTTATCAGATGCCGAAGATTTGGAGGAGGCTGCTCCTGGATCGATTACACCAAAAGAAGCCCTGATGGATTATTCGCGAAGTGTCGACTACGATGATTACGAGGAAATCGCAAAGAAGCTTAATTCTGATCTACGCAAACCGTCTACTACTAAGAAAGCAGTATTTTCAAAAGAATTCAAAAGCAAAAAGGCGACGAATTCGGCAGTTACGATATCTATCGAAGCGATACAGAAGAAGATGAAGTGGGCTTCTGAGGAATTGAACAATACCACTCATCTTCCGCTCATTTTGGATTTGATTGATGTTATCTCGAAATCGGCACAAGCTTTGAAATCTCTTCAAGAGCTTTAATATTATTATTTAAAATATTTGCATTGTCATGTTGAAAATTTGCTAATTTCAATAAAGTTGATTGATTTTTGAAAAATCATTGTTTTTTTTTGGTTTGGTTTTCCTATTAGATTTTTTATTCAATTTGTTGAAAAAAATTGAAAGAAAATTGTGATTCAGATGATGAGAAAAGTTGATAAACCGAATTTGATATTTCGGAAAGCGAAAATGGCGAGAAAAAGTGTTGAAAAATATGCAGCAAAAAAGTTTTCGAGTTTTTTAGACTGCAAAATATAAAGTGAATTTTCAAGAATTTCCGTTCCTGAAATCGCCGGTGTTGCACTATTCGGAATTCATTCGGTTCTAGAAGCATTGAGAGCGAATCGGAGAGAATTCCATAAAGTTTACGTGAAGAAGAATATTGAGTGCGTGATTTCGCGTTGTCAAAAATTTGATTTTTCGAGTAATTTCAGAAAACGAGCAGATTCTGATCCACGAATTGCCGAAATTCTCAGAAAATGCGATGAATTGAATGTGGTGAATGAGTTTTTGAGCGATGATCAACTCGATAGACTCACAGAATTTCAGTTACACAACGTTCGAATTCGACCAAATCGATTTTTTAAAGTTGGAAATAAATTTAGGGATTTTGTATGGATGCTTCTAGCCTCAAATTCCAAGACTATGAGCCGAAACAACTTTCGGTGTTCATTGATCGAGTGCTGGATCCAAGGAATGTTGGTGCAATCGGTCGATCAAGCTGGTTTTTTGGAGCTGACGGGATTTCCTACGCTAAAGGGCAAGGGTAAGTCGAGATTTTAGTATATCAAATATTTGAATCAATGACAGACCTAAATCGATAACACCATCAATGAGCAAATCATCATGTGGAGCTCTCGAACATTTGCCAGTTCAGCGTGTCAAAGATTTCTTCGAATTTCGTGAGGTATGCCAAAAATAAAACACTTAAAACGTTTTAGTATTTAAAAAAAACTACTTTAGAACGTGAAGGATGCCGGTGGAGAAATCGTTGCCACTTGCGATCCCCAATCAGCATTAAAAATTGGTCTCAAAGCGAAAACGATTCGCGAATGGCAACCTCACAGAAATGTTGCAATTGTATTAGGAGACGAGGGAATTGGGATCAACGAGAAGATTTTAGACCTTTGCGATACAGTTGTATCGATATCGCCGGCAAGACCTGATATTTCGAATGTTACCTCGCTAAATGTTTCAGTAGTCGCCGGTAAGAAATACAAGTTTCTCATTTTTTTTTAATTTTAATATTCAGCAATTCTTCTTCAACACATTACCTCGAGTCGAATGCGATGATACAATTGTATATGTATTGTTGTTTGTTCCAAATAAACAGTCTCCAAATGAATTTCTAGCTAATTTTGGTCAAAGGTTTACACACCTGTCCAATCATGCCCCTGTTTTGTATATAATAGGTCATCAGGCGCATGTTCAACGATAATTATGAAATATATCATATTAGTCATATTAATTGGAGCAGCAGAAGCAGCTGGCGAATTGTGTTCGAATGGCGCAAAACCTGGAGATTGTAAGTCAATAGCATCAACGCATTGATTGCTTCAATGGAAAATTCTTTAGCATGTCAACTGATTCCTTCGAGTGGCTATGAATGTAAAGGAAATTCTTCGGCGGCAAAACGCTGGTGCGAAAATTTCAACGGAACTCATAAATGCTGTAATTTTTGTGAAAATTTCTCGAATCGAATTTCAAAAATTCAGGTGAAAAGGCGGTTTCAGTTTGTGCTGACAAAAGCTCACATTGTAGACTGACGAAACATTTGTGTGAAAGTAAAGGTCAATATTTTTTATTAGAATTTCCTGATAATAATTTAAAAAAATTGTTTCAGCGAGTTTCAAATTAATGAAATCGAAATGCGAGTATACATGTGGATTCTGCAACTTATCGACATTTGAAGAAGCTCAACTAACGCGCAATCAAAGCTTCGGGCTTTTCCAGGAATGCGAAGATCCACGAAAATGTGTGTTTCCGAGTAAAAAGCTCGAATTCAATGAGACAATTGCGGTCAATTTGGAATCTAATACGACGAGAGTGGAATCGATTAAAAAAGAATTCAACACCACTACGCCAAAAGTGAGAGTGAACTAGGTGAAACTCGTATTTTTGAAATTTTAGGATGCAATTACCACTCGAAGCTCTCCCTTAACCTCCTCTGCGACAACTTACGATCCGAATGAGTCCTTGAAGACACTTGCCACACGAAAGAGAGAAGAAGAGAAATTGAATATCACAACGACATCGTCTTATGAAGCTCGGAAAGTGAAGCTGGAAGAGCTGATGACAACAACGGATCGTCTTCCGGTTATCACAACCGCCGAATCGACGAGCTCGCTGGCAACATCGCTATCGAAGACAGTGATTCGCGGGACTTGCTTCGACGAATACATCTATTGTCGCGAATTCTCGGCGCTTTGCTCGCATCCAGCATTTTCCGATGTGATGGCCTCGCATTGCTCGTTGACATGTGGAAGGTGCGATGAGATCGAGCGCATCGAGACAGGCAAAGGTAAGCTTCAGCGAAAAACTATCGCGAAGTTCTAATGATCTTTTTTGGCAGAAGATTGCGCCGATATTACACTAGAATGTGCATCGTACACTGATTTGTGCACAAATTCGAAATACAAAGTGCTCATGCAAAAGTATTGCCCGAGATCGTGCGGCCACTGTATTCCAATGTGTCGTGATAGACATAAGAAGTACATTTTTATATATTTCAAATGCTCCTTTAACGATTTATTGAAAATTTAGTTGCAAACAATTCGCTGAAGACGGATTCTGCGAAGATCAAATGTACACAAAGGATGAGATCCAGTATCTCTGCGGTGCCACGTGTAAACTATGCTGATCGATTACAATTATCACCGATTGTGTCCCTATCTGTATATTGTCAAAAAAATAAATAAATAAATAAACGATCAATTCGCGCAGTATTTTTCCGTCGCCAAAACTGGTGTTCGCCTAGTGATTATTTTGCAAATATTTGTCGTTTCGGACAAAAGTGCATTAATAAAATATGATCGCGCCTTTATTTGAAGTCGAACGTACTGTTTCGTTGGGCACCCGATGTCTGTCGTCATGTTCGCTTCACACTTGACCCGTATTTTAGGTGTTTTTCGATTGGGTTAAGTGAATTAGTAAGCGCGCTAGTTATGTAGTCCTTAATTATCATGTGTTTTGCGGGAGTCATTAGACATTACTCGTGAGGTTACTCGATTTACCGAAGAAATGGTTGTGAAACGCGTCCAAGTGGAAAGCGAATTTCATGGATTTGTGAACTTTGAAAACAGAATTAAATCCACACCGTAGGTTTGAAAGTGGTGCATTTTTGCGGTCGATGTATGCACAATTTACTGCACATCACTAATTGTACAGTACTCTGGCAGAGGAAATTTTGGCAAAACAGCCAATTTGCTCTATTGTTTCCACTGTTTCTCCTAAAATTTTTCATATTTTTGCCGATCACAAAAAAACACAATTTTTTCACCCGATAAGCTTTCCGGGATTGTGAAAATAGTGCATACACTGTCACGCAAAAATGCACCGCTCCCACAACTGCGATGTGGATTAAATTGCAAGTCTTTGAGAAATAAGAGTTAACAAGAGTTTTGCTTGCTCGATTTCCAATGACAAGTCCGTATTGATTGGTGAGCGTGTTTGCACACCTGTGAGACATTACAACCAAAAATCTAGCACGCGCTGCCCACACGTACTCGACCTCGAACCCCGCCCATTTTCCTTCAACGGTGTGTCATTGTAGGTCGTGCACCGAACTTTTATTTTCTTCCATTCGCACTAGGCGTGAACTCTCACTATAATAGCAATAATAGTATTTAGTTCAACCGGCGCAAATTCGATAAAAACGCAAGAAATGTACACTTGAATATATATTGGGCATACATTTTCGGATAAAACTAATTTCGAATTTGCGCTTGTCAAACTCGCCGCCTAAAATTGTTCCTTTCTCCGACATTGACTTGATGCGTGTTACTCTTTTTCTTTTTTTTTTTCGAGATCATCAAGTTCATCAATTCCGAAGACTCGATTTGCGTTTTTTTAATCACGTCCGCAATTTGGCGTAATACTCGAAAATTTTGCAAAACTCAAACAATTAAAAAATTGTGTATGCATATATATATATTTTCAGTATTCGCTCTTCAAATTGTGCAACTTTAATTAAATTATTCGTTGGCGTTGGGAGGAAAACTCAAAAATTAAATTGATTTGGTGCGTGTTGTTTGCCGTCGCAACAATCTGCAGCCGCACATTCCTTCGCCCCCCTCCGTCTTTTTTTCCCATGGTGTAACAAATGTTTATATTCATAAAAAATCAAGTAAATATGTTCTGATGAGCTTGAACATATGTTATATTATAATGAAAAACAGCAGAAAATAGATGATCATGCGACTCGCTTGATTCGGCCCGCCTTTGAACATCCCGCAGATTTAGGCAGACGAAGTTGCTTTCGATTTTATCTGCTATCATCCTCATCTCTTCTTTAGCTTTTGCGTCAAGACCCAACACTTAAATGCAGAGAGTTTGCGTCGTCATAAATTTCGATGTGTTCGTGATATTTATTACCAAACGAAATCCCTGAGTAATTGTGGACCATCGTATTTTTTACTGGGGGGGGGGGTGGCGGCAATTCAAAAATTAATTAAAAAAATTATTTAGTGGAAATTTGGGTACCATACAAGGGATAACCTCCGAATTCAACGCATCATAGATTGACGCAGTCATAAATTGAGTTTTGTTTCTTGGCGCGAATTTAACAATCATTTCTTGCACCTTTACTGTGGTTTTATATGACTTATTTATTCCAAGACCAAATCGCCGTGTTTAAATTTTTACGCTTCGCGCCCAACCGAGAGATGTAGAAAATTTTGATTGGCTATGTGCCAAGTGTCTCGAAAGAGAGAGGCTTCCTGATACCGTAAATTTGTGGGTCGGGGTCTCCCATATCAAATCAGCAGTTTCCTTCTGTGTTAAGGCTTCATTTTTTTATAGTCAGCGCCCGGCGTTTCCTCTACGCGGGTAGATTTACGCGCATGCGCCTTGAGAAGGTCTCACCACGTGTAAACGCTTATTTTTGAATATTCACGCGAATTGTTTAGTTTTTTATATCATTTTCTTGAATTATTAATATTATTTTAATTAAAAATTAGCGAAGACACCTCTAAAATGCACAATAATCAGATGGTCCGTGCGAGACCACAGCGAAAGCGCAAACATGGAATCATCACTTTCAGCGTGACAATATAGGTATACAGTGCGCGTCATAATGATACGCCACCCCCAGAATTTCGCACTTTTGAGAAAACCATATAAATTGGTGACGAGACAATTTCATTTTCGAATTCAGGGCCATTAAAAACCTATACACGCGTATTTTCATGAGGGTCCGTTGGTCCGTATCCATACAGCCCGAAAAAGTTGGATTTTCAAGCGCGTCATAATGATACGCCACTCCCTATTTTTTGTCTATTCTTTCGGCATTTGTGCATGTTTCTCGCTGATTTTTTTGTATTTTGTACAGTTTTTCAACAATCTTGTTATTTTATCCATAGAGCGATCGTCCACTTTAGTTTTGGCTTGAAATCGGGCCGAATTCGGTCCTTTGAACGACTTCGTTTTGTTTAAGGACTAAAACGCAAGAAAAAAGTCTAAATAACCATAAGACAACAAGTTTGAACGCGAGAACACAACAAATTCAATAGTTAGTAGTCTCTCCATAGTTTTGGATCACTTCACATGTTCGGTTTCGCATTCTGTCGGTGAGTTCCTTGAGGTATGCAAGTGACCGACTGTTCCATTCCAGTCAAATTGCGGCCTTCAGCTCATAAAAGGTTGGCATTCTGTGTGCGGACAGCCTGACCGATAATTTTTCACTTATTTCTCAAAACTGCGAAATTTTGGGGGTGGCGTATCATTATGACGCGCACTGTATCAAAAAATTAGCGAACATTTTGCTAACCATTACCATTGCAAAAAAATACGAGCACCTTGACAAATTGTGGACCATCGCACTTTTTTGAGGCGGTAATTCAAATTCGAATTTAAACAGTGGGAAGTTCGGGTTCCTGTGGGAATCAAACTCATTGTAAATCGGCACAGAGTGCTCGTTTTTTTTTTCGCGAATATAATAACTATCTCTTCCGCTGGCTTTAATCACAAAGTGTGGTCGCTTGCAAAGAATATATTCGTGCCGTCTCGAATTCAACCCAAATGTTTCAAATGTCGGCATAATTGTAATTATAAATGATTCATAAATGCATAATTCTCGAAATGTCACCACAAATATCGCTCACAATGTTCGATTTGCATCGGCGAAAAAAAAATGTGGAAAAAAACATACACACAACGAAAATACGGACAAAATTGCGGCAACTAGCATAAATCTTCGGCGAAATTTCGCGATGCCTGAAAGCCTTCGCCATTCATCAAAACCTTTTTGCCGTTCAATACTTTATAATCCAGTCTGGCGTTTCGCCATTTGGCGACGCTTCTGTTGGTGGAATTCGCTTCACAATGAATTATCATTCAACCACCCGCCCTCTCCTTCCTTCTTCGTACTCTTCTTCGTAGAATACGCTATTTAATCCCGATTCATTCGTGTTGCGACGAGCAAAAAAAAAAATAGCCATTTAAATCTTGCGGTTACGGTACAAATCACGGTGCACACACACACACTAGAGTTGACGCGCATTTACACTAAGTTGACGAGTTAATTGTTCTAGGCTCCCAAAAAACGTTTTTTTTTCTTACCTTTATTATCTTCTTTTTTGCTCTTCTGCAGGAAGTTCTATTAAGATTGTTATTGTTAATTAATCCATTCTCACAGTCGTCGTAAATTGCTGTCTAATTTATATTTGAAATAAATATCAGTGCGAACGAATTCGTTCTTTACAACAATTCGTATAACTCGAGTTCACTGTTTTTGATATGGTTAGTGGAAATATCGCAAAAAAAACCGAATATATATGTTTGTGAATTATATTTTAATGGCGGTAATTCAAATTTGAATTTAAACAATTGATAACCGCAAGCTGGTCGTTGGGTCAAAGTTGGGTGGAATGCGGAATTCCCGCCCAACGTTACTCAATTGAACGAAAATATCGAAAACTGCAAATGTGTGTAAAACACCGAATTTGACGCAAGTTTTCAGAAGTTGCGTTGGTGAATAATTTGAAAAGACGAAATGACACTTTTTGCGGAATGCGGACAGGCTTTGATGCTGGTAGATTTACGAGGCGCGTCTTTCGAAATGGTCTCGCCACAGACGTGAACTGTTTAATTTTTCTTGATGATTATATCATTTGCTTGAATTTCCCCAGCCCACATCTGCCTACCTGCAATAGGTCACTCGCCGGACCCCAATTATATATTAATTGAAACATATTTGCGTCGTTCAATCAAAATTCTGATGTGATTTTTCAAATGTAACAAGAACATTTCCATCTGCGGACATTTCGCACAAGACAAAACTTCATTTCCAAGGTATTTCCGCGCCGAGCAAACATAAGCATTTAATCCGAATCGTCATGTCATTTTTCATTGGAAGAAACAAAAAAGTGACACCAACTCCTAGGGACCATTCAAAACCCTCTTTTTTTCTTCCATTCACATCTGTTGTTCTTTTCGCAGATTTGAAGCGTTCCAATAAACATCTTGATTTAATAAATGGCATCCGTTTGGGTTCGACGAGAACAAGAAGAAAGAAAAAAAAAACGAAAAAGCACATGTGTTCGGAAACGCATGAAATGATGATAACTACGTAGATCAACGAGCATTACACTCCTCTCGTTATTTGTATTTCTTCTTTTAGTTTTTCTCAATTATTGCAAAAAAATCGCCACTCAATCTAAATATCATCTGATTTCCTTAAAAATGGGAAGTTTTCTAATCCTTTCGATTAAAAAATTATATAAAATTCATAATTTTTATCCCTCATATTTTGGTTTCTAATGCATTCTTAAAAAGTGTATTTAAGCGATTAATTCAGCGAAACTCAAAAATTGAGAATTTTTATTTATTTTTTTTTTCTTGGCGTTTAATTCTTAACACATATAAACGAGTGGTACCGTAACCAAGTTTATTCATATGTCATTTGATCTCTAAAAATAAAAATGATGAGATTATTTTAAGCATGCGCCTTTAAATGTGGCAACTCAAAACAAATCGGATCTGGCTAAAATTTTGCTTAGAAATCAACCCGATCCGATTGGAAATTCTATGGATAAAATTGTCGGATCCGATTCGAATTGAAAAATTAAAACAAAACGGATTCGAATTATAACCAATCGGATCTGAAGAAAATCCAGTCGGATCAGAAAGTACTAAAAAAAACCAATCGGATCCTTCAATTTTACAATTTTATCCGTAGATCGGATCGTGCTGATTCCGGTGCCGAATCCGATTGGTTTTGAGAGAATTAGAATTTTTCCTATTATGAATTCACTTTGAAAATAATATGGGTACCCATTTAAAGGCACATTCTGGTCATCATTTTTTTTTCAAAATTTCTAATTAAGAATGAATTTATCACATTTCTTTGGTATAATTTTTCGGAATTCATGACCCAACTAAAAAGAGTGAAGAAAATTTAAATAATGTGTAAAATTCTATTGTTGTTGTTGTTTTTTTTTGAATTTTTCATTGATTTGAATTCGCCAAAAATTGGTGAATTTTCCACAGAAATTCGCGATTAGCGAAAACCCGCAAAATGTCGGTTTCAACGATGAATAAAATGGATGTTGGTTTCGAAGTAATTACTGACACTCCAGCCCGCACAAGAAACTGCAATCAGCTCAGATGGTCCTTTAAACGAGTTCCGAGTGTCGAGACCACATTCATTCGAGCAAACGGATGAAGAGACCCCCCCTCCCTCATCGGAAAACCGAATCAGTGCCAACCAGAAAACTATTGAAAAGGTCATAAATTTTCGCGGAGCGCTCAACAATTTTTGTGGGTGTGTCGTCAATCGAACGGCGTTTCGAACAACTTCGCGGCGGGACCACGAGAGAGAATGAGAAGCAAAAAAATGGGCATTAAATCGAGGGGCGCCGACGATAATAAAATGCGAAAAATCTCGAGGCGAACGCAATCGAAACGAAAGGTCGTTGCTGGTTGTGATAATCAAGCAAAAATTCAACGAATCACTACTTCCTCGCCGAATTCCTCTCAAATACCATTCTCTGTTTCTCATTTGATTTGTTCGAATTCGATTTATGATGACACACAAGGAAGTCTTCTAGAAGCATTTGAAATTGCAGCTTCTCATCTTGAAATTTGGTTAAAGCATTTTCAAGTTGATTTCCATTATTTCAAGGCGTTTCCACAACACTATAATTATTCCATACGAGACCCAAAGGCTTAAATATTGGCACCTTTAATTCATTTCATTAACATTAATTGCAATGTGTAGTGTTTCGTTGAAGAGCAATTCATCTGCGGACAATTTTCGGGGTTCGTTTCACCAACACAATTTCCAAAAACGAACCAACCAAATGCTGAATTCTCGTTTCAACTAAAAAGCTGCCAAAAATCGAAACAGTTCTTGAGAATGCGAGCGAGATTTGGGTCAATTTGAAAGAGACGCGAAAGTTTTTCAAGTAGTATTATTGGTGTCCGTTTCCCAGGGTCATCCTCTTGACAAAAGTGTCATATATCGTCGGTCCGCCTAATTAGGAGCTCGCCAAAACCCCGAAACAACTAAAAACGAATTGCGAGCGAGCCTACTTATTTATTTATTTATTTATTCCGTATGCAGTATTGAATATAAACAAAAATCTCGCGCTCACTATCATCGCCTCGTTCGGAGTTTGTTTTTCGATATGCCAACTCGTTTTTTTTGCTCCATTCATTCTATTCATTTTTCAACCAGTTTCCGGTTGTCTTTTCTGTTCTTCACAAAAATATTTCAAGTCAATTTTCGAAAAAAAAAACACTACTCTAAAAAAATAATAAAAATAACGCGCTCGATCACTTCAATTCCAACTTTTTTTGAAAGGACCATTCAAATTTTACGGGGGGGGGGGGTTTTTTTTAAGAAATCACCTTATTACAGTAATTGATAGTCCCCCCACCTGATATATATATTGTGAGTGACGCGCGCGTGTTTGCGTACTGTGCATTTTAGCGTACGCGCAATTGATTTAAAATTGTATTTGCCGCAAGTGATCGGCCATTTTGAAACCAGAGCTGCACGGAATTCCGTCTTTCTTTCTTCCGATTCCGTTTTCCGTGTTCCGCTTGAGATATCTCTCAACGCGTCTAGCAAATCTAAGAGCGTTTTTAGCACAGCCGGAGAAATTTGTTTGAAAAAAAGAAGGTCTCTGTCGAATTAGCATTTGGAGAATCTCACATTCAGCACTGTTAATTTTAAAGTATTCGAGTTAGGTTAAGTTTTTGTTCCGTTTTCCGTTGAAAAATTGTTTCGTATTACGTTTTTTTTGCCGTGTTCCGTTAAACAATTTTTGTTCCGACTTCCGCCTGCCGTTTCTAGAAAATCTGTTTGAAACCGCCTAATGAGACCTTTTGAGAATTCGATTGTTTTCGAGTTTTCAAGCCACTTCCGGACCAAATATTAATCATCTTCCTTTTATGGCAAAAATACTAAAATCTTACTGATTCTATTGGGGGACGGACTGGGGACATTTTTATTTGGTTTCAGATTTCCAGTGGAACATTTTGATACAAACAGGAGTAAAAAAAATTCAATTAGTCAAACCAAATGTCGCCCACGCTAAATTGAGGGCGATGTGTCATTGGAGTGTCGTAGTGAAAGGGAAATGGTTTTGTGAACCCTCCGTGGAACCCCAATGTTTAAACCAAAATCAATTCGTCCTTTTCGAATATTCAGAGTATTAAATAATATATTATTCATCCTCGAAAATGAGCCCAAAATTGAATATATAAAAAAATAGCGAATTTTCCGATTTTTTGAGCGTTTTTTTGGACTAACTTGGATAAATGTGTTTTTGTTGATTTTAAGCTCTTTCAGCAATTTCCATTCATATAACTCTACAAGAGCTCCATGAAATCATTGCTATTCGAATCGATTGAGCAAAACGATGATCGCTTCTGAAAATTTCAAGGTTCTTTCCACATGCGCCTTTAAACATCGATAGTAATTGTTGCTTAAACAATTTCTTGTCGGGCGGGTAGAGGCGAGATATATATATACTATTATTGTTGAATGGAGACAAAAATTTAGGTCAAATGCAGCTTATATGATTGGTGCGAATCAAACAAATTTTGAAATGCCTTTATTGATGTCGACTATAGTTTTCCATATGTCAACACATCATTTCAGAGTTGTCCGGAATTCCGGAAAAATTATTCTCTCGAGAATTTATGAAATATACAGTTGGTTGCAAACAATTTCCCACGAGTAGACTCTCATCTGCGGACAATTTTCAAAAGCATTTTCTTCCTTCTTTAAATGGTTTATTAATTAGGCAACTTCGTATTTGAATATCCGGTCGTAACAAGGAATTTCTATTTTTGCGATGTTATTGCTCGATGATTCCTTCCATCCTTCAGGGGGATCAGCTAAATGAAATCGTGCTGCGGACATAATTCCGCTCAAAAGAGTGCGTCGACGTAAGCCCAAATCTCTCACGATTTTCATGAATAAATCTCTAATGATCATCATCGTCATCTAATCACTCGAAAAAGCACATCAAAACCCATTCATTGAATTGTGTATTTTCGGTGTTTCTTCGCCTACTTCTTTTGGTCCGAACAAGAAAATCCGAGGGGTACACGCAATCGAGCGGAAAGCACTTTTTTTTGGTTGGTTTCCACCTTCCATTAGAGTCGAAGGTTTATTATTATTTTTTTTTTATTTTAGGCCACTTGAACGGAAAATCCGAAAACAAAACGCGAAATATTTGCATATTTCCTAAAAAGGTGCGACGAGCGCAAAAAGGCGAACCGGCTCGCCGCAATGGTGCTGCGGACATCACACAAGTTTTCGTAGGCCAATTTTTGCCGAGAAATGGTCCGGAAATTGACCACCTAATGTCCGCAGCACAATCGAATGAAACCCCGCCCCCACTGATGACTTAAAGGCGATGGTGGGCGAAGCCTGTGGCAGCTGGCGTGCGTGCGGTTTTCCATTAGCGTCGTCGTCCGCGCGGTGAGCAACCTGCGTCTCTCCGCCCCCTCTTTCGATTCGTTGTCTCAAGTTTTCCGGTGCACGAGTCGACCGGAAACGTCTCTAATTTTTTTTTCTGCCTTCTACATTTTTTTTGCTTCTTCTTCTTCTTCATCTTTTTATTTCTATTCCAGTCCCACATCATTTATTATCAATCATAGCTTTGTTGCGAGGCTTCCGCCCCCGAAAAATTTCACTTTCAACCAAAAATGATTTTCCGATTGATTGATTCCGGATAATCGCCACCGAATTCGGTGTTCACCGATTCGCATATTCTCGCATTGATTGTGATTCGTTTGTCAGCGCCAATTTCGAATTGCAGCCGAATGGCGTCGTTCGATTGGACGCTCATCGCCGTCATCATCGCCGTCGTCGCGATTCCGCAATTCGCCGACGCCCTCCGATGCAAATGCACAAAAGAGTCGGAGACGGTCACGTGTACCGAAGGCGTCTGCGAGACCGATGTTGGATGTAAGTTGCGCCGATTTTTCATCGCGGCTATTCCGTTTTGAATTATTCACCAGTTGCTCAGCTCGTGATTTCGAATTTCTAATAGCAATTCGTTGCGGGCTGAATTTTAGTTTTGAAAAATTTTTTTGGCTGAAACTCTCAGATGTTTGAACTTTTCGAAAAAAAAACCAATCGTTAAATTGAATGCATTATATTTTACGATTATTTGCGGACCGACTTTCACTTCTAATAATATCGTATTAATTTTTTTTGTCGCTTCGTCACCCCCTTTAAACCGAGTGCGAGTAATTTGAGAAATGCCAAAAATTGTTGGTTTTTTATTTTCAAAATGTCAAAAACGTCAGCTTTTTCAAACCCGCAATATTGTCCGCAGATTGTTTCTTTTTATTTCGTATTGTCTCTCGTAGGACTTTGAGAGATTCGACGCCGGAAATTTACATGGTCTCATATTACTAGACTGGTCCGAATATTTCGAAAATACTAGTCATGGAAAATGAAACAAAATGGAAAAACGAGAGAAAATAACAAAGCGAAATCAAAGTTGTCTGAAAAATTAATGGTGTTTTCTTGTTTTCGTTGACATTTTTTTTGAATAATGAAAAATGTGACGTCGAATCAGATTCTTTTTTTTTTTCAAAATTTTGAATTTTGCCAACATTTTCAGAAAATCCATCTGCGGACATTTTCATTGATATTTAACTTAAAATTTTTTTTGTTGATTTTATGAAAATCTAGATTTATGCAATTTCTAGACACATCGGGAATGGGGGATATTTTTTAAAATATTGAGAAGGTCCTTATTTCATTTACCGGCGCATGAAATCCGATCCGATCCGATCCGATCCGATACTCATTGCTCTTTATATTATTATTATTATTATGAAAGATTAGTTGGCCGGGATTATTCGATGAGTGGTGTCTGGCGAGAGATCGGCCCGAACGACCGCACCGGATGAATTAACCATGTGACCTTTGCGGAGGGGCGAGAAGCGTCCGCATTGTGTGGAGGAAGGGACAAACAGGAAGGGACCATTATTATTATTATTATTATTATTAGAGGTTATTGTGGTTGTTGACAACCACTCATTCGAGCAAATCCGCTACGGACGAGTTTAATTCGATGGCGACTTGCGAATCGCATTAGACGAATGATTTTCAGCATGCTTGATGCTTGACCATCCGACGATGGGCGTTCACTACACTTGCCACACACGCGGTCTCAAAGACGGAAACTGCCATAATCGGACGTCGAAGAGCGGCTTGTCGGTTCGAATATGCGGATGCACTGCGCCGGATTTTTGCAACTATTCCATGTGGCCAGATAAGTGAGGCTTTTTTTCTATTCGCTGGCCAGACACATACTCGAGATGGGACCACTTTAGGTCCCAATGGGCCGCCGCAATTTTGACCCACCTGTTGATAAAATAGGAGAATTAGAAAGAAACGTTTTTTTTTTCAAAACAAATGGGTTTCGTTTTTATCTGCGTACACGACGACGCAATTTTGCACACAATTCATTTTACAATTATTTTCTAGAAAATTCTCATTAAAATGAAAGGATCATTTTGAAAAATTAGAAAATTATTATTATTAGCGAGTTTTTCAAAAATGCGCTTGCACAATTGAAATATCGAAAACATTTTTTTTCAAGCCAAAATTTGATATATGTACTTTTTTTTGAATATCCAACATTTATTTGTTTTTCATTGTGTATTTTAGTTAAGATGGTCCTCGATCCAATTAAGTTTTGAACAATCAAAAATTAAAAATTTTATACTGTTCGAAAATTTGCGTTTTAATAAGTACAATTTTTTTTATTTTTGAGATAAAAAAATTCTAAAAATGTAAATAAAAAAAGAAATTCAAAAAAGGCACATTTTTCATTTGACAGGAGCTTAATTGTTTTTTAAAAAAATTTTATCGCAGAATTTGTTAAAAATAATGAAAATTTGCGAATTTCTACAAAACGAGTTTCTAGAAAAAAAAAAGTTTACTCGCCATAACATAAAAATTAAAAAAATATTCCAAACTCGCAATTTCTTATTGTCGACGTCAGCGCGACAGCGAAAAATTGGCAAAATGCCAAACATTTAAAACGCCGTGTGCGCCTTTAACCTCTCCTTTTACGTAGGCCCGTAAATCTACACTTAGTTTTCCGCGCCAAGACCACTGCCATTGTTTTTTTTTTTTTGGAAATAAGCCAATATTAATACTAGTGTACAACTAGGAAAGTTCCTGAGAAATTTTCGATCCTGAATAAGCTAAAAAAATTAAACCAAAACCAATTCGTCCTTTTCGAATAAATTTTCTTCGCCTCGTTTACCAGCAAAAAAAATGAGATTTTTTTGTTTTTGCTTCGAATATTTTTTCTCGTCTCAAATTGACAAAAAAACATGTTAAAAATCAATAATATTAACATTTCAACTCCATTTTTCAAGCGTTTCCTGTGTAAATTTGCAAAAATCATCGAGTTTGCAGTTTGAACAAATTGATTTAATCAGCCACTTATACTAGTTTTGCAATAAATTTCTTCGAAACGCATTATCATTCAACCAACATCATCGATCACATTGGTGGTATCAAATTTGGTCGGAATTGTCTAGAATTCGACGTGCGTTCGTTATCATTTGTGTTTCTCAAACAATTTCGCATCAACACATGCTCGATTTTTGATAAGATGACGCAAATGTGGTTTTTTTAAAACTCGAAATCAGAAAAATTGGAAATTTTTCCAAAAAAAAACCTAATATTTTTAAAAGATGCAACTTCCTGTTTCTTGTTTGCAAAATAAATATACAGATTTCCGAGCATCGGAAACGTGGTATTAAATATCTGGCTGGGATAAAGTCGGCGTCACCTTGCTTGCGCCTTCGCTATGGTCTCGCACGGATCAACAGGTTATTTTGCATTTTAAAGGTCTTCCCGTTAATTTATAACTTCTGTGATATTAAGAATTCAAGGAAATGATATCTCTCATCAAGAAAAATTAAAAAGTTCACGGAAAATTAAAAAATTAAAAATTCACGTGTGGCGAGACCATTTCGAAAGGCGCATCCCCGTAAATCTACCACTGAAATTTGGGCTTGAAAAAATTTATCAAAACGTTTGAATTGCGCAAATTTTTGAAATTTCTCAAATTAAGCGAATTAGTGGGTTTGCAATGAAATGTGTGCAAAATTGCGTCGCCGTGTAGGCAGATAAAAATGGGATAAAAACCGAACTCGTCCGGTTCATCGTTTTTTTTAAATGTTTGAACTTTTTTTTGGTATATTTAAGAGATTTTGATAATTTCAGAAAACCCCACCACAAACACCACCATCACCATCAGAAGCATCATAACACCGAGGAGCCGCACAACGAGCAAATCAACTCGTCATCGACGAAACTCGCGATCATCTCAATTATTGTCTCTTTAATTCTAGCGCACTAAATCAGCCGGTATCACAATCAATCGTATTCTATGTAATTCACTTTCCCTCTAATTAAAAAAAATAATTAGCTGTGCATAATTTTGAAAATTTTTTCATGTTTTTTTTTTCTCATATGAATTGATATGTAATATTGACAAAAAGGGTACCGTTTTTATTTCTTTGAATAAAAATTCTTTCGAAAAAATTGACTAGACACTAATTATGATTGTTGAGAGAAGTACATAAAAAGGAATTGAATAACAATTAAATGGGTAATTGAATGAACACCAAAAAACAAATACAATCGATCACAAATCATAAAATTAATTTTTTTGCCTCAAATTGGTCGGCACGCTGTTTAATTCATTTTTCTTTGCCGTCTTCTAGACTGCATTAGGTGGTCTTTGTCTGCGTTTCCCACTACAAACCCCGTTTTCGGTGCTTATAAAAGAACGACTTGGCGGCGGCAATCAAGCGACTATTCTTCGACTCGAACTCATGGCGCTGACTCTCACCTATTTCGATATTCGCGGTCCGTTCTTTTTTTTTTCATTAAATTCATCAATCAAATGATGTTCAGGAATCGGCGAGTATATACGTCTTCTTTTCATTGATCACGGAATCGAATTTGTCGATCACAGAATAAAAAAGGACGACGACTGGCCGAAATTGAAGGAAACCATGGTTCTTTCGTCCGTCTTCGAAATTCTCCATTCAAAATATTGATTTAGGCTTTTGGCCAAGTTCCTCGTCTGAAGCATGGAGATAAGGAAATCTTCCAATCTGGCGCAATCCTGAGACATCTCGGAAGAGTCTACGGTATTCAAGTTATCCGGGGGATTACTGTAGCAATAGTTATTCAGGTTTGAACGGATCGAATGAGGATGAGACGACGTTCATTGATATGTTCTTCGAAGGAGTCAAAGATATCCGATTCACCAAATACGCGCGTTACATTTACTATGATGAGGTTCGATTTGAATGCGAAATTGTTTTTTTTTGAACATGGCTTGCAGTATACTCGTGAAGAAACAATCAACACGGTGCTCCCAACCGAGCTTGAGAAACTTGAGAAACTCTTTAAGACCTATGCGAACGGAGACCATTTCATTGCTGGAGAGAAGGTCAGCTATGCTGATTATGCGTTGTTCGAAGAGCTCGATGTCTATTTGACATTGGATGCTCACATTCTCGACAAATTCCCGAAGTTGAAGGCGTTCCATGAGCGATTCTCGCAGAGGCCGAATTTGAAGGTAATCGTTGATTCGTTTTCGTATTGTCCTTTAAAACAAATTCCCATATTTTCAGGCTCATTTGGCTAAACGTGTTGAGGACAAAGTGTGGATTAATGGAATTGAGAAACAATAAATAATAATCATTCACCGTATATTATCAAAATATTTTCCATATTTTGTGCGAATAAAAAATCTTTAGGAAATAGTGATATTCTCTAGCACGTACTCGACTGGACACAAATCAGAATTGATAAAAAGTGGTCAGAATTCTTTAAAAAAATGATTTGGCAGCATTGAACAAATTGCAATATAACTGCGCGTACGCTAAAATGCATAGTACGCAGACACGCTCACGTCTCCCTTACGAAAATTACTTTGCGGACATGTGCATTTTATTTGACGCAAATAAAGATTGTTTTTCTCCGCAACGATTTTTTTCGCTTTCATGTTGATTTTTTCGTTTTTCTATCTAGTTTCTTTTCAAATTTACTAGTTTAAATTTGTTCTGAGCCAGTCGTGGAAGCCGAAAACTGTGTGGTATGTGGGAACCGCAAAATTGCATCATGATTATTAAACGCGAATATTGTTTTCAATGAAACCCTGTTATCAGCTACTGTAGAAGAGATGATAAGAATTAGAGCAATGTGTTTCGTATCTTATCAAATTACTGATATAAAAGGCGAAGGTCGTTGAAATAATTCGAGTATTTGTGAACAAATGACGCCAACTCTCACCTATTTTTCTATTCGAGGTTTGATTTTTGGGTTGCTATTCAGAAGCGTAATTTTTAGTATTTTTCAGGATATGGAGAATATATTCGCCTTCTTCTTACTGATCAAGGTGTCGATTTCGTCGACGAACGAGTGGCCTATAAAAGCGATGAATGGGCTCAAATGAAAAGCTCAATGGTTTCGATAAGAATAAATTGAAAATTGGATCAAAAGAAATTTTTAATAATTCAGGCATTCGGTCAAGTTCCACGTTTCAAACAAGGAAATAAGGAGATTTACCAGACTGGATCAATCATGAGACATCTCGGAAGAGTCTACGGTATTCTATTTATCGGGGGAAATACTGTAGTAATAGTTATTCAGGCTTGAACGGATCGAATGAGGATGAGACGACGTTCATTGACATGTTCTTCGAAGGAGTCAGAGATGTTCGATCGAAATATGTTCGCTTCATTTACTATGATGATGTAAGCTTAAATGAATATGAATTTAGAAGGATTCTTATTTGAAATCGAAATTTGCTTTTTAGTATACTCGTGAAGAAACAATCAACACGGTGCTCCCAACCGAGCTTGAGAAACTTGAGAAACTCTTTAAAACCTATGCGAACGGAGACCATTTTGTCGCCGGTGAGAAGGTCAGCTATGCCGACTATATTCTGTTCGAAGAGCTCGATGTCTATTTGACATTGGATGCTCACATTCTCGACAAATTCCCGAAGTTGAAGGCGTTCCATGAGCGATTCTCGCAGAGGCCGAATTTGAAGGTGATTTATGCACATTTCAAAAGAAAATTGTCATCAAGACGGTTGTGGTTCTTGGATCAACCAAATGAAAAAATTGACTATATGTAATTAGGCAAGGTATATATATATATATATATATATATATAATTAGTTTTCTGTTTCGAATGTTGTCGAAACCAGCGTTAGATTTTCTAAATGTCCGATTTGCAAGAACCGACTTGACCGTAGACCTGCGCCATCCGCACTGAAATATTTTTGGATTCAACCGATCGAATATTAAAACGTATTTTCTTCCAAGTGTCTCGAATTTAAATGATTATTCTATTAGGTAAATGCAAATCAATCGGAAAAATTAAATGTATGTAAATTAACCTGATCCTATAGAAAAAGAATTGAAATTCGAGCTTAAATTCAATTTGAAAATCTGGTTTTGATTCAAAAATCTTCGAAATCGGTTGATTTATTCCTCATTTTCAATTTTGAAATCGTATTCGATTTAAATTCTCTTCTAAAAAGATCAATTCGATTGAAAAGAAATAATTTTCGGGCCCGATTGTTTTTCCTAGAATTATTTCAATAAAAAAACTTTTAATAATAATTCAATATAAAAATTTCAACATTTTCAGAATTATTTGGCGAAACGAGCTGCTGACAAAGTGCCAATCAACGCGATTCCAAAGCAATAATTCTTTTTTTTTTCAATAAATATTTTCGAGAGTCCGATGCTCATCAATCATGCTCATCTTATGTTAACCGTTGTTAGGAAATTTGTAAAAAAAAACCCGCAAATGTTCCAAGTTAGGTTTTCTTTTCTGTTCGCGATGCGCAACGGCGGGTAATTGACGAAAACATCGAGACGTGAGCAGCAGAATTGGCACAAGATTCTCGTTTTTTTTTTCGTTTTCCCTCCCCCTTTTTTGTTTTTTTTTTTCTTCGCTTCGTTTACCCATATATCAGACGGCTTTTTTTTTTGCTAAACTTGGATACTTTCGAAAAAAAAAAGTTTTTCCTCTTGTTTTTCGAAAAACACTTACCAAGAATTTATATAAAAATGCGTTCTTTCTTTCTTTTTTTCGAACGTTCCGTCATTGTTGAGCAAATAAGCTTCAATTCTCTTCATTTTTCTATTCTTTCTTCAAAAGCCGCCCCAAAAAAAATCGGCGCATTTTTTGAATATTAAAATGCTCTTCCTCTTCCATCGCCATCTTTCACTTCATTCTTCTCCTTCTCGTCTTATTTTTTTTCTGTTTTATTCGTTTCTTTTACTTCTTCTCCTTCTTCTTCGCAAAGTTTCCCATAAAATTGCCTCGGGCCACCTAATTTGGGAAAGTGTTCTTTTCCAGAATGCTTTAACATGCTCAGCGTCTTATATAATATCTCGTTTTTGATGCTATTCACCAATCAAGCAGGTTTGTTCATTTTTTTTGAAAATTGTTATACACGCATGTGTGCACATCGGTGGGGGAGGAGTACACAGCTAATCGGCGATTATCCGCTCATCCGCATCGCCTTATTGGCTCAGTGGCAGAGCGTCTGTCTAGTAAACAGAAGGTGGCTGGTTCGATTCCAGCATGAGGCACTGAACTTTTTGCAGAAACTTCACAACTCTCAAGAATACAACGAAGTGATCAAAATGTGATGCGCCTTTATCGTGATCTCCTTGATGATTATAATCACGAAGTGCGACCCGCCGTTCATCCCGTCGAGCCCATCAACGTGACATTTCTATTTTCGCTCACACAAATTCTCGACGTGGATGAGCGTAATCAAATATTGACGACGAATTCTTGGGTACGCATGCACTGGAACGATTATAAGCTCGTCTGGGACCCGAGGCTATATGAAAACGTCACGAGAATTCATATTCCGAGCGACAAAATTTGGAAGCCCGACATTATTCTATACAATAAGTTTGTCGAAAATTTGCTAGAGAATATAATTTCAAATAAAAATAAATAACAATTTCAGTGCAGACGCACAATATATGAAATCAGTGATGTCGACAGACGTGATTGTCGATTATTTAGGCAATATTCATTGGCCGCTTTCAGCAATTTTCACGTATTTTCGAAAACGGCGATTCTCGAAACGATAACTTTTTTTTCAGCTCGTCGTGTCCATTGGACGTCAAACATTATCCGTTCGATAGGCAAACTTGTATTCTAAAATACGCCAGTTGGGCGTATGATGGCACAAAAATCGATTTGGTGCTGAAATCAGAAGAAGGTTGGAAACAAAATCTCAAAATTTTGAACTACTTTTATTGTCGGCTTCAAATTCGCAGAAATCAGTGTATTGTTGAGAAATGACAAATGTATCCAGGTGTCGTGGGATCCTGCGTTTTGTACGCAATGCTAAGAGACAGTTACCGTAATCCTCGCAGCGATTTACGGAGAATTTTTTTTTTTAATTTTCTTTCAATTTCTTTTGCTGAATTTTCTAATTTTCTTTAGAAATCTTATATTTAAAACCTTTAGAAACCGAGTTTAATTATTTATTTTTCAGAATATGCACTTTTCCATTTGTCTAGTTGCGTTGGGAATTATTGTGAAGATTTTGACGCTCTAAAAATTATTTTGAAAATGAAGAATACAAAAACAAGATAATAGAAAAGCATACAAAAAGCAAAACACGTTTAAATAATTTTATTAACGACAAAAATTATTTCTTTTTAATCTCTGCTGTTTTTACCAAAAAAATATCGTTTAAAAGTGCTTATTCTGCTAAATACATTATTAAACTCGGTTTCTGTAAAATTTGAAAATTTAAATTAAAAAATTTCGAAACAAAATTTAAAAATTGAACGAAAAATAAAAAAAATGAATATGCGAAATTTAAAAAAAAGTCCCCGTAAATCGCTGCGAGGACTACGGTAACTGTCTCTTAGCATTGCGTACAAAACGCAGGATCCTAAGACACCTGGATACATTTGTCATTTTTCAACAATAGATTTAAATTAATCGTTGGCTGAATATTATATGCGCGTATTCTATAATGCAATGTACGCAATCTCGCGTACTTCTCGCTACACCAAGGCGCATTGGCGCATAGCCAATATTTTTTTAAATTTAATTTCCACAATAATAGAGATTTTTTAGGGGATCGAACAAATTATATCACAAACACCGAATGGAGTTTAATCAAAATTCGAGCTCATAAGAATCATGTAATCTACAGCTGTTGCCCTGAGCCATATCCATATATAGATGTGCATGTGACAATTGAAAGAAGAGCAATGTTCTATGTAAGCGCAAATCGTTGTTCGCTTATTTTATATTTTTTCTTTCTAGGTATTCAATTTAATTCTGCCCTGTGTTCTCATCAGCCTTATTGCACTTCTCGGTTTTTATATGCCGACGGATTCCGGCGAAAAAGTCACCCTCGGCATCACTTCATTGCTCTCAACGACCGTTTTCTTGATGCTCGTTGCCGAAGGAATGCCGCCGACGTCCGAGGCGTTGCCGCTCATCGGTATCTATTACGGCGTCACGATTTTCATTGTGGCTCTCGCCACGGCGATGACCGTGTTCACCGTGAATATACACCATAATGGGGTGCACGGCCATCCGGTGCCGCCGCTTCTTCAGGCGTTCGCCTTCAGATACCTCTCGCGTTTATTGCTCGTCCGCATCGATCCGTACCATTCAATTGCGCATCATGTCCGCCACATGTATCAGGTAGATCAAAGTAAATGAATGGGAGCACACCCTGTCTATTTAGAAGGAGCATCCGAACGAATGTTATTTGTCGGCAGGCGTTCATTACCAAAGACTCAGCGATCAAGAACAAGTCCTTCGAGAACGAATCGAAAAAGGTTTTTCGTCAAATTTGCTCTGCTATTCTTTTTTTAGACATCGTCCCAGTGGTCCATTGTGATTCATCGGATAAACTCCTAATGCATCACAAAGAGAATCAGCTGACGGTCAATCGTTCTTCCCTCTCAGTCGCCCAAAATTCATCACCAGTGAAGAAAAAGGTTCCATCATTGAATTTTTATCTAAATTCGATTTGTTTTCACATGGATTCAAAAAAAACCGAATCTCGCATATTTCAAAATCAAATTCAGAGAAGTGTTTGGTTAAATGGATCGTCTAGAATCGCGGAATCCGATGTCTCCCACTTGGTTTTTCATTTTTTTTCCACGCTTTTGCTGCTTTGTAGTTTATTGTAGAAAACGCAATTAGAGGCAACGCTTTGGCTTTGAGAAATTTGAATCGAAAAATGGTTATTAAATGTATTTCAGGTGTCGTTTTCATCGACGGAAAACCCGCATGAGACACCGTTAGATTCGCCAATTTATGGAAGAAAAATTGGAAGGTATGGTGGGTTAAAACATGGCTCAGACTGAGGAATCTGAGGAAGTGGGCCTAGCTCAAACGGACTCTTTGACATGAGAGGTCGGTGTGTTGGCCCCGGTTACCATTTGTGGGCAGAACTGACTTGAGCCAGCTTTTTAAATTTGAAAACTGTATTGTCGAAGATAGACAACTGCCAGAAATTTAAAAAAAAAGAAGCGAATATCGTATATTATTACGAGACCAAATTGTCTCGTTCAATTACACTAATAATTTCCCAAAAAATTGTATTCGAAAAAACTAAATGAGACTCTAAAACTTTTATGGTCTCTTATAAATAAAAGCATTGAATTAAAACAAATTTCAAAAATTATAGCCATCATTATAAAATAGATTTATTTTTAATGTAAAATAACACTCTTCTTTCTTTTTTTGGAAATTTAAAAACTATTTTGTAGCTAAAATGTTGTTCAATGTCGAGATGTTTGGAAAAAACTTAAAGATGTTGAAAATATTCAATAATTTTTAATTGTTCTCTCATGCTAATCAAAAAAAAATATTTTGAGAATCAAATATTCAATATTAAGTTCAAAAATATTAGGAGAATTTTGAAGTATTGATACTTTCTAAAACTTTTTGAGACTCGGTAAACTTAAAAATTCATCTTTAAGTCTTATAAGATTTTCCAAAATTTATTGAGCAAATTCCAAATTATCTCAATAAATTTTAAAATCTTATAGTAATTTCTAAAGTTCATTGAGAAAAATCTAAATTGTTATAGAGACACGTTAATTTCTCAATTAATCTCAAAATATTTTATTCGATTTACCTGAGCTTTTCGTATTACTCATTCCTCTTGCCGAAATTCGATGAATCAGACTTAACTCATAAAGCGCAGAAAGCCGGATGAAATTGATTTCCTCATTTCCACCATTAAGGCGGCACACCGAGCCCGAATCTTCCACCGCTTCTCGATCTTCCGACGTGTTCGAGCTCGAGTTCCTTCGCGTGATGTCAATGGTAAACGGGATCATCGAAAGAAACGAAATGCGCGTTGCCGAGCAAGACAAACGCGACGCGATCGCTCTCGAATGGCAACAAGTCGCAATGGTGCTCGATCGGTTCCTTCTACTCGTCTTCCTATTCGGAACCACGATATCAACATTCGTTATTCTTAATCAACGAAATCTTTTCGAGTCATCATAAACGGGTAAAATAATATTTGTTTTATTTCTTTTTACATGTATTGTCAAACTGTGTAGTAGGAAAAAGGCGATGGATAACCGTAGATTAGTGTATACATACATAAAATAGTGAGCAGAAGTAATAAATTAAGTATGAATTATAATAAATAATTTGTGGGGGAAGCTTAATGATTATATTAGTGTTGTGGTGATGATTCTTCGCTCGACGACGAAATCGAACGACTCGATGGAATTTCTTCGCGTTTACGGCGACGATCACATCTCAAACCAATTTTTTTTCAACGATCTCATAATTTCAATTCAAAATACCTTGGACAATTGAAGCTTTTTCTCTCGAAACATTTCTTGTGGAATACGGCAAGACATTTTTGGCAAGTTCGAGTGTTTTCGGTGAACGGGAACAGCACTTTGTTCTTCAATTCGCTCGATTCGTCGCACAGCTCACAATAAAATCCATTTCCATAGCAAGTTTCGCATTCCTTTATAATTATTATAGTTATTATTTTGTATTTTAATCATTCTCAACTTCTTCAATGTGCTTTCTGAAAACTGTGTGAATTTGTTCAAGTTCCGACAGAAGTTTTCCTTCGCACAACTCGCGGAGTTCTTTGAGAGAATACGAAGTGGCCGAGTCGACAAAATGCGAATGATCCTTCAGGTATTGAAGGATTCGAAGACGTTTCGCATTCTGAAACCAATTGATTGACACTTCAATGTTTTCTCGAAACGTCTCACTCGACAACTAACGAAATAGCACTTCATGAGGAGAAAGTTTCGGCGAAGTTCGCTGACGCGTCGAAGCTCCTTATGAAATTTGATGAGCGACATACTCGATTCGTTCATATCAATCAAAGGGCGACGCTCGACAATCGACAGGAGCTGTTTGACGGCGCGACAAACCGGACGAGGTGTCGCGTCCAAATTGTGCACAATTCTCGCCGGAATCGTCCAAGTGTCGTTCCAGTGGCAATTCGGACAAAACAACTCGCCGCTGTAGTCGCAGAGTCTCGCCTCCTGCTCAATCGGGCCCTCGAAGCAAATCGGCGCCGCGCATTCCGCACACTGATATCCTTGTTCGGCGAGGCTTCGCTCGTCGCAAATGCTCAAATTGAGCTCGAATTGCGGACGAGAAGCGAGCACACCGGCGCAAACGCGGCGAATCTCCTCGGCGCATTTGTCGTGAGCCCGAATACCGCAAACTGATGTCAATGATGATTATGACAATTGGCTGAATGGTCAAACCTACCTCGACATCGTCTCCACGATTGAACAAGTCTCCAAATTGTGTGCATGCACACCTCGCAGCACGGATTGCGTTTTCCCCGAATCGGCTGCAGAACGAACTCGTGACCTTCGCTGCGAAGAATGTCGAGCTCAGTTCCAGCTTCATCCTACAAAACAGTCGTCTAGACAGAGCAAAAAAAAAAAAAGAAAATTAAAAAAGTACCAGCATTTGCTGTTTCTCGAGACCCAAATGAACGATTTTATCGAAAAACATTTGCTTCCTCGCCGATTTTCGCTCAATGTCCATAAATGTCGGCAAATTCCCATGCCCGTCCGGAACCGAAATGTCAACTAAACAATGGTTTCGCATTCAAGTTTTGAGTTCAATTATCTCACTGGGTTTTGTCGTTGATTTATCATATATTTCATCAGTGAGCAACTCGCGGAGCTGTTCCCGACAATATTCCAAAGCATAATCGAGTTGGGCCATTCTAATCATGACATAATTAGTTTTGTTAATGTTCATTCATTTACCTATCAGCTTCAGGATGTCGCAACTGATAATCCTCGATTGTCTCTTCAATTTCTTTATCAACCTCGTTCTCATCGATTTTGGCAACAAGCCAGCTACCCTTTCGAGATGTGCTCAATGCATCAGATGTTTCTGATGAACAGAACGACATCTGCAAAAGTTTCGATGACCAATTGAACATTGAATGAAAGAAACTGAGAAATAAGATTATTTGAAATTCAAATCCCTTTAGACTATGGTACTGTATTTTGCGCAGTACGCAGAGATGCGATGCAGTGAATGCACAACATCTAACATTTCCGATTTTTTTCCCAATTTCGGTTCTCAAGAAAGTTTCATTTTGATGAGAAATAATTAAATTTGCCGCAAACAATTCGTAATTCCAAAATTTACAATGATTTCACAACAACAAAACATTTATTACACGTACGAAACAAAGAGAGAGAGAGAAATTGCGGCGGAGTGCATCGTGTATTAAAGAAAAACATTGCAAGAAAATTTACCCAGTTCGGACCAAAAAATAGCAACAAAAAAATTGAAAATGTGTTGAAACATCGAAAGAGAAACAATTTGGGGAACAATTCGGGGATTTCATTCTTTCAATACTTTTATTTTATTCATTAATATGATTTTTGAGAGATGTCCTTCTCAAATCTCCGGAAAACAAAATGGTTAGCGGAAAACACATCTTCAAAGAGGTACTGTAAGTGGATACACGTTTTCCGGTGAAAATTATTACCAATTAAGGGGTTAAAACACAACAATTAGAAGAAAAAAAAACGGGTACTAGAAGTTAGAAAAAAAAAAGGAAATAAAGAAAAGAAAGAAAACAATTGATTGATTTGGCAAACCGGATCAACTCATCAGCTCAATCGAAAATAATGAAAAATTATATAGAGTAAATTTTGGAGAGAAACAAATATTATAGAAGATAATAGAATTGAATAATAAAGCTAATGAAATTGATCGAAGACGAAAAAAACATGCTAGTGTGTGTTTGTGTGTGTGTGTGGTTTGTTATCATGATAATGGGTAAGATAGTCAACGATCATTTCGGCGGTTCGTCGGTTTTCAAAATACTGCGGCCGCAGTGCGTCTCAAGCTGCTGGACAAGACATCGCACATGGGCGGGCAATACGAGAAGTCCTGAAAATGTTCAATTCAACTTCAAATGAATATTCTAAATGTGAAAAGATTCCTATCAAAAATTATTTAAGAAATAATTATGATTTTTCATAGTGCAATTTCAGAAAATTTTAACGTCTGTTTTAAATGTTTAAGCTTATCATAAAGAAAAACAATATTTTATCGTTTACAAGTGCTTCCAAACGACCTTCTTCTCCATTCTCAATAAAATCATAAAAATTAGTGATTTTTCGCAGAACATTCAAGAAAACGGGACAAAATTCTTTCGGAACATTGACGCCCTTGAACCCGACCAAATTCATAAATCATTAAATGTAACGTACCGACTATTTTCTGGTCTTGTTCGGTCCTGACACGGATCACCTGCATTCTCGACGATTTTCGATCGCCGCCCGACAACACTTCCTCGACGATCGGCCACACCGACAAGACGGATCCCGACAGGACAAAGTAGGTGCGAGTTCGACGGCCAACTTCGCAATAAGTGCCGCCGATTTCGGTCTTGCATTTGCCGTAGACATAATTGTGCTGGCACATGGTTTCGGCGCCCTCGTATTGCGAAATCCAGATATCTTTCACTTCTTCGGGTGTCGACTTCGTGAATCGCTTCGACAAGTCGGCCATCGTCAAAAGCTTCGGTGATCTACCAGTCGATGGACGAGTTATGGCGTACAAACGCGCGCCATTATCAATACGGACTTTTCCGATTCCGTACACAAGAGCTGCTACTTTACGCCCAGAAGAGTTAGGACCAGGAGTACACACGTAGAAACCATCCTGAAATTATATAAGAATTTGAAAAATTCCTTGAGAAAACGCTCAAAAATTTACCTCATCCGAGTTGTGATCCTTATAGAGCTGCATTGCTTCTTCCCATGACACCCCACGTTCAACTCCAATCTTGTGAATCTCAACACGGAAGCTTCCGTTGTCAACGCGTCCAAGAAAGATTCTCGTCTCCAACTTGCGCACTTGATCATCACCAGTTCCAAGGTCTGAGAACAAAAAAATTGAGCTATTTTGGTGCAAAATAATGAAAATATACCCATGATTCCCGTGTCATAGGTTCCATCGTGCTTGGATTGCGCAATGAGTTCAGCAACAATCTCCGAGAAATATTGGAAAAGTGCATTTTGAGCGTGAACAGGAAGTCCAAGAATTCTGAAAATCACGGATGAAAACGTTCAACACATTGTGCGCGATGAAGACCTGTTCAAGAATTTCGGAATAGTCGCTGCTTCCTTCTCAATCCCGTACACTCCGTTCTTATTTCTCGCCAACAATCCAACACCTTCCATGTAAAGACGCATATCTGAAAATTGCGAGCTTAAAAACACCAAGTTTCGATTTAACTGTGACCTTCGAAGAAGTTGCCTGCCGTATAATCGCTGGGTGGCGGAATTAATGGCGGATTCGTCTGCCCGATAACCGTTTTGAGCAGCAAATCGAGTGCAACTCTTCCATATTTGTTATCCATGTTGAATTGCGACAAGTCACGAGTCTCAGTGGCACGACGATCACCATGGGTGAGTGCTCCGAGCGATTCAAGGCGTTTCGCAACAACAGAAGCAAATCTGAAAATTTTGCGTACAAGATTCAACAAATTGCCAGAAACAAAATACCTTTTTTCTCCAGCCAATTCAGAAATCAAGAAAATGTATTCCGGTCCGCTGACTTGATTCGATCTGTGCGTTCTTCCAAACTGCTGAATCGCCTTGTCGGCTGACCATGGCAATTCGAGTGTGATATGAACACGCCGACGGGTATTCTGGGCACGTCGATCGGATTGAAGCGAAATTCCGCTGCTCGCCGCCTCCGAGATGATCGCAATAAGTTTCTCGCCTCTCATGAACTTCTCCTTCTCTTCCATGTTGATCAACTCAAGCGACACTTCGGCGTTCGCGTTTCTTCGCTGATAAGCCACGTCTCCAGTTTCTGTGGTGACCATATGACCGCGTCTTCCAGTCATCTATAAATATCACTAGATATTGAAGCAACAATAAAACTTTTAAATACCTCTGCAACATATTCAGGACCTCCAAGTTCATCAATCAGCTGATCTAAAGTGTTCGCAGGCAGCGATGGAGCCAATCGTTCAACAGCGGCGAGTAATTCGGTCTAAAAACAATATGAATCAGCTATTGAAAAAATAAGAAAAACCAAAAGCACCTTAATAAGAAGAGGATTGATATTCGTTCTATCTTCATCGTCATTTCCGCAGAACTTCGATGAACTGATGAAATCGTTCGCAGAGCCTCTCTAAAAATAATAATGCACATATTCTATTTTTCAAGAAATATTGTATTCGCAAAAAAAAAGCGAGCGCCTCGCGCTGATTCTTAGGCTATCTAGAGTACGAAATCCGAATTTCTGCACTTAAATTCGAAATTGAATTAGCGAATTGAAAAAGTGCGATGGTCCACAAATATGCGAGGCGCCATTTTTTTTCGATGGTATTGTCGACGTCGCGCGACTGCGGAAAACTGGCTAAATGCCAAAAAAAAAACAATGACAGTTGTCTTGGCATCAAGCCGAAGGTGTAAATTTACGGGCCGTTGCGTATGGATAGATTAAAGGTGCACGCTGAAACCTCTTTTTAATTTTTTTTTTGGCATTTTGCCAATTTTCCGAAGTAGCACGACGTCGACAATAACATTTCAAAGTATGCTAATCAAAATACCGTCTGTAGAGTCTCCATTCTCCGCTTCTTCTCTCGCTCTGCTTTTCGCATTGCTCGTTTTAACTTCTTCTCTCTACGCTCTTCGCGACGTCTTCTGCGTTCTTTCATCTCTTCCGTTTCAGCATCGTCAACGCGCTTTCGTTTCTTCGCCTTTCTCTTCACTGGCTGATCATCAATAATTTGCTGATTATTGGCCCATGGATCTGAAAAAAAAAATAGTGGTCGTTATAATAAGCTACCAACATTTTCTTACCGTCATTGGCAAAGTCGCACATGAACGGATTAAACTCCTCTTCCTCTTGACCATTCGCAGATTCTTCTTGTTTCGGCTCCTCCTGCTCCTCATCCTCATCATCCTCGCTATCACTAGACGATTCAGCTTCAGCGAGCAACGCCTTCACCCATTCGTCTTCCTCCATATCATCAAGAGTTCGAGCTCCTTCAGCCTCCTCACGAGCACTATCCCAACTTTTCGCGTCGTCGTCATCCTTATCATCGTCCGAATCAGAATCATCGTCCGAAGAGGATTCCGAAGTCGTCGAGTTCGCTTCAGATCCATGCGTCGTCGATGATTGCCCAACTTTTCCGCTCATTCCGACAGTTGCGCCAGACCAACTTCCAACACCAACGTCGGTCATGAAGCTGAGGGTGTTGGACTGCTTCTCTGAAAATATTAGTTTAAAAATGATCGCTGGATAGCTCATTAGTAAAAGAATGATCTCTGCTTACTTCTCTTGGCTGGACGTTCAAATTCATCGTACATTCGATCAAAATCTTTAAAAATATCTCGATCCGATGACGAATCGGTGGGAAAATGTTTATCAATCAATCCGTACAAAACAGTTCTATAAAATATTCATAAATTCCTTTTGAAGTTGGATAATAAAGAAATGAGCTTACTTCGCTGTCGATACAAATTCATTCAATTCGCCACCCATTTCTTCAAGAGTCTCCAACGTCGCCGATTCACCAGTCGATTGTAGTCCGATAACTACGCACTTCTTCGCTTTTATGGCTTCACGCGCAATTTGAACACACGTGTCAACCTATAAATTAAAAAAAATATAGGATTAGTGGACAATTCAAGAGGAATGGGACCAACCTTGGCGGCAATACACAGATATTTGAAGAATCGTTGATGACACGCCCAAAATTGTCCCCAAACCGTTTTGCACGTGGCGCGCTCATCCTCGTCCATCGCCTCGAGAACAACTTGAAATTGTCGTCGCGCTTCCATCCAAAGTTTCACCGATTCGTCGTACATTTTGACGAAATCCGCCGACAATTGGACTTCTTGCACCGAGAATGAGACGCCTCGGAACGAGAGCTGACGAGCCAAATACAATCCGCGCTGTTTCATGTCCATCGCGACCACTTCCATCGCACCAACACCGCGACGTTCAACCGCCGAAATGAAATCGGTGAATTCGGGAAACGCTTGTCGTTCACCCCAAAGACCGAGGCGAGTCATATAGGCCATATTTCGAGGTTCTGAAACGGTTCAAATTGCATTCATGCAATTTTCCGACGAATATAATTCGAACCTGTAGCTCCAGTAGCTGAAGCATACACAACTCTAGCGTTCGGCAGCGCCTTTTGCAATTCCAACACCATTCGTCCAGTTTTCGTTGGTTTTCCGCCAGTGCTGGGCACCAGATTTTTGGCGCGATGACATTCGTCAAGAATGATAACACCATCATACTCCTAATTATGATAATCCATAAAGCAAAGCTGGCCATTTTTTTCTAATTTACCACTCCAAACCACTGAATCAATTGCTTAATTCGACTTCGATATTTTCGTGATTTCGCTCCACGACATTCCCCAATCAATGATGTATAAGTTGCAAAAATGACGCCTTTCTTGATACATCCATTCTCTTTTCCGGAAATCTTCGCGTATTTCATTTTGTTTAGAGCGTAAACCTGAAAAAATATCCAATTTGAATTCAAAATTTATTTTATTTCAATTTCTCTTACTCCAATATTTGGTGCACCAACATCTCTCAAATCACGTTCAGCATCAAATTTCAAATCCGAAGACACCGATAGCCAAATGGCTCGTTTACGTCCCTAATATCAAAAAGTGCTATTTTCAACATAGTTTCTAAAACAAACCTGCAGATAATTTTCGAAAATGATGCATGCAACTGTTCGGCCTTTTCCAACTCCTGCACCATCTCCAATCAAATAACCATAACGTTCTCCAGATGGCATGCGTCTTTCGTGCATCTGACACGCGTAAATCACCGCTTCAAGTTGAAGAGCGGAAATATGGCCCAAATCGATAAGCTGAATCAAACAGTGATTTTAGAAAAATTCTTATAAACTTACATATTCGGGAATTGATATTTGATATTTGACATCTGGAGGAGCCACGCTGCTCAGCGACGCCGATTCGACAACACTATCGGGATGCGCAATTCCCGAACGGAGTTTGGCCGGACGATATTCGGCGTACGTTTCAGCGTAGCCAAGATTCTCCTCATCATCGTCAATTTCGTTGCGACGCTGCTCAATCAACTCATCACGTCCCATCTGATACGCCATTTTCATTTCATCCTTTGCCTTTTGCGATTTCGACTGCAATATTGGAGTTGCAGCTGTCGAATTGAAACTGGGAACAACTCTTGGCGACAATCCCGATCCCGGGCTTCTCTGCAATCAATCAAATTCAATGGTTTGCACATTAACCGATTTGCCTACCGGCAACGAGGACGTCATCATCAATCTCTGCGAATTCATATTATACTCGAAAGCTCCGCCAGCTCCGCTAGCCAAGCGTTGAATTCCAGCATTAGTTTGAACTCTTTAATATGTTTTGAGTGAATATCTCAAAACAAACACAAAATACCGGTTGATCAACGTTCTCTGCAAAGCAGTTGCTTTCAAATTTCCATTCCTCTGTGCGATTATTCCCTGCGATTTGACCGATTGCTGTGGTTTTCCCTGATATCCCACATTAGGCTCCTGGTCCTGATAAATCATAATTAAAGGAATATTCAGGAATTCTATAATGATACCAAATAATGGAAAGCCGGCGATGAGTTAGACGGATGAAGTCCGCGATTCTGAACATCATCCCGATGCGTGTATCGAACTTCTGAAAATTGGAGATTTCAATTATGAATCTTTACGATTTCATCAGAAAAACCAAAACTTTCGAAATTCTATTTTGAGATGATTCATTTCATTCAAAGAACGCCAAGCTCAATTTCTTTTTTGTTTTCAAACAAAATCGACTTTTGATGACTCAAAAGTTCAGTGAGAGTTCATTGTGATTCGATGTTTCATAAAAACGTACGCCCTTGCTCTCTGAATGGAGTGACGCGACTCGCAGGTGGTCGGACCATTCTTGATTGAACCATCGGCTGATGATGAAGCATCGTTGAGCCGCCTGTTCCGCGTCCAATGATGTTGGTGACGCGATAGCCAGAAGCTGTTGTATAAGGTCCCCTGAAAAAATAAAATTCTCAGAAATCATTTTAACACTAATTAAGATCATCAATTGTGTAAATAAATATAAGAGGATTCGTTTCGGCTAATTAGATACACGACCTTGATTTATCATAAACGAATTCATAGTTTGATCTTTGCAATAGGCCAAATGATCACGATAGCTAAAAACTCACCGTTGCGCAGCTGATCCTCCTCTCATCACAATTCCGCCACGACCCGCGACTCGCGATACGAGAGATCCGCGCCGGGCCATTGGCAAGACGTCATTGTTCGGATTCGGTGCCGTCGTGATCACTTTTTTCACCAGGACATGCTGACCATTGGGACCTTCTTGTCGGACCATCACAACTCGTTCTCCTGGTCGTTCAGCATTAGCAGCACCAGAAGCCGTAGGAGCAGTAGGGCGTCCACCACGAATGGAAATACTACCACGGCTTGCACCAACCGCCGGCACCGAGCTCAATGCTCGATATATCTTTTGCCCCTGTTCCTAATATTGATTAACATGAACAAATAAGGTCATTGAGCAACATACGTTGATATAAGGCTTCAGATACTGCGTTTGAACTCCATTCCTTGTATGAATTGTCCGTTTTATGATTGGACCACCAACAGCGGTAATCGCAGCTGAAACAAAAAGAATGCAATTATATTCAAAGGATTGTATTCCATTATAATATTTTTAAAATTAAACCTTTCACTGATATTTTTTAAATTAATAAATTAAAAATATAACGAATTTACTTTTCTTATGAATTGTTACAGGCGCTCCTTGCATGGAATTCGATGTTGTCGATACCGTAGACGCCGGAGATGCTGTCGAACTTCTCTGAAGTGGAGTTGAAGCTACAAAGCGCGAAGCCGATGGTGATGGCGAAGCAGAATGATCGTTATTACTAAATATAGATGATACGGATTTTGAACGAAAATAAATGATTGAATCTTACTCGACGCTTTTGCTGATTTGCACCCGAAGCGGTTGTGGTTCCTTTGTTGGTTGCTCAATCTCGTCTTTAGCCGGGGATGCCTGAGCGGTCCCCTTTTCAGGTTCGGGTTCAGGATCGGGCTTCGGGGTCACAACAGTTGCCGGTGGTGCTGATGGCGGAATCTTTCTCGGGATTAGTTGGATGCTGGGAATTTCGGGCTCGGACACCGGCGCGAATTCCATGTTCATCGATGGAACTCCATCGTTTGAGTCGGTCGTGAATGTTGTCGAAGCCGATGTGCACGGAATCATGTATTCGCTGAGCGGCGCATACATTCCCTCGTTCGACGTGTCATCTAAAACATTGGAATTTTTATGAAAATTTTTCCCCCGCAATAAAAACCGTATAGAACGACCGATGAACCTTGTGCGGATGTTGTTGAGTCATCGTGGAGGCTGAAAAAAAAATCAAAAATCGATATCAATAAAAACTATTCAGATAAATTCTCAAGGTCACCCAAAATTTCCCCCTTGTTTTATATATCACTCGATTGCTTCAAAATAATAATCTATCACAGCTTGAGATATTTAATTGCAATAGAAGCTGAATTTCATCAAAATATGATCCACAATTGTTCAATGTGTTCGTTTTTCTGCGATGGCATCAATAAGGATTATCATATTTCTCATGAGATATTTCAAAGGATATATAATTTTTTTTTTCAAAAAAGGACTAGTAATAGACGAGCCTAGGTTTTGAAATTCTATAAATTGATCAACTAGCTAAAAACGATCGAATTGCGTCATATTTTGCCGGGGTCAATCGAAACGGATAGCAGCAAAAAACCAATGAGTGGAAAAAAAATCAAAAACCATCGCACATTTTGCAGAACACGACAAAAAAAAATGTTTTTCTCTTTGGCGAAATTTTTCTCACAAATCGCAGTTTTCACGGCGAGCAAAATGCATACCTTCCTGATGTGCTCGGCACTGGTGACGATATCAAAAACTCCTCAAGACCGGCTTCACAGATTGCCGCCGAGAGAATATCATCCATGAATTACGCGAAGAATTCTGCAAAGCGAGAAAAAAAAACTCGAATTGAATGTAATTTTCAAATCAGTTTCGTAATTGCGAGCGAGTGAGAATAGGCAAAAAGGCGGCGATAGCAATCAGCGGGGGCTGTCCTACAATGCCACTTTTTTTCAAGCCGAGGCAAAAAAATAGAAAAAAAATGAAACCAGACGATCATCATATGAGGGAATCGTGTGCGGGCAGACGAAAACCGCGGCGACGATAAAAATCGGCGGCCACGACGATATATCTATATCAAACAATTCATTATCATTCGAGTGATTGCGCTTTGGCTGCTGTAAATGTTACACTTGTACGCGATAGGTAGATCAATTTTGAATGTGGCTTTGGTCAATGCTGTTGTGCGCTTTATGAACAACAGAAAAATGTAATGATGAGTCAGAAACGGAACGCAATAAAACAGCGGAATGCTGACACCAAAGAATGTGCAAACGCGCCAAATTTGAATATTCAAAATTGACCACGTGTTTCAAAAATAAGTTATTATGATCTACACAAAAAAATAGAGTAATCAGACTATACATCGAACAAATCAATACACGAAATCGGTTCGATTTGGTTTATTTAATTTGATCTGCGGACATTCAAAGGCATTAAAAATCTATAGCGATGGTTCTGTTCGCTCGGTTGAAGGTCAGCGAATGCTTCTGAAAGCATTTATCAAGATTTCGATAAAAGGGGGGAACGAAAGAAATCATAAGACTGAATTGGATTGCGAAATTAATGAATTGAAAAAGGGTGAAAACGGATTGTACTCGAACAAAACCACTACTATTGCTCTGGGCGTTATGAGAGTCAAATGGGTTAAGAGACGCAGAAGGTTATGTGGAAAAAAAGCGACGGTTTGAGATATTTCGAAAATTCGAGAAGGACGGTTTCTCACAGGTGGGTGATAATAAGTTGTGAGAATAAAAAACACTCACAATGTGGACGATAAACTGGCCGACGTCACACAAACAAAACATTCTATGTTTATGTGAAATGCGATTAGTTTATTGATTTTGATGCGCTTCGCTAAAATCAACAAAATTTATATTTTCTTATGCAAATCAGTTAAGAACTTGCATCTTTTTATTTGGATGTTTATCGTCCAAATACTATATTCAAATATTTTTTTCGATGGAACCAAACCATCAAATAATTACTAATGATTGATAGACAAGGAATACCGAAAATGGCGGCGGAGTACACTCAAACACCAATGAATTATTCATGGACACCACTATCGGTCGCAACAATGAGCATTCGATTTAAATATGCTTCGGAATAAATTACAAGCGGTTGAATAAAGGCTATTCAACTTATTTCATAGAACAATTTTAATTTTTATAGTAATATTTGAAAAAAAATTTAAAATTTGGGGAAAATTTGAGCGAAACAATGAATAGGAATAGTCGTCAATTGTGGCGCATTGGACGCAATGCGGACATTCAACGCGCACCGTAGTCCCCAACGAAAATATTATTTTTTGGTGAGTACTTTCAGAATTGGCGAAACATGGAAATTTCGCAGATTCGAACAAAATTGAATTGATAAAACCGCCATATAAACGAAAATAGAGGCACAGGCAAACCTGCTTACACAAGACAGCTCGCAATTTTGTAAAAAAAAAAACATTCTTTTGGCACTCGCCTAAAAAAATCAACGCGTTCGATGCAAATGCAAACAATGAAGCGAAAACAAAAAATTGAAGCTTGTTCTAGTCAAGAGAAGAGCTAATTTATTATACCGCTTTTTTTCATTTTGGAAATGAAATGAATGGCATGGCAAAAAGAGTAGCGACGATTGGACCCAACGAGGACCTAATCCTTCAATGGCAGGTGTTTCTTTTCTAATTGCATGCATATAAATTATTACGTTGACCTTCAGTTTTTCGGCAATCTTATTGAATGCGGATTCTATTGCAAAAAATAGGGGTTGCAATCAATTCGCGATTTTTTAGCGAAAGCGATACCACCGTGTGAAAATGCCTTGAAATAACTTCACTTTCGTTTTCGCCACCACAAATTTATACTTGACTGCGAATAGAATAATTGTAATAGCTTAGCAAGTTTTTCAAACATTCGAAATACCTTAAAAGTTGCCATAGATGTTTTTTTAAGCTAGACAACACACAAAATCAAACCTTTTTTGCATAAAATTCCCTGAAATCAGAAATACAGGGTGTCATTTAAGTTCCCGCACAACTTTGAAGGCATATATTTCTTAAACTAAAAGTCCAAATCAAACGAGACTCGAAATATTTTTTATCTATAGTATAACAAATAATTATCTATTAACTCTTTGTGATTCGGTCTCCTTTCGCAGCTATGACTTCACGGAGACGCTTGGGGTAGGATGCGACTGTGGTACGCAGGAATTTGATGGAAAGATTGTCCCATTCCGCCAGTAATGTCTTCTTCAGAGCCTCTATACTTGAGTGGGGTTTTGCGTTGACCTTCTCCTGCAAGACCCCATCACGGAAAAGTCAAGCGGGTTCAGGTCTGGGGAGCAATCAGGCCATTCGGATGACTTGATGAAGTCGGGAAAATGGGTCTGGCACCACTCCTGAGTAGTTTTGGCAGTGTGGGCGGGTGCTCCGTCCTGTTAAAAAACCTATTTCTGCCCACCGAAATGCGTTTGGGCCCAGGGTATCACAGTTTCTCCAAAATGTCCCGAACGTAGACTTCTTTGTTCACTTTCACCCCCTGATCCGCGAAAACCAGGGAGCACTTCCCGGTTGAGCAGATGGCACCGAAAACCATCACACTGGCAGGATGTGAGGCTGGATGATATGTTCTTCCTTTCTCAGAAGCTTGCTGGGATGTCTGGGCAAGTACTCGATGGTTTTGTGAGTTGAATGCCGCCTCCACACTGAACAGCTTCTCGTCGGAGAAGACAGTGGCGAGGTGTTCTCCAGACCGCGTGCGAGCAAGAAGTCGTTTTGCTTTTTCGAAGCGTCTCTACTTGTTGGCGGCCGATAGAATTGCCGCTTTTTGGACACGATATGGGGTCAGTGCAAGCTTCGTTTTGACAATTTGTTCCATAGCGAAGATGCTCATTCCCACGTCTGACGCCATCTTTCTCATGCTCCTGTGTGGGTTTCGCCTGATCTTCGATTTTACGGCGTTGAACTTCTGAGGAGTGGTTACCGAGACGAGTCTTCCTTATCTGGGACGGTCACTGGTCGTATTTAGTTCCTTGAAACGTTAGATGATGTCGTAAACCGTTCTAAGAGGCACACCGAGGCGTTGAATGATGTCTCTCAGGCTCACATTTTGCTTATGAAGTTCGATAATGGAAGCGCGATGGATGTTAGCCTTCGCCATTTCTCGGAAACACATCCGAATGAGGTGAAACTTGGAAAGTAAGTAAAATATACCTTATTTAACAAAAATAAATTGTATTGGTGCACGAAAAGTGCGACAGCCAAGCTCTTCATGACGTCAAACTTTTGTGCGGGAACTTAAATGACACCCTGTATAAGTAAAATCAACACACTTCTATACCGATATAAATAAATAAAGCATGAAAATATGAAATAAATTTTTTAAATCAGTTTTTTTTCGCAAAAATTTTGAACATAGTTTTGAGCAGGCTTTTATTAGCGGAATTTCTAATAAAGTCTGCCAAAAAATTCCGCACGTTTTTTCCGAGTTTGGCTGAAACATTCCTCTCATAACTAAATACTCTTTATTTGTATTCATTTGTTTCAATATTTGTTCGCTACAAGAAGAATTGTATAGATTGTGTGAATTAGTTGAGATTAAAGGGGGTGATGATGCGAAAAACAATTTCTGCAATTATATAGATATGTGAAACACAATTAAACCTGCTACGCAAAAAATAATTCATTTTTAAATTGTTTACATGGAAAAATAAACAAGAACTATTTGTGGCGATGTGAAACGTAAAAATCTCAATTAATATCGCGATTGGATTGCAGACACTTGGCGAAGGGTCTCGTAAGACCTTATTTCCTAAGAGCAATCAAAGCCGTCTTGTCTGCGTCTCATCAATTATGCACGCGATTCTGCACTATTTTCAAAATTCCCGAATTTTCCAAGTGGCGTGCATATTTTATAGATGCAATTATAATGTCTTCCATCGAACCGCCTTCTCACTTTTAGTGTACTTTGACTTGAAATACGCCAAAAAGATACAATGACAAAATATACAGTAGAAACTGAATACCTTTTTTATTTCATAAAGAATATTATTAATTCATTTTTCTAAGCCTCCTCGACCCGATTTGATTTTTGATTCAACGAAAAACCAGTTTACTGTTTCATGTACATATGATAATCAACTCAAAAACTTGGTGAGCATTTCGTTCAGATGAAACTTTTCCGGCAGTTTCGTCACAAAAAAAGATTATTCCGCATCAAAAAGTTCAATTATTTCCGTTTTTCTTCCAAAAAACGGCGGATTTTCCTTAATGTCCTCGTCCAGTGTGTGAATTGCTGCAAAATATTGTATCTTTGATGGAATATGATTTTAGATAGCTTACTTGTTAGAAAAATGTTTCAATTTTTCATTCGAGTGGTTTCAGGGAAAATTTCTCAAAATGTTTCAAAAGTGGTTACATCGAAACACTCTACTCATTATTGATATTTTCGTGATTGATTCGGATTGATGGCGAAGAAGTTCAATATTTCTTCGAAGAAACAAACATTTTAGGACACAATCGAAATCAGCTTAAACTTTTTTTTTCCCGTTAAAAAATTCGTCCATTTTGAAAAAATTACTATCGACTATTTCGAAAATACTAAATAAATTCTTTAAAAAAATCAGCTGATCAGCGTTTTCAGAATTATTGACGATACTATTCTGTTAAATTCAATAAACATCTGTGGAATGCAAATAACCAATTCATTTCGAAATTCTGAACATTGTTCAGGTTTGACTCACCCCTCCTCATAAAAAAAATCAGAATGCGATTTAAAAGTTTGCAGTTCAAATTTAAAAAAACCATTAATGATAATTATTTGAATCAATTTATTTTGGTTTGATTTCAGTATTTTTACTTCAATTACAAATCAATTTCACGAACAAACTTCAATCTGAAAATATTTTAAAGAATATACCATTTGTCAAATCCGGGACGATTTGACCTGAAAAAGGGGGAAATAAATGGAAAATATAGAGGTAAAAATGGAAAAAGAGAGGAGAAATAATTTCGAAAATGTGGCCGTAAATCTACACTGTGCGATGGGGCGCGGTTGCAACCCTAATGAATAGACGCAGACGGTGAGAGTCTATAGGGCGTGATGGGTGATTTTCCCACGGGTTCCCGCCGCGACGCCAGGAAGTAGGATTTTGGGAGTAAATAAATGGATTAATTTTGGCCTAAATTAGTCAGTTTTTCGCTCTGTTTTGACCGCGAGCGGTCGGTTTTTTTGGCTGTTCTCTTCTGAATGTTTTGTTGAAGCCTCTCACCATGCTCGGGGAGCATGTCGGTGGCCCGAGGGGCCTGCACCGAGGGAGGCAGATGAATCTTGATCGGCCGAGGGCCGCGTCAAGATGAATCTTGAAGGCTTGAGCAGTCTGGGACTGTTCCAGCCTAGAGTTCGCGAATTGAGCAGTCTTGGACTGCTTAAACGAAGCCTTAGCCTCCCGAGAGGTCGACTTGGTACTCTAGGGTTGCCTTAGAGAGGGAAATGCCCGTGCGAGAAGCTCGGGTGGGTTAATGATGATGCCCAGAGCCTAGCTACGGCGATGAAGGCCCAGGGATCTGAAACCTCTTTCTGCCCACCAAAGAAGGTCCCGAGAGGGACGGGGTTTTGGCATGATGGACTATCTTTCGGTGCCTTTTTAGAAGTACTGAAGGGTGGAGAAGTGCCAGAATTTACACCATTCGGAAGATAACGCGATAACGAAACATTGAAAAAATCGACATTTAAAACCTTTTTTTTTCAATTCTGATTTTTTTAGTCTTTCTGACAAAGAAATTAGAAGAGTTTATACTTGATTGAAGCCGATGCGGAAATTCAGAGAATCTCATTTTGGGTTTGGCAGAAAATGAAGTGGAACTACGAAAATATATAATAATGTATATTGTAAAAAGGAATATTAGCTTTTTATGTTTGAAATAATTCGAGGAAAAAAAAATAATTTCTGTTATTTTTACTAAAACGTATTGATGGAGACAAACGACTTGACGAAATTTAAAAAATTATTGGCTATGTGCCAATGCGCCTCGGTGCAGCGAGAAGTACGCGAGACTGCGTACATTGCATTATATCGTACGCGCATTTAATATTCAGTTAGCGATTAGCTTAAATCTACACTGATTTCGCGAATTTGAAGGTCCCGCCTCTCTTCAATCATTTGATGCCTGAATACAATTACTACTTAAAGATATTCCTTAATTTTTGACATTTACTACGTCATTTTAGGTCCAATTTTTTCAGTTTTTGCCAACAAAAAACCATGAAATGATGTGCATCAACAACAATCAAAATGATAACTACGCCGATCGATGATAATGAGCATTCCTGAGCATCTAAATTTGACATGCTCTTGTGATTTTGATGACGATGCCCATATTGGGTGGCGATAACACACTCAACATATACAATCAAGCAAAGCGACAGAAGAATGGATGATTCTCAAGAATCGACGATTTCAATTTCTAAAGAATTCAAAAGAGAAACGTGAGTTTCACGAGTGAATCAAAATCAAATCGAAAATTGTAGGCCGCCGACAGATGAGGTTTTTCTCTCGCAACTGGGCAGTCAAAGCATGACAGTCATGTCTCAGACGGAGCTTGAAAATGAAATTTTCAATTTGGAGCGGGATATTCGACAACAGAAGGAGTCGAGTATGAACGCGAAGACTGCAATCAATCCGGAACAATTGAGGAAGATCTACGAGTAATTGATAAATAATTGTAAATTGAAAATAAGTCTGGATTGAAGAATTGGCAACGCGTTGGGACCACACAAAGAAACATTTTTCGATAGAATTTGTCGAGCTGCTGAAATCCAACGAGCCTCGTTGAAAAATCGCCTAAAACAGAATAAGGATGTTAGTTTTTTTTTGCTGTCATCTGCGTTTTTTTTTTTTTTAATTCTTCATTTCCGATCATTTCAGCGATTCGATTTCTCGCAACACGGCCGCATTTCTCTGCTCTCGACACCTCTAAATGATTCGCAACAGAGTAGTGGAACCGATACGCAATTCCAGGTAACGCAGAATACTATTCAATTTCTTTGTTCAACCGCTCCGACGACGACGACGACAACAATGTGGAATTCAACAAGAGCTATTCAGGTATTGAAACCCTCGTGCAACGCCTTCAAAATTTTTCATCGCAGCCAGAAGCTCGAATACCAGCCGAACGTCAACGAGACCTTCTCTGGATGGGATTCCCGTATGATGAGATGAAACAGGTGTCCATGATATCGCTAATCAATTGAATACAATTCCATCTTTTCAGCTTAATGAATTTTTTGAGCAATTCCGGAAAGAATATGCAGATCGTGTCAATTATAACGATGTGTCATATGTAGGTCATCTCGATCTGATTATCGATCTAACCGGATTTTCAGGTTCTCAAACAATTTTTGAATAGAATTACAATTAATCCACCGCAGAATTTGAAACAAATTTGTATAGCATACACATTATTGGAATTGGATAATCCGGTGGAAGACGTACAGAAAGCAATGATGAAATCCGTTAGTTCACATTTTAATGTTTCATTTTCCAATGTCTGTCGAATGCTTCAGAAAAGACCTCGACGCGATTCGGACAGTGACGAAGATTTACTCACTCGCAAACGAGTTTGCGCAAATGCTAGTCCTCTTGTTAATGATCAGATAGGTAGGAAATTCGACAATAAAAAGGAATCTTATATTAATAATGTGAATTTGAGGTAAAATTCCCCGTGATATGGTATTAAATATGGATAAATACCCACTCGATGGCACCCAGCCAAATTAGGAAGGTTAATAATGAATCAATAAAAAATGCCGAACGCTTCCTGTAGTTTGCTTTTGGTAGAAAAAAAACATTTTCAGGTAGTTGTTTGAGTGGTCCTGAAACGAATATCGCAAAATATGAAATTCTCTGCTTCTAGAGATTAAACCGCCCAAAATTATTTCATAGAAAACCCGCAAATGTAAATTTCAGAAAAAAAATTCGAAATAGCAAGAGGAAACTTGTGAAAATTTCCGAGGAATGGGCAAACTCGGAAAAAACTGTTCCAAAATTCGCTGAGTAACGAAATTGTTCTTTTTTGTTTTTAATATTTTTGAGGGTGACGGTATATTTACGCGAGGCACTGTAATTTTGTAAACTGAATTCTCTATTTCTCATCAATTTGATGGGGTTTTTTTTTTGAAGAAATTCTAATACCAAGATTTTTATTTAAATTACTAAAAAATTCAATAGAAACGTCTATGAAAAACCGTACAGAATGAATACAACAAGATTTAAAACCCATACGAATAGAAAAGAAGGGGCTACCGAAATATGAAGAGGGTAATTATTGAATCGTACCGCACCAGTAACAAGACGATTCTCATCCTAATATAAGCTCAATCATGTCTAGAATGTGTGTACAAAAAGTGAATTATCTAGATTTTGGTAGCCATAAGGAACATGACGCCTTCGCCCTCAAGGACGTACTTCTTGGCGTTCTCAACGTCGAGATCAGCGGCACGGAGAGCATCAAGAATCATCTCCTCGCGCAGGTTGAGAAGATGGAAGATAGTCTAAAAACAGATTTTTAATTTTTGGTAAATGAAAACAGTGTAAAATTTATTTTATGTTGAGTCACAATAACAGCTACAAAAATGTAAATATTCATTTCTATTAAATTTTTTGCACTTTTCGAAGGCAAATTTTTTTCCTTTTGATTTTATGTAATTGAATTTGGGAGGTACTACATTCTAAAAATCACGGATGTCAGCAAAAAGTGGTGTCGAGTTACCAACACCTTCTGGAACTTCTTGATTCGATCCGTGTTTGTCTCAATAACATAAACGTCAGTTGGTATGTTTTGCGTCACAACAACTCAAATCAAAAGATGAAAGACTAAACAAAAGAAAAAAGCATGAAATAAATATGTCTAGGTACCTGAGTTCCCGAATTGTAAGCGTCATCCTCAAGGACCGATCCGATTACAAATCTTCCGCCTTTTCGAAGATGCTTCATCTGAAAAACATAATCGATGAAGACCGATGAGTCAATTCCGAAGCAGCGTCTTGGTTTCAATTTAACACATTTAAAATAGTCGTAATACGTTGTAAAATAGATGAACATCTGGCACACACCAACGAAACACTCAATAAAAGCTCAAATAGCAATTTGTCTTCATTTTTTTTTGGCCGACTCACCATATTCAAAACACATGCACAGTATTCTGTGTAGTTGCAGCAAGCGCTCTCGAGAGTGAAGATCGAAACGAGAATGTCGACTTGCGTCGCACCAAGATCGGGCACCACAATCGGTTGATGAACATCGGCAAAATGGATTCCGCCACATTTCACAAGGCTCTGAAACGAATAATTTTTTATTGCATGAGAAAATGGAAAATTTTGAAAAGAAACATTTTTTTGACTCACTCTGGATTTCTCTTCGACATCGTCGATCACTTCCTTCGTTGGTGTTGCGCCTCCTTCAGTTCTAAATTTGAAATTTTCGTTAATATCGATATTTGGACAATTTTTATACCTCATAATGACTTTAATGGTCGGTGCCCAATCAATGGTATTCTCGTGCCTAAGCCACTTTCGAAGAACATCGAGATTCCGGTCAACATAGTCGGCGAGATGAACGCGTTGGACAACGTCTCGGAAGCAAAGAGCCGAATAGACAGTCGGACCGGCGCCAATGTCGAGAAGAGTCTGGCGCTCATGTGGCCGCATCGTTTGGATCATCAAATGCGCGAAAACCGGAAGAGCGAACAACGAGACGCGGGTTCCATCCTCAATGGCGTCTCTGAAAGAAAAACAAAAATGAAAATCAATTAGTCATATTCAGACATTTTAAGAATCTCTGTCTTGACGAAATTTAAAAATTATTTGCTGTGTGCCAATGCGTGTCGGTGCAGCGACAATATTGCGTATATTGCATTATATCGTACGCGCATTTAATGTTCAGTTATCGATTAGTTTGAATCTACACTGATTTCGTGAATTTGAATTCATCAGTCGTTTGAAAGTTAAATAAGTGCCAAATATTAATGACGTTATCCGTATTTGATCTTTGGATTCGACTCTCTTCCCTTTTAATATTTGGTTTCATCCTTCTCGTTGAGCACTTGAACTTATCGTGTCCAATTCGCAAGTAACCAAACAATCAATCAGAAATCACTTCTTCGCGCTTTTCAAAGTTTTTTTTGTTCGATTGCATTGCGCAAGAACGGCGCGCAAACCTCTCGAAATGTAACCGATAGATTGAGACAACAAACAATCGGATTTTGTGTTGATAATTCGCGCCGATTTTCGATTATGATTCGAATGTTCGCGAACAAAAATTGAGGAGATGCATTTTAGAAAAAAAAGAAGTCTCATGTGAAAGTGGGACAACCGAAATTTTTTGATTTTCTCTCGCAAGAAATGCCAATCATATTTCGAAATATTAAAATCGCAAAAAAAATCGAGCACTCGTGTGGATGTTAACGGCGAGTTCGAGGTTTTCCGTAGAATCCATTTCAATCAAAATTTGAATTCCCGCCTAGAAGAACTGTGATGGTCCACAATTAGTCAAGGTGCTCGTGATTTTTTTTTTGCGGCGCAAATAATTATTAATTTGAACTTGTTCTTCATTTCAATCACATTCGCTTACTTGTGATTTTGACGTTGATCAAAATCCCCAAAAGCCACCCATAAAATTCGTTGAAAACCCGAAATGCCCCGAATCCAAAAAATTCGACAACCAACTTGCTGAAATAGAAGTCGAGGTATGCGTCGGGATCGAATTTTTTCACGTAGTCGTCCGGAAGAAGGACCGCTTGTTGTTCTTCAGCTGTCGCCGACGCCATCCGCTTAAAACAAAAATCAGTTGGAATAGAAGGAAACAATAAAACAAGCAAGATGTAGCAGCAATAGCAGAAGTACGCACACACACACACACAAAAAACGACTGATTGAAGTGAGAGAGACAATGGTCGACGGAAGAAGCTCGAGGGATGCAGACAACCCGTCAATATGCACACGGGTGAAGGAGGCTGAAGATCTTGAGGGATAGCAGCAAAAAGACGAGGATGAAGGGATTGCAACTCGACTGAGGACGAATAATGATACCCACTTAGCGGAGTCAAATTGTGGGCGGAGCTTCCGGAGACTTCGGCCCGACGATCCGTCAGAGCAAGAAAACAAATAAACAATGTATGAGGAGTTTTCGAGAAAAAACATAGACATGTCTGAATAATATTGATGAGCTCTCTTTAAACTGTAAAATTCTAGAATGTTTTGAAAGAAACATAAAGTCGGCGTCCGGCGACTTCTGTACGCGGGTAGATTTACGGGAATGCGTCTTTCGAAATGGTCTCGCAAGGACTAACAGGTTCGATAATTTTTTAATCGAACGACGTTGAAAATTCAAGGAAATGCCAAACTCATCAAGAAAAATGAAGCAGTTCGCGTGAAAACAGCAAAATAAGCATTCACGCGTGGCGAGACCTTTTCAAGGCGCATGCGCGTAAATCTACCCGCTTGCAGCAGTCGCCGGACGCCGACTATACTATTTTAAGTCAAATGAACGAATTTTGTGAATATTTTCAAAAATGTCCACATATATTGTCATTTTCAAACCAATAAAGATGGGCGGGCCTTCAATTTTGAGAATCCTGTGACGAATTCCGAAAGTGCAAATTTCGAGTTGACTGACTGAATGTTGTTTTGAAGCCGTGCCCGGTAATCGCTAATATGTAAAAGCATTTTCTTGAAACGAATGTACTTGATTAATTGGAATATTGAAATCATTTATTATTTGATTAAACTTGATAATTTCGGCTTACTCGACTACGCTAGGGGCGAGAGTTCAAATTTCGATCTATCGTAATACGGATAACATCAAACCCCCTTGCAATTCTAATTTCATCGAGGACGGACGAATTTAGAAGGGCTTATTATTCAAATTTTTGCGCCATCATACTTGGAACTGGGCGGGGCGGGTCTGGGTGAGAATAGTACCAATCAGCTCGACCCGCTAATAGATTTTTAAAGAAAACTTCAAAAATGAAACAAAAACAGTGAAATCAATTTTTTTGGGAACTTCTGAGCAATTTGTGTTCCAAAAACATGGCGGGTCGACACGGAAATTTGCAAGTATGGGCGCCATCATTTTCAATTTGATCTAGTATGAAATGCATTAAAATTTCAGCAAATATCAAAGGTGCATGCGAAAATTTGTGGATTTCGCGCCATATCCAAAAATGTCTAACGTGTTTGATCATTCAAATTCGTCCGTCTTCGACAATACAATATTTCATTTTTTCTTCGAATCCGATTGATTTTCATTTCCCTGACAATCTGAGCAATAAAATTCGAGGTAGCCAATACGTTTTAATATTGAAGTCGGCCGCTTGAATCCGAAAATATGCCATTGTAAAAAGCATCGAAATTAAAATTTGTCGAATTCTCTTATAAAGGAAAACCTTTTAAAATATGAAAATGCACGAAAATGTGACATTCTTTAATAGTCAAATGTTATTTTTGAAAATATATTTCAGTCACATAACAAATTATCACTTCATATTATCACATTGTCTGCAACGCGTTTGTCGTCGGAGAACTTTCTGGAAACTTTTCGCAGTTGTCTTGTTTCGCAGCTTTATCACGTGAACTTACATGACCTTTCTCACATTTCTGATTTCTATATAGAGCTGTGTGAGCCTGATAACATCCATCTAGGCATATTCAATGAGTACGGTATCCATCACGATAGCAGAAGCAAACGGCTGGTAAAATAATAAAATTTTTAAATTCTTAGAGAATTGTTGATTAGTTGGCACACGTAAATGATATCATTAATGGTCCCATAAAAGGTTCAGGTCGAAACTGAACAAATATTGATACAATTGCTCACCTTTTCACTGAGACGAACTACAAATTGGTTATTATTTCAGGGTTCTTTGTGATTCATCCTGAAAATAAAAAATGTGCAATTATTAAAAAGCACACACATTTTTATGAATCAAAATCCTACAAAAAACGAATCGAATTTCCAGAGAATACAACAATTTTTAAGTAATTCCAAGGTTTAGTATTTTCCAGAAAACGAGGATGTAATAAGTTAATAATGAAAACATACATCCCACGTTGAGAAAAAGCCCGAAAATTCGATTGTACATTCGAATTCAATGCCTATTCCGTTTGTTATCAAAACATTTTTTTAAATGATCGATGATTCATCTCTCGTCGCCCTCTATGATTAAACATTTTTTAGACAGACATTTCGGAGCATAATGTGGAGGGAATGATAAAAACCAGGAATCATAGTCTTTATGAGGAAATTGAAAAACGAAATTATTGCACCAAATACCATACATTCCTCTAGTAGACAACCGACAATTTCCTCATCGCGTCTGCGGCCTAACCGTCTTACGTGATCTGTCGGTGATTTCAACAACTTTGATGCGATACACGCACACACTTGCCCTCTCTCTCTCTCACACACACACACATACACACTCACACACATACCGACGAGAAACACACTCTCACAGATTTTTTGATGATGGTTTTGTACTGTTGTCGTTTGAGTGTCTTCGGGTGTTCGCATAGCCATCATCGTCATCGTCATCGATTTTCGCCTTGTTCGTCGTTTTTGCCGTTGCCCGATCTCTAACACATCGAAAACATGCGCAAACACTCGCGTTCAAACACAATTACAGTTTCCGTTTTTCAGTAGCACTTTTGGGTTAATTTTTCCGAGACGATGGGCGCGTTCTCGTTGCTGTCGCGAACGCACAAGCCGATTTATGCGAAGGTCAGTACGATGGAAGCCGACCTCGAACGAATTGTTATTGATGTAAGATCATTTTTTTCAATTAATGATAGCTTCATTAATATTGTCGACGTCGCAAGACTGCGGATCTATCCAGTGATAGCTAAATCACAGATTTTTTCCATCAATTTCGCATTACACTAAATAAATCCATTAGGGAGAGCTTATATCCATTTTTTTTGAATTAAGAAGAAATAGGAAAAAACCAATTCCAGGAAAAAAAGAAAATTTGACAAATGTTTTTGAATTTTTATAGTATTCGTGCCAACACCCGACGCACAAATGCAGATTACACTCTAATTTAAAATTAATCTAAAATATCATGCATTTGTGCGTCGGGTGTTGACACGGTCCCTATAAAAATTCAATGTCGCCAGTCGAATTTTCTTTTTTTTGCCAGTGGAAACCCATATAACAGTTCTGTTTATTAGAAATTAATTTTTTTATCTCAATGTTTATTCAATTCGAAAAAAAAACGTCGTGAAATTCATAGGGCGAAGCATATAAGAAATTGGTTTTTTTCCTCAGAATCGAAACAGTCTGACCTTAAAAAAATGCGATCTTACGTTTGTTGCAGTTCTCGTTTTTTTTTGCGACGAAAATTTATTTATTTAATCGTTTTCTCGCTGAATTAATCCGCAAATTTTCTCACTATTTATTTTTTCAGAAAAGTTGGACTGGTCGTCACTTATTCGAAGCTGTATGCCGAATAATCGGTCTACGCGAGACCTGGTTTTTCGGACTTCAATTCATAAACAAAAAGAATATTCCTTGTTGGTTGCAAAATGATAAAAACGTACGAAAAATTGCCATAGGCCGAATTAAATTGTTGATGTTTCTTGTAGATTTGCAATCAAGATGTTCCAAAAGACTCCGATGGCAGCTTTCACTTCTTATTTCTTGTCAAATTCTATCCAGAAGACGTCGAAACTGAAATTATTCTGGATTTGACTCGCCATTTGTTCTTCCTTCAAATCAAACAAGCAATTCTTTCGATGGATTTGTATTGCTCACCTGAAGCAAGTGTTCTGTTAGCTAGTTTTGCTGTCCAGGCAACGGTATTCGTCTCATTCGATTTTTGAATTGTTTTATTAAAACTGTTTAGCATGGAGATTGCACAGAGGAAGAAGGACTACAAGACCTGGAAAAAGTTCTACCCAAAAGTGTAATTGAGCAATATGATATGAGTCCGGATATGTGGCGGGAAAGGATAAAACGATGGTGGTCAAGGAATGCTGGACAATCGCGAGAAGAAGCCGAGTTGGAGTACCTTCGGGTAGCTCAAGACCTTGAAATGTACGGAATCCTTTATTATCCGATATGTGTATGTTAAAAAGCTCATTAAAAAAATCAATGTGAAATTATAGAATAAGAAGGAGACAGACCTACATTTGGGAATCTCTGCACAAGGTCTTGGAATCTATAAGGGCGTTAATCGGATAACGCCGCGACCGTTTTTTAGTTGGAGTGAAATCAAAAATATTCAATTCAAGAATCGAAAGGTAATCACAAAATCGATTGAACCACGTCGCGAAGTTTGAATTTTCAGTTTCACATGAAAACAGTCGACAAATCAACAATATCATTTCGATCGCGAGAGAGCTCAATCGACTCTTCGATTCTCGATCTGTGTATTGGAACGCATAATTTATATTTGCGACGTCGGCAACCCGACACGCTGGAAGTGCAGCAAATGAGGTCTCAAGCTCATGAAGATAAGCAGAGGCGAATGCAAGAAATGACGAAACTTTCGCTGGAGAGGAAGGAACGGGTTCAAGCTGAAAACGAGTGTAAAGAGCTGAAAATGCAGGTGGAGCGAATGACAATTGAATTAATGAAGGCTCAGGTTCGATTAAAAATTTGTTAAATATTAATGATTATAAATAATTGTTGTCCAATTTAGGAAGCGATACGAAAAGCCGAAGAAGTTAACGATCAATTAGTGGAAAAAGCGCAACATCGAGAAAAAGAAGCGCTGCTTCTTCACAAACAAAAAAGTGAGATGGAAGCAGAATGCAATCGATTGAGCATGAGCAACATGAAGTCGGAAGAAGCTCTGCTCAGGATGGAGAGGAAAGCAAGAGATGCTGAGATTCTAGCAAAGCAGATGTCGATGTCGCTGGCAGATGTCACGTTGGACGCAAGCAGGAAACCGCTATATTCGAGCTATTCCGCATTGATCACGGATCCAATGTGGACTAACACGCAGACAACCGTGAGCAATTCGGGATCGTACCATCAATTACAAACTCTTGACAATCCTGGAATGTCAAGGAGTATGCACATGCCGACATCCAATGGTTATCCGTCGAATCCGATGATGACGAGCCTTCCGCCGCAGCCAACCACCACAGTTCCGACATTTTATGGAGGAGGATCGGTGAGTGCAAATGCCACAACTAACCACTCGACGAAATGAACATTCAGATGATAATGGCTCCACCGCCACCCGATCCATCGATCTCACAAATCTACGAACTTCAGAACATCCGAGCGGAACTCGAAAAGTCGCGATTAGAGTATGAGAAGCGCGCGGCGTTGTTCAAGGAGCATCTCGAAGAGCTTCGAGAAGATATCGACGGTCTGAAGCGGGAGAACGTGAACGGCGCTAGCGCGACTCAACGCGAACACGAGGCGGTCCACGCGCACAACGTCGCTCACGGCTTTGACAAGTTCACAACAATGCGGATGGTAAGTGTTTCGAAATTGGCACAATAGAGTTCCTTTCGCATCGTATCCCCCGACACCCTTTTCTTTCTTCTATCGCTATTTTGCACACAGAAAAAGTCAAAATCTGCAAGTTCGCTCGGTTCGAACCGAGAATTTCGCGGTTCTCGTGCAGCGGTCATTTCGATCTGCAGCAGCAGCTCATCGTTATTGTCTGAAGCGCCTCTGGCCCTATTCCGAAAGCAACTTTCATGCGATGAATACGATTTTTGACGGTATCGGTGTGTGCAGTTTGCATGAAATTGCGGTGGAATTATTGTAAATATAACCCTTTTTTTGTTTCATGGGTCTTTTTATCTTATCAAGTTTATTTTTATCGTTTCCCCAATACAGCGATGTTCTGATAATATCTTCATTACTCGTCTTGCGCCTAACTTTCATTCATTTTACAAATTTTTTCCACTCTGCTGCCCAACCATATTGCAACCACCATTCTCGATGTAGTAACAATCGACGTTCAAGATTCACAGCCGGGAATCCATTATTCTAGAAATTTGTTCATAAAACTCGCATTTCCCTATAATTTTTAATCGCACAGTGTTGTCTATTGCTTTCCGCCAATTATGCTCTCCGAAGCTCCGAGGATGGTTGCAATATGGTTGGGCAGCAGAGTGGATAAAATTTTGAAAACAATTTTTGAAATCAAATGCACTTCCCATTTTTACAGTCTTATTTTCCGTTCTATACAACTATTCATTTCACAAAATTAAACCTTCAAGCCATTATAAAACTTGTAAAAATTTTATCACAAATGAATTGCAAAAGAAGTTGCGAGAAGGGGCAACGAACAACATCGAAATGGGGTATTTGTGCGTGTTGAGGAAGTATGGCTAAAATAATGAAACAGTGTATAAAAACAATGGATCAAAATTTGAAACTTCGGACCCAAAGTTTTGGGACTTTTTGGAACTTTTGCAGAAAACGACATAGCACACTCGATAGGGAATTTCTTGATCTGTTTGTGTGCAAAATTAGAAAAAATTCCAAACCACTACGTAAAAACACCTCCCTTATTAGACTATTGATCTACTAATACTTTGAATGTCTAATTCTCATCATGTTTTCAATGCTTCTTTTTTTCAGAGTATGCGCGGAACACCACGACAACGAACGCAAGCCTTTGATGGAATGTGAACATTTTATTTATATTTTTCATTTTCCTCAATCCTGGTTCATTTTTAGATTTATCTCGGTTATCAGTCCGTTTCTTTTTTTTAATATCCATTTTTGCGATTCATCACAAATTATACTGGTTCCATGTGCCTTTATCTTCAGTTTCTTGTTCAACTTTGTCCTGCTCAACGACCAATTCGCAATATGCCTAAAATCCCATTCCCCCTTCAACGCGTACATAATATTGAATAACTTAGTGTACATAATCGACAAACGAATAGAATAAATGTATAGAAAATTACAAACATTTTTCGTTTTTTTTTGTTAGTTTTCGAAGTGATCTTACTGTCGACCCTTCTTTGTTTTTTTAACGAATTTTCTCTTGTTTCAGGAATGTCGAAAATTTTGGTTTTCGTTTATGGAACGTTGAAGCGAGAAGAGCCAAATCATAAAGTTCTTGTTGATACCCCAGGATATCAAAAGTAAGAGCTCATCTCGACTAAAAACGAAAACTTAAAGAGGGGCGGGGATGAAAGAAAGTACAAATAGTATGAAAAATTTTGAAAAATTGTAGTCGAAAAAATAAAAAAGAACGAAAATTCGACGTTAACTCGTTGCGGAGAAAATCGAACAACATGTGTATTGCCGTCAATTAAAATGTACAAGTCCGCAAAATGATTTCAATTTCGATTTATTTTCGATATTCTTTACTAGGTATCTTTGATTCTTAAAAATCACCAATTGAAATACGAATTTTCATAAATGAGTGTTTACGAGGTCTCAGATAGGAGTATGGATGAAAATTTGACAAGGAAAATCGAAAACAAGTGAAATTGGAATCACTTTGCGGACTTGTACATTTTATTTGACGACAATACGCATGTTGTTTATTTCGCGATCGATTTTGTCCACGACGAATTAACGTCGAGTTTCCGTTTTCTCCTTTTTTGAATTTTTTCATCTAGTCCTCTTGATTTTTATCTACTTTTAAAGTTTCCCATTTAAAAATAAAACCTTTTTTACTTTTGCTTTCTTTAAAAACAGTACTCTCCCCTAACGGTTTTTTTTCATACGAAAACCACTTCGTCAATTTTAACGTATGTAGAGTGATGTCGTTTTCTTTAGACGAGAACAGAAAATTTCAAATATCATAAATATTTATTCAATCAACACCGCATCTGAGGCAATTTTTCTAGAATTTTGTGTTTTCTTACAAATAAAAAATGATTGAATTCGAAATATTTATTTATCTTTACGATTTTCCAGTTTCATAGTAGCTTCAAATGACTGATTCGGGGCGGAAAATTTCATTTCGCAAAATCAGAAATTGATTCGAGCTTCTTTAAATGCTGTGTAATTTCCGTTTTTCCTCGGAAAGTGAGTTCTTCGTTTCATCATCCTACCTAGATCATCGAGCGATATCGACCGTCTTTGTCCAACGGCCACTTTAATCGCTTAATTTTACCTGGGTGGAAATTGTCGGGCTCCGGACGGCCCAAAATGGGAAGTTGAGCCAGCGCGGTTCCCAATTATTATTACTATTTGACCCTCCCTCCACATAGAAGTTCAATGTTTTTCTCATCTGAGAGTACTTCTTCAAATCCGACGATATTCGAGTTTTTCAAATTCCAGGTTCATCTCATCCGGCTCCACATGCTGTCAATATCCGCTAGTAATCGGAACCAAATTCAATATTCCATTCCTTTTGAACAAACCCGGAGAAGGCAAGGTATTGTTGTTAAAATATTTATTACGCGATAGTGGAATACCCATACAATATCCTGAAAAATAACCAGTATGGGCACGTTATGAACAAATAGACAAATGCAACACAAAATGAATATGGTAAGATTAGACGAGACGAACAAAAATTGAATACCATGCCACCCCAAATAATAAATTTTTGAACAAAAATGTATATTACAATTTAAATATGGTCCGATTCAAACGACTGATTGTCAGCACAACAACTCGCCCCTTAAAAACGATCATCTCATCACAGACTTTGGCATTAAATCAGGCGTTTGATTAAATCAGACGTTTGATTCCGACAAATATAATTAATTAAAAATAAATACAGAAAATGCGCTTATTGAGCGCACATTTCGGCTTTCTCATAATATCGAGTCGCCAATTTTCCGTTCATCGCTTCCATCGCGGCTTCAGCAGCTTCCGTGTACAAGTTATAAGCTCGTTCAAAGTCTTGATTCAAACCGTAGCCACCATCTTTATACATTTCCGCCATTTTTGCGAGGATTTCATGGCGAGCCATTGGCGAAAACGACGAGAACGTTTCTTTCGATGAATCCTCAACATTATTCGCATCCTCGTCTTGAAATCCAAGAACTCGTTGATACCTATTAAAATAATTGTAAGATTTTGGCGATTCATATAACAAACTAACCAATCAATAGCTTTCTTATAATCGGTGCTTCTATTCGGACCAAGTCTTTGTCCAGTTTCATATGAATGGGCCATATAAAGCATTGCACCTTTATCTCCCATTTCCGCCGCGATTTCCATCAAATCCGCTCCAAACTCGGTCAAATCTAGAAAAATAATCCAATTTTTATAGAATTTGCTTTAATTTTCACCTTGGCTTCCACCATTCGACGTATCAATGATTCCATTTGGGAACAGATCTTCGACGGTGACTTCTTTGAGCAGCTCATGCGGCATTCCAAGAACAATGTGGGCAGTTGTTAGAATTGCCTCGAGAATTCCGCACTTTCTTGCAATATCCAAATGGAATATCGCCGATTGTTTGTCGTATTGCGTCGGTTTTTTCGCATCCGGCGAGTCCTGATCGCTCGATTCAAGCATTTCCTTTCCACCACCCGATTCCACAAATCTTCCAAGTTCGTGATAACGCGCCAAATCGATATGTATCTGTCCAAGAACCGAGAAATTGTGCGCCGAGTTCGGCTCCAATTCGGCATCATCCCTTTGCAATCCGGCAATGTTCGCCGGAATCGCCTTTCTACGAAGCGCCTTCCAAAACTCGTCACGTTCAGTCTCCTTTGTAAATCGAGAGCTGTTCATCGAAAACGTTCCGATCGAGCTACGGAAGCTGTCATGACGCTGTCGCAGCGAATGAATGTCATAGAAGCCGCTTCTGTTGCGTCGAGCATGCATCGATTCGTCTCCAGATGATCTCGTCGAAATGCTCATACGACTCAGGCGACCTTTTGAGCTATTGGCGTCGCTTAGCATTACCTCTTGACTATCTTCATATGCATCCTCTCCGTCATCTTCAGATAGTGGCTCGTCCATTTTTTCCATAGAAGGAATACAATCGCAACAAATACATTCATCATTATGCTGAATGGTTGCCCAAATTAAATGATTTAAGTTAAAGGAGGTACCTTCGATGAGGTGTCACTCATTGATCTCGTTGTTCTTCTGCGCAACTCATCCATCGATATCGCTTGATCCACATGCACACATTCGCTCGACAATCGCGCTTTTCTCGCCGCAAACTCCGTCATTTCCGCCGATTTTTTGCGGTGTCTCGCTGGCGATTTTGTGGCGGCGAATTCGGGTGGAGAAAGCTCAAAGTTCGACAACTCCATACTATCGCATATATGATTGCAGCGATGCGAGTGGAAATAGAGCGCCATTCCGCGCGTTCCCAAATTTCCGTCGCCATAATCGGTTCCGACAACCGTATGAATCTGTGGATCAGTGTACAAGTCGCCAACACCCTAAAACAATTTTAGAATTTCGGAAAATTTTTGAAATATTCAAAACCTGAATATCGACAACCATTAGTTGATGTCCAGAGCGCTCAAAAGTGAAATGCGAAAATGCTTGTGGAGTGATTCGCGCATCATTGGAAACGAATCCAGAGTTGGAATTGTACCTTTAAAAAAATTGTGTGTTGGATTCATTTTTGGACAATTGATCAGTATTCATTCAATGGTCCCCACATCAATTTTTTGAATATTTGTTTACATATTTGAATAGTAAATAAAAAATTGAAACAGAAACATATGACAGCTATTCAGAGTTTTTTTGTTGCAAAAACTGCATAGTAGGATGCATTTGGGATTTAGATCACATGATGATGTCATTAATCGCCAACATCTGTCGTCTCGCCCCTTTTTTTGTCGTCTCCGCATATTGACAGTTTTGTGACCATGAAAATATGAATAAACGATGGACAGCGAGTCATATGATATTAGAACAAAAAAAAACCATTCGCGAGAAAATCAAAGATTAATGGTTTGCAATTGAAAAATAGGGTAATGCAATTGCAACTCACTTCAAGTAATCTCCCTCAATGAAATGCTCAATATGATAAAGAGGCGATCCTTCAACATCGACCAGCTCGATGACGCACATTTGGACTATGTCAATCTTCTTTGGCGGATTGTATCTGAAATGCAACGCTGATTTTCGCTTCCCAGTAGATTCGTACCTGTTATATTCTTCAGCCCACAATTTCGCGTCCATTTGTAGTCTGACATCATCGAAAAGAACTCGGCGATCCACTTGATTGATATACTTCTTGGCGACATAATTCTGCGCCAAACTCCAATCCTGACTTCCGCCCAATGACGATATTTTCTTCATTCGATAGCATTCGCGCATTGCTCCGCGAGCAAACGACTCCGGGTGCATTCGAATCTCTACCATATCCTCTGTCCATAGTTTACGAATCGCTGAGTAGCGATAACGTTTGGCGCGTTGGATCGGATAATCCTTGAATCGAAACCGATTGAATTTTGATGATGCTCATGCTTACTTGGATATTGAACTGATCCCATGGATCAACATAGTCATTCTTCACACGTCTCGCCACTTTACGCCAACGATCCATAAGATCCAGAACATGTTTTCGTTCAAGCTTTTTCTCAGTTTTTTTCTCAATTTTCGGTTCATAATCATCAGTAATTGGTACCATATACGCAGTCATTGATCCAATGCGATCACGCATTTTCTAGAAATCGAAAAAATTTGAGGGCACTTTGTGAGCGAATGAAAGAACGCAATAAAAATTTGATGGTTTTGTTGATTTCCAAAAAAAACCAATAATAGAAATAGGCACTATTTTTGAAATTTTGAATCTCCCTAGAAAATCTGATGCAATAATTATGCTCAGATTTTTATACAGTAGATTAGATTTTCGCAAAAACCACTGTCAATGGTTTTTTTTTCGGAATTTAGCCGATTTTCCATAAACACGCGTCTTCCACAATATATATACTTTGGTTTCGGCTCAATTTTAAACATGAGCCGATTATTTCTATTTGCTATTTGCCATCCAATTTTTTTAAATACTTTATTTACTAAAATTTGCCATTTCGGATTGAAATGTGGGTAAATATTGTGCAATGGATGGGCTCCGAGAACGAAAAATCCAAATTACCTGCTCCTCTCCATATTGACGACCACTGAAAACGCTATCATTCTCCTTATCATCCTTATAATCAGCACCATCGTCGTCATCCATTTTGAGTTCACTAGTGTTCGATAATTTCTCTGTAATTTTCGGAAAAATCGATTTTGATTTTCTATTTCTTTTTTGAATTTTCAGAACATCGAAGGCGAAGTATACGAGATCGACGAGCTTAAGCTGGAAGCTCTTGATAAACTCGAGGCCTATCCGACACTGTACGACAGACAACTCGAGAAGGTGGGCGCAATTTAATTCATCGGCGGCGGGTGGCGCAGCGAATCGATGTAAACAACAAAGATTGAAAGTGGAGGGGTGGGTGAGTCGGGCGGCGCCGACCGCCCGGGCAGCCGAGCGAAGGGCGGGCACAACGACGGCAAAAAAAATTGAACGAAGATGAGAATATTTCGGCGGATAGGCGCATGACCGAACGAAAAAAAAAGAGAACGAGGACGTTTTCCACAATGAATGCCATAGATCCAATGAAGGCCGTCCACATTTTTCTAGGAGTCGGACGCGAAATTAAATTTCTCAACGCATTGAAAGAGATCAAAAATGAATGTCATTCAAATAATTGTTGGGTTCCGAAAACATCAGGTCTCATGCATCGACAGAAATATTGTAAAGCCACGTTGTCGCACTTATTTGATTGAGAATCACGTATGAGATAGAATATTCAGAAACATTAGAACAAATGAGTCAGATAAGCAATTTGTGGCTATTAATACAAATTAATTAAGATTTAATATTTTTTTGGCTCATTCTAAAACAATTTTTCGATTTGAGATTCGAAAACAAAACTGATTCCGACGTCAAATTAGTGATTAATTAATCGACATACTAATTTTTTGCTCAACCATTTTTCTTATCAATTTTAGTAATATTTAATTTTTTTTACATTTAAACAAACAAGTTTCAACATTTGATTAGGCAAAGAGCTAACTCTTCTTTTCTTCAAGAATATAATTACTATAAGAGTCGAGTGACCTCGCTGAATTATTAGTTTCCGTCACATGCCAATAGCTTAGAAAATATGGTGTCCATTCATGCAAAATGAAAAATGTACAGTTTTAATCAAATAAATAGACCGAGTTGCATAAAAGGCAATAATGCGCGTCACATGTTCAATTGTTTGTTGTTTTCGTCGCCATAAAATAAAAAAAAACCCGATATAATGCAAAATAAATACATAAAAACTCTACAAAAATGGAATGTCACGCGCCAGGCCCTTATTTTTTTCGAGAGAGCATTACATTTCGGTTGCCAAACTGCTTCATTAGCGGAATATGGGTGCATACAACAAAAAAAAAGAAGCGAGGATTTCCGAGGCAGTCAACTAGAGCAACTCGACAATTTCAATGGAAAACAGAAAAAAGATATTTCCGCAAAAGTCGAAAATAGCAACAATTCAGTGATGTTTTTTTATGGCGAGTATATGAGATTAGAATGCCTTATAAAGTCTGGGAATTGAGTAGAATGATTTCTAAAAAGTGCTCCAAAAAAGCAGACTTTTCAAATTTTGACTGGAGAGAGAGAGAGAAACGTTCTAACATTTTTAAAGCAAATTTTACTCCATTCTATTTTTAGGCATGCCACTATTTTGGCTATAATTCTTGAAAAGCGTTCATCACGATGCCCATTTTACGGAATAATGTATGTCTTTTTCTCAAAAATTCCAAAAATTTGGCTTTTCTGAAAATATTGAGACGAGACTTGAAAAGTCTGCTTAAAAAAGAATCCTAAAACTTACGTCAAAATAGTTAAGATGAAATTCGGCAGTTGCATTCCTCAGAATACGGCCTAGTATTCCCATTAAATACACTTGCCACGTATTCCGAAGCATGCAAACAAAAAACTCACACCATCATCTCAAAAAAAAGTCTCCCAAGAAATTTGAACAAATCCAGCATCAATTCCCTGTTTTGCCGATGTTTTCGACGTATGCACGTACATACAACGCGTTATTGTAAATGGGGAATCGATGCGAACGCCTCACTCTGCGTCTCCGCCGCCACCGCCGCCGTTGTTGACCCTTCCCGAAAATTATGGGCTCTTCTAGAATATTCGGGCCTTCGATTAGTTTCGACTCCGCAATAATCATTTCTCGTCTCAACTTTGTCTCCGAATTATACACAATTCCTAACCAAATCACCACATTGCGCGGCTAGGAGAGCAAAAGGGGGCGTGACTTTCTTTTTGTTTTTTACTGCGATGGACCATATGGGCTCAACTCAATGGGAATTTGCATTATGAAAAGAGAAAGAAGAAAAGAATATCATCGGAGGTTTTTTTTTAGATAAAATTGGACAAAGACGGTTCGATAATCGAGGCCAACTTGTATTTGCTCAAAAAATGGCGGCCTGACCTTCTCGAGACCGCCACGCCATACCTGTCAAATTATTCAAGTTTAGGGGATCACAATCGACGATATTGTGAACAGTAAGCAACTTTTCATTTGGAAATTTCGCGCAACTCGATTAATTTTGGAACAATTATAAATTATACTATGGATTCTTTTCGGTGAAGGACTTTCACAAAATGGATCAGAACTGAATTTTTGGACACTTTTTTCACTCGGAAAGGATGTTTTTCCAAAAAAAAAATCTTAAAAACGCATATTTTTCCAAATATTATAAATCTATGAAATATGGACCTATTCATGAAATTTAATTTTTTTAAACAAAAAAGAAACACGTAAAAAATTACCTTAAATTCGCATTTTTAACGACTCTGCATTGGAAAAACATTTTTATTGCTTGAAAAGACCATTACAGACTATTTTCATCTTTGGAATTAAATCGCAAATCAAAAATTTATTTACCGACCGACACGATAATTTGAAGGCGATGTGAAATTGGAGTGTCGTACTGGTAACGTAAAAAAAAGGGTCTGAGATGATTTCTCGCGGATGTGAAATTTTTCATGATCTACGCAATCGAAAAGGCGAAATGTTTTTTTTTTTTTGAAAAATCAGGTACGCCGATTCAATCCAGATGCTTGACGGCGACTCACCAAACACATCGGTGTATCATGAGATTCTAGGCGAAAACGATCCAATCATTGCCGAATTGTGCCGCCGAAAAGCATCCGAATTAAAAAGTTGGATTTCAAATGATAAACCGATTGCCCGAAAATTTTTAAACGCCTCCATTTTTCAGCGAATGCCTAACAAGCGAACAAGATCTATACGACGATTAGGAACTTCTCAAATATGGCCATTCCATTGAAGAACTTTTGAATAACTCATAAATATTTCAACAATATTCATTTTAATGTTAGAGAAAGAAGGAAGTCAGAACGGTGGGGGGCACGGACAAAAATCAGACCACAGAAAGAGAGGATTGAAAACAAAAGAAAAACAGAGCATCCCAAGTAATAACATCTAATTCAAATCTACTTAATTAGTCAATTGAAACAGAAACAAAAAAAAATGTGTTGCATTTTGTTGCCAACCATAACTTGATATTGAGGAAAGAATAAAGGAACACAAGGCGAGAGTTCGATCCCGAATTAGACTTTTCTACTCACTGGGGGCCACAATACGGTGGATTCGGTTCACAACAAAAATAGACAAAAATTAAAATTGAGTTGTCGATATAATTTGGCTTTGAGCACTTTTTCTCGAATTATAAAAAAAAAGGAGGATAGAATTGAAAACACAGACCAAATAAGGAAACAAGATGCGGTTAGCTAAACAACACTATTTAAAAAGAATGAAGAGGAATGCGGCAGCTTCGTGTAGCTGGGCAAAGGAAGGAAATTCAAAAATACTAATGAGGGTGTAATTGAGTTGGTGTATTTGTCTGGTTATTGCCGGTTTCTCAACGATGGTGGAACATAAACGTTCTTCTTCTCGACTGGTTTCGCTTCTGGGACTTCAGCAGCTTGCGGTGGTGGCTGGCGAACGATTGGAGTGTTGTTTGTGCTCATCAAGTTCTAAAAAAAATACGGTTTGTCGGAGATAGCAACTTCCAGAAAGTTTGAACGTGGCCATTTAATCTTAGGCAACAGCTGAGCATAACAAAATATGCAAAGTTACAGTATGTTAAGATGTAAATAAATATTTTCGTGTCGCGCGACAACGGAAAAATGGCTCATTACGAAAAGGCAATAACAGTGGTCTCGACGCAAAACTAATATCGTCGATGAAAGAGCCTATGCATAAGGATAGATTAAAGGCGCACACCGCGCACCGAGACCTCTTTTTAAATTATTTGGCATTAGGCCTGAAGAAATTGAAAATTGCGTTGTCAATTAATTGGAATTGTAAAATAAAATTAGCGCGTACTTTGACACTTTTATTGTCGAAATGACGGCGACTGCTGCAAAAGGGGTAAATTCCAGAAATGGTCTCGAGACAACGAGATACGCGTTGTGTACTCCACACTTAACAAAGTGGGGTGCGTAAATCGACACTAATGTTGCGAGACCCAACTCTACAGTAGACTGCGCAATTTTCGCAATCCCACAACTTCGACAATAAAAATAACCGAACAAATTTCAAAAAATTATAGCCTTTTTAAATTGGCAATACCTGCTCCTAAGAATATTCTATACGAAAAATAATGCGTCCATTCAAATAATAAAGTAATCACACCCCAAATTCGTACAAAATTAACTATAGATCAAATTTAGCTTCAAAGTTTTAAAAAAATATGATGCTACTTTAGTTTTGAACTTTAAAAATTATTGTCTTAATTTTATCACAAGAAAAAAACGTGCACCCGCCTCGAAAAAATGCGATAGTCCACAATTCCTCAAGGTGCATTTTTTGCGGCGATAATATTAAATCATTTTTACCTTTACAGCAGCCAATGCGCTTTCCCTTCCAGTTCCAGTCGTAACGTTATATGGTTTCGAAGGTGCACGGTTTTCAGATTGTCCAGCTTTAGTCCTGAAATTCAATCAATTTCTAAAACTTCTGCAACCACCTAATTCTTACCATCCGGCGGAAGTCTTCGCATCATCCTTTTTGGTCTTCTCAATCTTACTAGCATCGGCCAACGAAGGGAAAAGAGCATCACTATTCATATCAAAGTTAACAGGAGCCTGCTTCTGTTGATGAGGAGCTTGGTATTTCCTGAAAGCTGGTGGCTTGTAAGCAGCAGCCATTTGCTTGTCGCTGATTGTTTCAGCATGCTCAGGTTCTTCGGCGGCTTTTCGCTCCTAAAATAAAGATGTCCCAAATTTTTTAATGCTATACAGTTTATTCTTACGCTGTTCACCTGTCCCCAAGTCTTTGTTTCGTGAGATTCTCTATCTTCTTGCTCGTTTATCCCAACTTCTTCAGATTCATTTTCTAGTCCCATATCTTTTATTTTAAGTCCTTCAAGTCTGAAAAAATGTAAATGAATAAAATTGACATACGTTCTCAAAATATATACCTTCCTTGATTGCTATCACCATACTCAATCCATTCACTATCTTCCGTATTGGATGTTTTTTCATCATCTCCACGTTTATCCAACGAGTCATCAATAGCTTCCGGTTCGAAATCCTCCTGAAATTTGACAGTTTTATGATGCCCACCGTTTTTTTTGATTTTTCGTATACTTATGACGTTATCGTAATTATCGTAATGATGATGCAACAAATGCTAATTATGTTAAAATTATTCTTATTATTATCATCTCTATTGGAATGTTTATTTCTTTGAATTCCGACAGAATATTGATACTATTTATATCATGAACATTTTCGAAATAAATTTTAATTGAAGTACAAAAAATTGCGAAATATGGAATTTAACATTATAAACTAAAATTCAATGGTAAAAATGAAATAATCATACCTGAATTCGAGCACGTCGTTCCAGAGCTTGGCCGACTTCTTCGATTTTAACGGCGGCCTTCTTCTTCTTATCCTTTTTCTTGGCAAAAAACGCACTTAAATCGTCACTCATCGTGTCGAAATTGCGGAAATCCTGGAACACGAGACTCGATTTGGACGACGAAGTGTATTGATTTGCCACATAACGCGGACAGGTTTAATAAAAAAAAACGGACAAATAAAAAAAGGAATGAAAATGAAATAGGCCAACCGCTACGCGCAGCCGCGACGCCTTGTCGTCATGGCCGAAGTTTCCGAACTCGGCCATTATTTTTTCAGTGGCATTTCTATCTTAAATTTTAAGGTTCTTACGAGAAACAACAAGCAAATTTTTTTTTCATGAATGCAAAAATTTACCGAATAGTTTTCTCTTCACATATGCCTTTTTTATGTTGTAAGCCTCCAATTTTGCGAAGAAAATTGATGATTTAGGATAAATTGTGTTTCAGATCTAGTGCATGCTAGAAGATTCTCATTGGGTTGACGAGTGGACGGCTTCTGTGATATCTGACAGAACCTATTACATTCTTCTGATTCCAAGCTTGATACCGGTCTTCATATTTTTTCATTTCCTAATTTGGCTCGGTAATTTTGGTCAAATATTTCATTCGAATAAATATTAATTTGTTTAGGCAACGAGTTTTTCGTCAATAATTGAATATGGCGAATGTTGAAGCTATTCCCGGATATTTGTCCGGAACATTTCCGACTTTACCCGTTGAAATCAAAGATTACGTGTATGCAATTCTAAAGGAAAATGCTGACGAAATCGTGTCGCTTGAAGAAGTCATGGATGCTGTGGGTGAGCATCTGCAAGCTTCTGTTGAGAATCTTTGCGATGTCGGTACAAAAAATGCCTGCCAGCAACTGCTTAAGCTTCTCCATGGAGAGTAAGCAATTCAGTTTTATTTATTTTATTAAAAAAGCGATATTTAGTAACCTGCCTAAAGCAGTGAAGCAACAAGAAAAGGTTACTAAGCGGCTTGAGCAAACTGTCGACATGGCAGCTGACAATCAAAACTTCCAAGATCTGGAAAGCATTTGGAAGGTTCAAACAAGAGACACTCCAACGGTAGGCATTTTTTAATCGAAAACGTGTATTTCATATTTCTAGATTGTTGATAAAAAGAAGCTAGCAAAGGCTGAAGATCGCGCTTCGGCGAAAGCCGGAGCACGAGCTGAAGCTCCAACAGAGAAAAAGAAAAAGAAGAACGAGCCAACTGCGACAGCTTCACAAGCACCAATTCGAGAATCTGCAACAAGAGGAAATTCCAAAGATATCAAATTGGAAAGCATGGATATTTCTATTGGAACCAAGTAAAATTAAGGAGATTCGTTCAAAATTATGCTAACTGATTCAGGCAACTCTTGTCGTGTGCTGATTTGTCAATGGCTTACGGAAGACGCTACGGTCTTGTCGGAAGAAACGGTATTGGAAAAACGACATTGCTGAAGATGATTTCAAGGTACTTGCAATAGAGAAATTAAAAAAAAAACTTTTTATCTGAGTATTTTAACTTGTTTTTTTTTAGTAAACAGCTCAAAATTCCGTCCGGAATCACATTACTTTCGGTCGAACAGGAAGTGGAAGGTGACGATACCCGTGTGATTGATGCCGTCTTGGCGTCGGACACCAAACGACAACAGTTTATTGAAAAGGAAAAGACATTGCAGCAAAGACTAAACAAGTGAAAAATGCGTTGAAACGTTTTTGAATTGATGACTGTAGGGAGAATATCACGGAAAATGAGAAGAACAAATGGGGAGAAGAGCTGAGCAAGTTGTACGCGGAAATGGAGGCGTTGCAACTTGATAAGGCGCCAGCTCGGGCTTCGTCAATTCTTTACGGTCTTGGATTCACTCCAGATGAGCAGAAGAGGCCGACGAAAGAATTCTCAGGAGGTTGGAGAATGAGAGTCGCGCTCGCTCGTGCACTCTTCGTCAAACCCGACCTTCTATTGCTTGACGAACCGACGAACATGTTAGATATGAGAGCAGTTTATTGGTTGGAAGGACATTTACAGGTATTAAAAACAAAAATTCTAAGATATTCTTTTATTTTGCATATTTAGACATGGGAAGGAACGATCCTCACAGTTTCTCACGACCGTAAATTCTTGAATGAGATCTGTACAGATATTGTCCATTTGCATACCAGACGACTTGATCACTATAAAGGAAATTATGACCAATTCGAGAAGGTTTCCTTTTCGCAATTTTCAAGTAGAAATGCGATTTTATTCCTCATTTTAGACTATGAAAGAAAAACTGACGCAACAGCAAAGAGAATATGAAGCGCAACAGCAACTCAGACAGCACACTCAGGAATTCATCGACAAATTCAGATACAATGCCAAACGCGCTTCAATGGTTCAATCAAGAATCAAAATGCTCGAGAAATTGTAAAAAAAAAAAGATTTTTGAAAAGCTTTTCCAACGAAAATCGAAATTGCAGGCCTGTTCTCCTTCCCGTTGAACTGGAATCCGATATTCACTTCAGATTCCCAGAATGTGAAATTCTCAACAATCCGGTTCTTCAACTTGACGATGTGTCTTTCCGATACAACGAGGATCAACCATTTTTGTTCAGAAAAGTCAATTTGGGAACTCATGCGAATTCCCGAATTTGTATTGTAAGTTTTAGGTTGTTTTTGAGTTTGAAAAAAAAATTGAAATGAAAACAAACTATATGAAAAAATATTTTCGCGATTTTTAGTCTTAAAAATTTTGCAAATAAAGTGAAATTCGATAGGGGGCGGAATTGAAATATTAATGCTCAAAGATTTGCATTTTATATTATCCCCGCATTCTTTTATTTATTTCAGGTCGGAGAAAATGGAGCTGGTAAGACCACACTGCTCAAATTACTTCTTGGCGATCTCGAGCCAACCATTGGAATGCGTAACGTGAATAGACGCATCCGAATCGCCTACTTCACACAGCATCACGTCGACCAACTTGACATGGAGACATCGGCGATCGAAGTGTTGATGAAAAATCATCCGGGAAAAACGCAAGAGGATTATCGGGCAGCTCTTGGAAGATTCGGATTGAGCGGTGAAATGGCTCTTCAATCCGTCGAGACACTTTCCGGAGGTCAGAAGTCGCGTTTAGCTTTTGCCAATCTCGCCTTGGCCAAGTAAGTGATATAAGCATATTTTAAGAAAACAATTTGTATTTTATAGCCCGAACTATTTGATTCTTGACGAACCTACTAACCATTTGGACGTCGAGACGGTCGAAGCCCTCGGAAAGGCTCTCAACTCATTCAATGTATGCAAATCTTGCCGTAAGAACTAGATGTCAACAATCATTTTTTTAAAGGGAGGCGTGGTTCTCGTTTCTCACGACGAACAACTCATCGAACTTGTGTGCAAGGAGCTTTGGGTTGTCAAGGATCGTATGGTTACGACACTCGAAGGAGGTCTCGAGGAGTACCGCAAACAAGTCTACAAGCAGCTCCAGCTTTCAAATTAAATTATTTCTTGTTGTTAATGCATGCGTTGTTTTTTAGTTAAAGGTTTATTTTGGACGAAACGTTTAATCATCTTTAGTAAGAGCACGAGCTTGGAAGATGATGTCGAGGTATTCATCGGACTTGGTGTCATGAAGAATGTACTCGAGTTGGTATGGCTTGTCATTCTGCGTTAGTGATAACGTTTAATCATTTTGTTTTGGGAGGAAGTGCTACCTTGAGAAGGCCGATGATAGCTGGAGTATCAGAGAAGTCAAGCTCGAAATTGACGAGCTGGTTGTTTCCAGGAACAATTGGGCATGGAACTCCATTGGTGCAAGCGTCAAGATTGTTCCTGCAATTGCGTGATTTGCTGAAGCACTGCAATCGACTTACAAGAGTCCAAACGTCGGCACACTTGTCCACTTGCAAGCGACACTCCACTGCCAAACCTTGATGGTTTGCTTGAGATTGGGCGATGTGTACGTCGAACTTGGGTTGTTCAAAGTGGTCCCAATGAGAAGCGGTTCGGTGAGCCTAATAGGATATTCCGGATTTCCGGCCTTATCGGTTGGATTCACATTGGTGACGATGATGGGTCCCTGCGAGACTTGCCACCAGGTCACCTTCGTCTCGGTGGTGTTCGGCCATGGATTGCAAGCGAGCGCCGCAGAAATGACGAAAGCCGACAAAATCGCGAAGCGCAACATTTTCTGAAACGAAACGAAATGGGAAAACTATCGGAATTTGATAGGAACCATGTGCTCGATTGGGTTTTTATCGCATCAAATTTTAACGATAGCAGTTTTTGAGGCTCGCTGATAATCGAATGAGACCAACTAGACAATACAGGGTGTCATTTAAGTTCCCGCACAACTTTGAAGGCATATATTTCTGAAACTAAAAGTCCAAATCAAACGAGACTCGAAATATTTTTTATCTATAGTATAACAAATAATTATCTATTAACTCTTTTTGATTCGGTCTCCTTTCGCAGCTATGACTTCACGGAGACGCTTCGGGTAGGATGTGACTGTGGTACGCAGGTATTCGATGGAAAGATTGTCCCATTCCACCAGTAATGTCTTCTTCAGAGCCTCTACACTTGAGTGGGATTTTGCGTTGACCTTCTCCTGCAAGACCCCATCACGGAGAAGTCAAGCGGGTTCAGGTCTGGGGAGCAAGCAGGCTATTCGGATGACTTGATGAAGTCGGGAAAATGGGTCTGGCACCACTCCTGAGTAGTTTTGGCAGTGTGGGCGGGTGCTCCGTCCTGTTAAAAAACCTATTTCTGCCCACCGAAATGCGTTTTGGCCCAGGGTATCACATGCTTCTCCAAAATGTCCCGAACGTAGACTTCTTTGTTCACTTTCACCCCCTGATCCGCGAAAACCAGGGAGCACTTCCCGGTTGAGCAGATGGCACCGAAAACCATCACACTGGCAGTATGTGAGGCTGGATGATATGTTCTTCCTTTCTCAGAAGCTTGCTGGGATGTCTGGGCAAGTACTCGATGGTTTTGTGAGTTGAATGCCGCCTCCACAGTGAACAGCTTCTCATCGGAGAAGACAGTGACGAGGTGTTCTCCAGACCGCGTGCGAGCAAGAAGTCGTTTTGCTTTTTCGAAGCGTCTCTACTTGTTGGCGGCCGATAGAATTGCCGCTTTTTGGACACGATATTTGGGTCAGTCCAAGCTTCGTTTTGACGATTTGTTCCAAAGCGAAAATGCTCATTCCCACGTCTGACGCCATCTTTCTCATGCTCCTGTGTGGGTTTCGCCTGATCTTCGATTTAACGGCGTTGAACTTCTGAGGAGTGGTTACCGAGACGAGTCTTCCTTATCTGGGACGGTCACTGGTCGTATTTAGTTCCTTGAAACGTTAGATGATGTCGTAAACCGTTCTAAGAGGCACACCGAGGCGTTGAATGATGTCTCTCAGGCTCACATTTTGCTTATGAAGTTCGATAATGGAAGCGCAATGGATGTTAGCCTTCGCCATTTCTCGGAAACACATCCGAATGAGGTGAAACATGGAAAGTAAGTAAAATATACCTTATTTAACAAAAATAAATTGTATTGGTGCACGAAAAGTGCGACAGCCAAGCTCTTCATGGCGTCAAACTTTTGTGCGGGAACTTAAATGACACCCTGTAATTGAGGAATTTCTGAAGCGATTTGTGGTTTCGTTTTTCAGAATCCCAAGGAATCTGAAGAAGTTTATCAATTCAAACCAAGAATTCAATCTGTACAATTATTTATTTGCAACGTCCCGTATATTCCGCCGACAATATGTTCAAATTTATTTAATGAAAGCCCACGCCTGAGCGGTGATGCAGAAGTTGTCTCCGCTGGCCTTATCGTGCAACAGGTACTCCAACTGGTATGGCTGGTTGTCCTTGAGCAGCGAGATGATCTGTCCGAATTGGGTGAAGTCGAGTGTCACATCGACTTCCTGCTGATTTGGAACGATCGGGCACGGAACTCCGTTTGAGCACGCGTCAACGTTCTTGCTGAAAAATGATCGTCGTTGGTCAGAAGTGTTGAACGGTTGTGGAAAACTCACAGAAGGCCGAACGTTGGCACCGACGACCAACTGCATCCTCCCCATCCACCGTACTTCCAGATGTTGACGGTTTTCAGGAGATTCGGCGAGGTGTAGGTGGCCGATGGATTGCTGATTTTGACCTTCATGATCATCGGTGTTCCCAAATGAATTGGGTATTCGTAGTTGGTGCCGGTCTGATCGTATGGCTGCACATCGAGCGCCTGAACTGGCCCGTTGCTGCATTGCCACCAGTGCATGACCTTGTCGGTTCCATTCGGCGGCGGGCAATCGGCGAGGTTCACGTCGACGGGCATCGCGTAAACGCAGCACACCACGGCGACAATTCCAAAAGCGAGTTGGCGAATCATTCTGAAACTCGAGAACGAGTGTGTCGATTGAGCTCGAATGAAAACTTCGCGGCGAGCCCACATTTTTATACGAGCTCTCACGGCTTGATAATCAAAGTTCGACGCGAACTCGCTCGTCCGGCCACGCTGGCTTGCATTATTTTCGACGCAGAGAAAAGAGTACAGAGAATTTTCGGCGATAACAGCGGCCCGAGTTGGCGAATGGAATGGGGTGTCCGGTTCGGTTATCGGTTCGGCTCAGCGAATCGCATGGTCTTTCTGATAGATAGCCGAGGCGGCTATGAAATGAAATCGTTTATGACGATGATGTTTAATGTGGATTGAAACTGCAAATATTTTTAGAAAACACGTGATAAACCGGGCATGTTTTCAATTTACTGTTTTGAGCAAAAAAACGGAAATGATGCCAGTGGAATTTTGGATTTGATTACCAGTTCGAAGTGAAGGTGCCACGTGGCAGATTGGGAGCAGTTCGGAGATGATTGCTTCTTTCAGATTGTTTTGAATTATTTTCTGTATACTATTTGGATACCGTATCTATTTGTTTTGCTGATTTTTCTAGAACAACATTTTTATTAATTCTCACTTAGAATTTTTTCTTGGATTTCTTAGATTTTTATCATGGTAGTTACTAAGCTAGATCGAATTACCGTAGGATTACTGTACCTACCGTACAACGATAAATTTTCGTATTGTTGAAAAATGATTAATGTATCCAATTGTCGTGGGATCCTGCGTTTTGTACGCAATGCGATGATCCAGTTACCACCTTTTCGCGGAGTTTTTTAAATTAAATTTCGCTTTTTTAATTTTTAAAAACTTTTTTCGTGTATTTTCTTATTTCCTTTCGAATTTTTTTTAAAATTTAAAATTTTTAATTTTTATTTAAAACCTGTAGAAATCGATTTTAATTATTAATTTAGCAGAATATGCACCTTTCCACTTGTCCAGTTAAGTTGGGAATCATTGTGAAGATTTGGTCGCTCTAAGAAGTATGGTGAAAATGAAGAATACAAAAACGAGATAATAGAAACGCGTAGTAAGAGCAAAACAAGAACACATAATTTTATTAACGACAAAAAATGTTTTCTTTTAAATCTCTGCGGTATTTAGCAAAAACAATCGCTTAAAAGTGCTTATTCTGCTAAATAAATAATAAAACTTGGTTTCTACACAATTTAAAGAATAAAATTTCAAAGGAAAATACGAAAATTGAGCGAAAAAAAAAGAAACGCGAAATTTAAAATGTCTTCGTAAATCGTGGCAAGGATTACTGTAACTCGCTTATCGCATTGCGTATAAAACGCAGGATCTCACGGAAAAGTTTCACAATAATTTTCCTCCTTCTCTAAATTGATATTTACCCCATGTTTTTTATTTTTTTTTTAAATATTTTTCTACATTAAATATTTTTTCCTTTAGTAAGTAATGAATTTAATTTTTTTAAGGACAAGCTCGATTGTTGTTATTTCGGAAATTCGTCTCATTTTCCATTTCTTGTAGCTGCTATCAAACACTGATAAAACGCACTACAAGTTTAGTTCGAACTCTAATTGTCAATAATTGCCCATTCTGCAGATGAGCTCCGACCATATGCCCAACACGTGTCCGAATGTACCATGTTCTATTATTTTCGGACCCTTTATGTATTTTGTGTCTTATCAACAAAGATCAACAATTTTCGAAACGACCGACAAGTTCCGGCCGCTCTCACTCGACAACAAATTTTCGTTTCACCGAATTATCGCGACTCCCTCGTGCCTTCTAATCATTCATCTGAGCCGATAGTGTGCAACCGTCAAAATCAGCACCAAACAAAAAAAATGCGAATCATTTATGTATGATAAGAATATGGCAAGTTGGAGTTGCGTGAACGCCCACTAAAATGTGCGAGGCGTCAATTTCGAAAATTTCGATTGGCGATGGATGTGAGCAATACTGATCATAATGGTTGAGCGCATTTTTCTTCAGGGGGTTTCATCAAGTATCGATTTAAAATCAAAAAATGGAAGCACAAAGAAACGAAACAAGTATAAAAATGGAGTGGTAAGAGATGCACCGAATAAGGAGAAGCGAAATTGTCGATTTAGGAGATATCGACGACATTGTCGACGGACGTGTTCAAAGGCGCAATGTCGAAAAAGGAAGCGGCGGCGATGGTGACGCCGGGCAATTTCATCACGTTCTATCCGCTTCCGGAGAATGACAAACCGATTCCAGCGAAAATTCGGCTCACGATTGCGCAGAAAATACATTCCGATGAGGTGACGCCAATTTTCCCAAGCGATTTCAAATTACGCGACAAAAATTGCCAAAACAATCCGAATTCGCCGAATTGCCTACACACTCTCGTTTTTTTCTTTTCTTTTTTTGTCCAATCGAAACACTTTCAGGTCGGCTTCGTCGAACTTCGGTATTCGGACGCCGGATGGCAATTGGAGGGCAACGGCGATGCCGAGAATCGACCATCATGGGATACGCTGAAGCAGTTGCTGGATTATTTTTCCACCTATTCGTAATCTGATTCAATTCTATTAATACCCTCCCCCTCCATTCCAAAAATACTTCAGATATTGCGAATTCAACAATGGAAGTGAGGCATCGGGCTCGAGCCATAGCAATATTTCGGATCAGCAAGCCAAGAAGGAGGATAGCACCGTGTTCGAAAAAATCGACGATTTGCCGTAAACCCACACCGACGTTTCTAGTGCTTGAAAGAATTTATTTGAAACATACACGTAGATACAATTAAATCCTGAGTTATCTGCGTCGAACGGTTCCATCCTCGAAGAACACGCCGCCGTCGAGGGCGCAGTACTTGGGGCAGATTCCGCGCTCTCCAGAGCCTCCCGAGTTTCCTGGGCGCCCTGGCTGTCCTGGGTGTCCGTCTGGTCCTGGGCGTCCTGGCTGTCCTGGGGCTCCCTTTGGTCCTGGTGGTCCTGGACGACCGCCTCCCGAGCTTCCTGGGGCTCCCGCCTGTCCTGGGGCTCCGCGTGGTCCTGGTGGTCCTGGAAGGGCGGCTCCACTCGATCCACCGATGGCGTCGCGTCCTGGCTGTCCTGGGGCTCCGGCGCGTCCTGGATGTCCTGGCGCTCCGCGTGGTCCCTTTGGTCCTGGCGGTCCTGGAAGAGCGACACCGCCTCCGGCGGCTGGGTGTCCTGGGGCTCCGTCGGCTCCTGGAAGTCCCGGCGGTCCTGGTGGTCCAGGACGTCCTCCTGGGCATGGCTTGCATGGAGCTGGAGCGGTATCTCGGCATGGTCCAGAGGATCCACGTCCCGGGTTTCCTGGCATTCCAAACGCTCCTGGCGCTCCTGGTCTTCCTGGCTTTCCTGGGGCTCCGGCTGGTCCTGGAGATCCTGGCTGGCAGCAAGTGTTGCATCCGCCGCCGCCACCGCCGCCTCCTCCGGCATATCCTCCGTATCCACCACCGCCTCCTCCGGCGTGTCCTCCATAGCCTCCAGTGTATCCCCCACCTCCGATTGGTCCGGTAGCGTATCCAGCTCCACGAGCCTGACGAGTGCTGTTTCCAGCTGGCACGGCCGATCGAAGATAGTTGACCTCGCTGAAGACATCATCAGCGGAATGTTTGCAGAAGGCGACCTCCTGTGTGAGCCGGATCTTCATTCCAGCCACATAGTTGTACACCATCGGCAGGGTGATGCATACCTAGAAATGTGCAAGACGAAGTAAGTGAATGAATCAGAAGATGGAAAAAAAGAGCGCGGAATAATTACCGAAAGAACGGAAACGACGCAAAAAGCGACGGCCGAGAAGGCGACGAGTCGGTATGCCTTTAGCCGGATGTCAATGTCCATGTTTCCCGACCGGTGGTTGGTTGCCAATTCGGGCAATTCGGCAGCCTTATATAGTCATCTCAACTAGCCAACGCGAACCGTTTAGCGGCCTCCTCCAACCGTCGGTCGGCCATCGTGCCCCCCGTTTTCTCTCTGACGCTCTCCGATTTCGACCTGAAATTAGTCTCTCGATTCTCGGCGATCTCTCGACGCCGTTAGCTCGCTTCCAAAAACGTCTTGCTTACCAGTTTTTTGTTGTTCGTTTCGCCACCCAAGGTCAACGCATTTTTCGGCTGTGTCTCGTCGCCATCGTCTTCCTCGCCGATTTTCGATGTGTTTTTTGAGTGTGGACGCGACGCGGAAAATCAAATTCGGATTATGGAAGTTCGCGAATGAGTGGGTCTGAAAACGGTTGGCTGAAACCCGCCGCTGACAAGTGTGTCCTCGAGTTGTTGATTTCGCTCTTAAACAGTTTGCAATCGTCAATTTCCTATTGTCGATTCGATTCGATCATTCTCTCTTTACGGCCTTCAGCAAAATGATATCATGATTCCGGAAGAAATTTCGAATTTGGAAGTGAAACACACACGATTGTTGTGTGTTTTCTTTTGGTATTGACTGATCTTCCCTAATTCCATTAATCCAGAATCTGAAAACCAAGAAGTCATTTAAAGAATCTTGTTTTAGGTGGCCAATATCATTTAATTCATTGATTCCTCTTGGTGCTGTAAATAAACGACGTGAGACATTTCTTTGAAAATTGAATGGCCGTGGCCGAGAGTTGCAAGATCAACTTAGGCAATGTCTCATTCCACTTCCCAATTTCAATGATTTCAATTTCAATGAATTTCCCGCTCTAATCCTGATTTGTTCCCCCAGCAACTTTCTTCAATGTTGCATTCGTTGATATCGAATTTGTCTGTCTGGGTGGCATGGCCTTAACATTCTCAATTTCGCATTTTCATTTGAGGTCTTTGATCGCTAATTAAAACGAACTGTTGTTGGGATATTTCGGAAAAAAAAGTGACTGCAACGTTTCGAATGAACTTGTTTTAAACTTTGCATGGAATTTGATTCGGAACGTCGATAAAACATTTGATAGGCGATCAGTTTCAGATGGAAAAAAAAGAAGAGTAAGAAAAAAAGAAGGAAGAGAAAAAATAAGATCAAACTAGACACATTTTCGAATGAAACGGCAAAAATGAATCTAAAACAGAGATCAGCTGTGATAAATTTGCAGGCCTTTGAAGGGTCCTGTTGGGAAAATTCTTTTAAAAATTTTAAAAACAAATTGAGAATACTCTATGAGCGATTTGTACCAAAAACCTTACCAAAAACCAGGCATATTTAAAAAATTAATTTTTTTGACTCAAATTTATCATTTCAGTCTTCTTTTTTGAATTCATAACTTTTTCTTACGAAAATTAACTTTGCTAGACAATTTTCGCCGTTTGTTGACTGTAAAAACGTGTCGAAACGATTTTTTCTGGTGTGAATTCAGTTCCGCCAAACCGGATTCTCGCAATTGAAAACTCGACGAACACTCGATTCGATTCGCCCTCTTATCACGATTGACACCTCTTCTCTTGAATTCTTTCAATTTTTTGATGTCGTTGTTGTTGAGTTAACCCAAATTTTCAGGAAATCCGATTGCCGATCGACACAAAAATCGCCGCGATGCATATCAGCCGGTTGACTGCTAAACAAAATGACCTCGACATCGAAATCAGCGCGAAACGAGGAAGTTTGCACAAAATTCGATCGGATGCGATTAAATGACTTCCGTCATTTCTCGTGGGGCTGATGGCGTTCAATTTCAAGGTTAATTCCCCCCTCCCCTCCAAAATTTGTTTTTAATTTATTATTATTGGTTTTCCGAAAAAAATAAAACGAGCGATAGAAAAAATTCGTGACGAGACGCCGCCGGTTGATGTTTGATGCGCGGGAATTCCGCGAGCACGTCCAACATGAAAACTCGATGATTTTTTTAATCGAAATCAATTTCTTCTCACTTCTGCCAAATCTATAGGATATTTCCTTATATGACGCGAAATGACACCCAACAAATTGGCCTTCGACTCTTCAGTCTGATGATCATTTGGTCTGCTGTTCATGAATCTATCAAGGGCGTTTCATTTTAGAAAAAAAATGACGAATAAATTCAAATAGTAACTCAATAACTGTAACTGTTCAATAACTGATTCAAAATATTCAAGTTGGCAATTCCAAAATCTCAAAAATCTTAAATCCTATGAATTCCGACCACTCTGCGCATCTGGATAATCAGAATTTTTTTCCTTATTTGAATCACAGTTATCAAACAATTTTTGATTCTTTTTCAGATTTGTTTCAGAAAATGTTGAAACTCTAAACGAGCTTAATAAAGAGCATTCTGAGAGCTCTTGCAGAATTAAAATTCGAAATTTCAGCTTGTCAGATCGGTTTCTTTCTGCACATTAGCAGTTTTCTAGAGTTTCGAAAATGAAATTGTGATTTCTCTGAAATTCGACGCTCAAAAAAGGAAAGGCCACTCGAATTATTTGTTTTTAAAATTTCTAATTGATATTTCAGATCGTTATCAAAATCGACGCCTTCTGTCCTGTCCTTCAGACTCAATGATCTACTAGTTCGACGATGATGTGATGCGATCACCGAAAAGTGTCAGTCAGGTCATTTGGCGAACTACTTCGAAACCTGCAACCCGCACATTTTTTTGCATGTGCCTTGTCTGAAAATGAAAGACTGCAAAATTAGGAGAACGCAAGCGATGGAATTATATTCTCAACGGTCTTGTGATTGATATTTTGCGAAACCAGTTCCACACCGAATCTGCTAGTATTTTAAGCAGTTCTTTTGCGCAAGCGGAGGCCGTTTCAATTAATTTAATTTTTTTGGTAAACAATTTACGTCCGAATTTCGAATTCAATGTTGACCGACCGAAAGGGGAAGGGAGGGGGAGGGGAGGGGAATCATGTTGTCGTACTTCGTACCCTTATATTTATGTACAAGCTAGTCAATGTGCGATGAGGGCGAACGTGGCCATGAGTAATAACAAAACGGCAGCTCCGTATTCCGAATACCTATCCAGTTTGCGCGCCACCCGTACCAATCGCAATAAGCGCGCCGATTTCAGTAGCCCGATTAATATTGTTGTCTGCAAAAAAAAATCCAAGTTTGCTCTACCGTCTGATCTTTTTTTTAAAGTGAAATCTGTATTTTCAAAATTCTTGTGAAATTATTATTATAACAAGGTCGAAATATTGCGCTAACAATTTTGAATAAAATAATGCTCAATAAATTAGCTTTTTTCAAAATCTTAAACTCCTTACTAACCTGGATCTCTTAGAAATAGTAGTCACACTAAAAATTAAGAATTTCAAAGGTATCTTTATGACCAACACAAGGAATTGGAGAAAAAGAAGTTAGTATTTGTTGTATTTGTGGTGTCTTGGGAGTCAAGCGAATACATAATAGCTTTATCCGGCGCTAAAGAAGGATAGTTAAAACGATTATAAATAGTATAAAAGAGTGGGCGTGGCTACAATGTAGAATAGTGTACAATAGAATAAACCAGTCAGTAGTTTATGAGGAAACATAAAAGTATTCATTCGCGAGACAGATCCTGGATATTTGATCTCACTTTTTCGACAAACTCCTCCAAATCTCTTATCTTCTTGTCAAAGTCCAACATTTTTAGACCAAAATCCTCCTTTTCTTTGCACATCAATTCTAGAACCTCGCCCAACTTGTCAATAAGATTCCACTTCCGAATAGCGTCTTTGACAATTTGAAGTCTTGTAGTCGAATCACAATTATGCAATATTTCGCGAGCTCGGATTGAACGAATAACATTGTCCTCGTGCAAGAATTTGTGCTTGGGATCGCCATAATTCGACATCATAAAATCCAATATTATTGGATGGCAGCTTTCATTGATTCCGAAATTTTCTTCGTGCATGTCGCCAAGTGAAAGGAATACAGCCAAGAAATGGATTTGAACGACAGCATGAGAGATTTCAGTCGTATTAACTAAAAAATCGCATTACGTTACGTACATCAAAATACTATGGAAAAACTAACCTTCTTCAGTCGAGTTGAAGGATTGAAAATCTGCCAACCACTTGCTTCCAATATACAAGATCGTTTTGGATGCAACACAATTCGGAATAAATACAATGTTAGGACCCACTCCAATCGAATCGAGAAGTTTATAACAATAAAGCTCGATGAGATCGAGGTTCCAACGGCTGGCTGAAACAGAATCGAATTAGAAAATAATTCTGCGTTCGAAAAACGAAAAAAAGATTACCTTGACCACATTCTCCGGCGTTGTGGTTGGTTTTAATTCGATATTTGTGGGTAATCGAATTCACTGTGATCTTGCATATCACTGCCGAACGCGTTCCATCGTTTGTTTCTTCGAATTCAATTTCTGGGTTCTGCCCTTTGAACATGGACAATGCGAAGAAGTTTCTTGCAGCATTCTGTATCCAGTAGGTGTGCTTATCCAAATACTTGCTGATTGGTTTGTGGTGCTTAGTGACTGCGATATCGAAGTTTGGATAAACAGTGAAGAATGAAGATCCAAGAAGCAGATCATAAAATCGTTGAGCACTCTCCGCAGAACTTTTTTTTGTCTTTTTTACTTGTGCATTCTTGAATTCTTCGACACGATTGAGATATGCGTTCCAGTGGCCGAGGTGTGAATGCTTCTAAAAAAGTTATATAGTTAATTACTTCAATTACTTAGCTAATTAATAATGGTGTAAAACTCTTTTGAATCTCAAAAATCGTTAAATTTACCCATAAAAAGATCTACGTATATCTAATTTTAAAAAACCTTTAATATAATGTTGGCTTAAACTAAATGAGCAAAAAAAAATAATAACACTTACGATCGGCCAATGTTCATTGACTCATACTTTTTGACTTGACTCATGATTTTTGACTCATAAAAATTGTATCATGATTTTTTATTCTTTGACTCATGATATTTGACTAGTGATTTTTGACTATTTTTTTTGACTTACAATTTTTGACTAATGATTTTCTGAATTTTTTTTTGATTTTTAAGCGCTAAGAGAAACCTTAAAGTCTGCACAAATAAAATTACACATCCTAACAATAGATAGTAAATTTTAAATATAAAAATTCAACTTACCACAACAAGCTCTTCAGCAAACTTGATGTCTTGAAGAGGACGCTCAACATCGGGTAGCTCATCACCACGGAATTTGATTTCTTGAAATTTGGGTAGAATATTCGTCAGACTCTCAATCTTCTTCACCAGGTCATCGACTTGAATCTGAAATTAACGTAAAATCAATTATTATCAACCGTCTAAGTAAAAACCTGTGGATCCAATTCAATTCGTTTGAATAACCTATCTTTCTCTTCACCGACCAAACGTATCGTAACCAAAACCATATATAAAAATTCAAAAAACATGAAAAAAAGAGTCAAAACCTTGCGATTTTTGAAAAATTCGTCTGCGCGACAAAGACGCCAACAATCGATCACTGACACAGTTTGAGTTTGCATTTCAGCTAAATCCCACTAGTGTGAACGCCGTGTCCATCGTTGAGAATCGTGGAAGAAATCGAGCCGATAGCCGTCTAGTTTCCCATTGCAGAAATATTCGGCACCCTTTTGCTTAAATTTGCAAGAAAATCGAAAATAGATTGATATTAAAAAGTTCTTGGCATAACCCTTTTATCATAGAACGATTCGAGCTTGTTTCAACATTAAATATGTCAGTAGTATCAGTATATTTTTTTACATTTGAAACAGTATACTAATTCCATAATTTAGAAGTTAACATTTTTTTTGGCTACAAATATCTTGTTTGATTTTGTGAAATGGGGGACGTTCAGTGAAAATGGATGTCTTCACTAGAAAGTGAATTCACTTCCACCTAGCCTGGAACTCCAAACATGGCTACCTTTTTGTTTTACTTTTTCAAAATAAACCAAGAAGATAAAATAACAACAATCTTATTCAAAGTTATTTAAATTCTTTGGTCTTTTCGACTTACCTTATCAGTATACCATCATCAAATTCTTCCCATAATTCTAGTTCTTTAGATAGCTCATCTTTGTTGTTATTCTGAAGACACACAATCTTGACAAAAATTAATTACTCACATTTAGTAGTTCGTTGAATCTTTCTTCTCGTTAAGCATAATAAAATCTCTGGTCATTGAACACATCTTTCACCAATTTCTTTAAATTGATTTTGTAGTAATGAAACCTGCAAATAATTAATAATCTAGTGTATCAAACAGAATCGACTTACCAGTTTTTACAACAAACAAAAACAATAACAACACAAAAACTGATGAAATTCGTTCTTAAATGCGACACTTTGTTCTTTCATACCTGTTTGCCAGCACCTTCGGAAAGGTATAGGTGTGACCAAACTCATCGAGTTCTAGATCTTACAGATTGCCCACTCTCTTTTTCTCCTTCTGTTCTTTTCTTCACTAGGTACTTCATAAGGAAGCTTTGCTTTCGCTGAATGTCTTTCAGATCCTTTGGTGTGATTGATTTCGTCACTTCCCATCCGTGATTATCATTGTTATTTGTTTTGTTTTTAGGTCTTATGAGATGGAATTAAGTTTAATTCTTAATCTACAAGATCACGAAGATTTCCATCGCAAAAAGCCATTAAATTTTGATAAAGAGGCTTGTTTAATAATTCAATTTTATGCAATTCGAGTGTTTTATTTTAAACCTCAGTCGAGCAATTGAGCAAGGCGATCAATTCTTTATGGAACATCGACGAGAAATATCAAGAACTTTTTTTTAATGGCCAACAGATTCTTTCTCTGAACTCAACGCTTCAAGATATCGGTGTCAAGGATGACGATGAAATTGTTGTAGTAAGTGTTTATTTTATTTTGTTTTATTTTTCTTATTTTGTAAAAACACATTTTGCTCCACAGAGGGCCAACAATTTTTGATTCTTTTTCAGATTTGTTTCAGAAAATGTTGAAACTCTAAACGAGCTTAATAAAGAGCATTCTGAGAGCTCTTGCGGAATTAAAATTCGAATTTTCAGCTTGTCAGATCGGTTTCTTTCTGCACATTAGCAGTTTTCTAGAGTTTCGAAAATGAAATTGTGATTTCTCTGAAATTCGACGCTCAAAAATTGAAAGGCCACTCGAATTATTTGTTTTTAAAATTTCTAATTGATATTTCAGATCGTTATCAAAATCGACGCCTCCTGTCCTTCAGACTCAATGATCTACTAGTTCGACGATGATGTGATGCGATCACCGAAAAGTGTCAGTCAGGTCATTTGGCGAACTACTTCGAAACCTGCAACCCGCACATTTTTTTGCATGTGCCTTGACTGAAAATGAAAGACTGCAAAATTAGGAGAACGCAAGCGATGGAATTATATTGTTGTTTGCTCTACCGTCTGCGCTTTTTTTAAAGTGAAATCTGTATGTTCAAAATTCTTATGAAATTATTATAACAAGGCCGAAATATTGCGCTAACAATTTTGAATAAAAATGATGCTCAATAAATGAGCTTTTCCCGAAATCTTAAACCCCTTATTAACCTGGATCTCTTAGAAATAGTAGCCACACTAAAAATCAAGAATTTCAGAGGTATTTTTATGAGAGACACTTTACTAACACAAGGAATTGGAGAAAAAGAAGTTAGTATTTGTTGTATTTGTGGTGTCTTGGGAGTCAAGCGAATACATAATAGCTTTATCCGGCGCTAAAAAAGGATAGTTCAAAACATTATAAATAGTATAAAAGAGTGGGCGTGGCTACAATGTAGAATAGTGTACAATAGAATAAACCAGTCAGTAGTTTATGAGGAAACATAAAAGTATTCATTCGCGAGACAGATCCTGGATATTTGATCTCACTTTTTCGACAAACTCCTCCAAATCTCGTATCTTCTTGTCAAAGTCCAACATTTTTAGACCAAAATCCTCCTTTTCTTTGCACATCAATTCTAGAACCTCGCCCAACTTGTCAATAAGATTCCACTTCCGAATAGCGTCTTTGACAATTTGAAGTCTTGTAGTCGAATCACAATTATGCAATATTTCGCGAGCTCGGATTGAACGAATAACATTGTCCTCGTGCAAGAATTTGTGCTTGGGATCGCCATAATTCGACATCATAAAATCCAATATTATTGGATGGCAGCTTTCATTGATTCCGAAATTTTCTTCGTGCATGTCGCCAAGTGAAAGGAATACAGCCAAGAAATGGATTTGAACGACAGCATGAGAGATTTCAGTCGTATTAACTAAAAAATCGCATTACGTTACGTACATCAAAATACTATGGAAAAACTAACCATCTTCAGTCGAGTTGAAGGATTGAAAATCTGCTAACCACTTGCTTCCAATATACAAGATCGTTTTGGATGCAACACAATCCGGAATAAATACAATGTTAGGACCCACTCCAATCGAATCGAGAAGTTTATAACAATAAAGCTCGATGAGATCGAGGTTCCAACGTCTGGCTGAAACAGAATCGAATTAGAAAATAATTTTGCGTTCTAAAAAAGAAAAAAAGATTACCTTGACCACATTCTCCGGCGTTGTGGTTGGTTTTAATTCGAGATTTGTGGGTAATCGAATTCACTGTGATCTTGCATATCACTGCCGAACGCGTTCCATCGTTTGTTTCTTCGAATTCAATTTCTGGGTTCTGCCCTTTGAACATGGACAATGCGAAGAAGTTTCTTGCAGCATTCTGTATCCAGTAGGTGTGCTTATCCAAATACTTGCTGATTGGTTTGTGGTGCTTAGTGACTGCGATATCGAAGTTTGGATAAACAGTGAAGAATGAAGATCCAAGAAGCAGATCATAAAATCGTTGAGCACTCTCCGCAGAACTTTTTTTTGTCTTTTTTACTTGTGCATTCTTGAATTCTTCGACACGATTGAGATATGCGTTCCAGTGGCCGAGGTGTGAATGCTTCTAAAAAAAAATTATATAGTTAATTACTTCAATTACTTAGCTAATTAATAATGGTGTAAAACTCTTTTGAATCTCAAAAATCGTTAAACTTACCCATAAAAAGATCTACGTATATCTAATTTAAAAAAAACCTTTAATATAATGTTGGCTTAAACTAAACGAGCAAAAAAAAAAATAATAAAAACACGTACGATCACAATCTCGTCGTCGTCCTTCACACCAATTTGTTTTAATGTCGACTTTAGCGATATAATCTGCTTCCCGTTGTGATATAATTCTTGATAATTTTGATGAATACACCAAAAGGAATTGATCGCCTTGCTCAACTCTTTGATTGTCGTCTAAAACAAACATTCAAATTAGTTAGAACATGTTTGTTAAAAAAAAAAACATCACAAGCGAATGTTATTGGCATCTGACGATGGGATACTCCTTCCTGATCTTGAAGAATGAGAAGCAAACCTATTTCCATTGTTGTGGAACTGAAAAATAAAATAAAAATAATGATTATCATAGATGGAAAATCACGAAAAAAATGCGGAGGAAGAGAAAAAAAGTGAGGAAGAGAGAATAGGGTCACACCTCTGGTAAATGAAAATCAATCGGATTCGAAGAAAAATTAAATATAAATTAACCTGTTTCGATTGAAAAATAATTCAAATTCGATTAAGAAAACGCTTAAATTCGATTTGAAATCTTGGTTTCGATTCAAAAATCTTCGAAATCGATTGATTTATTTCTTATTCTCAATTTTGAAATCGTATTCGATTGAAATTTTGGAATAATTCGAAACAGATTAATTTATATTCGATTTCGATTGAAAACGAAATTATTTTCGAATCCGATTGATTTTAATTTACCTGAGCTGAGGTATCACAACTTGAGAGAACTGAAGGAGAAAGAGAGAGTGTAAGATCTAGAACTCGACGAGTTTTCACAACTAAACCTTCACGAAGATGCTGGATAACAGGTATAAAAGAACAAAGTGTCACATTTAAGAACGATTTGCGTCGCAGAATTCCATTAATCCAGAATCTGAAAATCGAGAAGTAATTTTAAGATACTCGTTTTAGGTGACCAATAGCATTTAATTCATTGATTCCTCTTGGTATGATATTTAATGCCTTGGTTCCTAGGAATTACAGCTGAAAATAAACGACGCACGGCGTTCACACTAGTGGGATTTAGCTGAAATGCAAACTCAAACAGTGTCAGTGGTCGATTGTTGGCGTCTTTTTCGCGCAGACGAATTTTTTAAAAATTGCCAGGTTTTGACTCTTTTTTCGAGTATTTTAAGTTTTTCTCAAAATTTAACAAAGAAGAGCAGCGACCACGTTTTTCGCAAGGCTTTTTTCTATCGAAAATGCTTTACTATAATTCAATCGGATAAGAATTCAGAGATCCGTAGTTTTTTACAGATTGAACTGATGAAATTCAAATTTGTATTCTCTGTATTTTCACTCTTTCGTTTGTTAATATCATTTCATGTTTTATTATATGGTTTGATTTATACGGTTTTGATTGTTAACACTTGGAAAACATTTCATAGTTGTTTAATTTTTTATGGACCTATTCATGCAATGAAAAAAATTAAAAAAAAATCAATTTTTTTCATTTGAATTCTCTATGCACGCACCAGGGCTGTGCGGCAATGGAATTGCCGATTGCCGAAATTGCCGATTTTTCAAATTGCCGAATTGCCGAAGAGAACGTTCGATCGGCAAATTTCCGGATTGCCGAAATTTTGATTTTCGGCAATTTGATATCAAAAAAAAAATCGGCCAAACCAAAATCAATGTCCATTGAATAATTTGGGATACCGTGAAAATTCGGTATTTATATTTCGAATTATCGTTGAAAACATTTAATAGCCCAAATTTTTATTTTCGGCAAATTGCCGAATTGCCGAAATTTCCGATTGCCGCACAGCCTGGCACGCACGTCGAAAACTACAAAAAATTGACGCGATATATCGTAATTCTCCGCTATTTATTTTCAAAGGCGCACGCGAAAAGTTGCGCGAGTCACGTCGCGAAGTCGGTACTGTAAAAACGTGTCGAAACGATTTTTTTCTGGTGTGAAAAAATGGTGAAAAAAAAACCAAACCGGATTCTAGCAATTGACAACTCGACGAACAATCGATTCGATGACGAATAAATTCAAATATTAAATGACGAATAAATTCAAATAGTAACTCAATAACTGTAACTGTTCAATAACTGATTCAAAATATTCAAGTTGACAATTCCAAAATCTCAAAAATCTTAAATCCTGTGAATTCCGACCACTCTGCGCATCTGGATAATCAGAATTTTTTTCCTTATTTGAATCACAGTTATCAAACAATTTTTGATTCTTTTTCAGATTTGTTTCAGAAAATGTTGAAACTCTAAACGAGCTTAATAAAGAGCATTCTGAGAGCTCTTGCAGAATTAAAATTCGAAATTTCAGCTTGTCAGATCGGTTTCTTTCTGCACATTAGCAGTTTTCTAGAGTTTCGAAAATGAAATTGTGATTTCTCTGAAATTCGACGCTCAAAAAAGGAAAGGCCACTCGAATTATTTGTTTTTAAAATTTCTAATTGATATTTCAGATCGTTATCAAAATCGACGCCTTCTGTCCTGTCCTTCAGACTCAATGATCTACTAGTTCGACGATGATGTGATGCGATCACCGAAAAGTGTCAGTCAGGTCATTTGGCGAACTACTTCGAAACCTGCAACCCGCACATTTTTTTGCATGTGCCTTGTCTGAAAATGAAAGACTGCAAAATTAGGAGAACGCAAGCGATGGAATTATATTCTCAACGGTCTTGTGATTGATATTTTGCGAAACCAGTTCCACACCGAATCTGCTAGTATTTTAAGCAGTTCTTTTGCGCAAGCGGAGGCCGTTTCAATTAATTTAATTTTTTTGGTAAACAATTTACGTCCGAATTTCGAATTCAATGTTGACCGACCGAAAGGGGAAGGGAGGGGGAGGGGAGGGGAATCACGTTGTCGTACTTCGTACCCTCTGATAATCATGCACCAATGGCACAAACAATTCGATTTCAAAAAAAAAATGAAGAATTTCATTGATGAACAAAAACATACAAGTCGAACAATTTAATTTTTGTATCATTTTGTCCAAAATTTTGTATATTTTTCAATGTACCCGAAAAGTGATAAATTTCTATGAAAAAAAAAAACATGAAGACAATTTGGCAATATCTTAAAGTTGGCATTTCGAACGATTTAGGATCTCGAAGAGGGAGAACGAACGAGTGGCAAAATCTGACGGAGGGCAAGGAGATCGTTATTACGACATAAAAACAAATTGAATCCTACATGTTATATTCCTCGCCTAAAATCTACAAAATCGATATGATCGAATATGGTCTAAATGCTATAATGTTATTACAAAAATTATTGAGGGGAATAAAACAAAACAAAAAAATCATTATGTCATTGCTGTTTGCATTTTGCGAGGGAAAATTCATCACATTCAACGATACCGGAATATTTTTGGGCGAAATGCTTGATGCACACAAAAAATGAAAAAGAAATAGGCGGCGATTTAAAAGAAAGAATAACCGGGGGGATGGTGACGATGGGCTGTCGAAAACCGGCGGGAATACCGGATTTAAAAAAAAATTAGGAAAGAGATGAAATGAGAAATGAAAAGACCTAAAAAATTGTTTGGAAGAACAATCACCAGGAGGCACTTTTTACCAACAAAACAAATTAAGAAGAAGAAAAAAAAAAACAAACAAAACGGATCCCTGAGTGAGAAATTCCAGGCGGGCTACCCTTATTTGGTCAGTGGTTTGTTGCTGCTGCGCGTTCTGCTATAATAATGTGTCCGAGTCCGATGTCGGCGTCGGCGGCTCATGTGATGAGAGCCGCGAGACTCGCATCTCATCTCCGCCACCGCCGTTCGGCAGACGGAATGCCGATGGCATATAGTTATTCGGACGATGGCGTACGGATTCGGTTGAAGGCACTGAAATTTCACGATTCAATATTTTTAGAAAAAACAAATGTGAGGTGAATAAAATCGTGAGAAAAAATTTGAATTTGATTGAACCAATGTGCTCGAAATTCTCATAATTTCACATCATAATTTTAAATAATCCAAATAATTTTAAACATAAGGAAAAGTTTTCTAGAAAACCGTTAGAAGAACCAAATATACATAAAAATGGCACTTCAAAAAGTCAAACGAAAAAAAAATTAGAAACTCGCTCTCTTTCAGGTTACCGTTTTGGCACACGCACACATACACACCACCAAAAAATTGAAGACTAATTTATTCAGTTAGTCCTAAACTTATAATGATACTATGCAGATTTCTCAAGAGAAAAGTCTTTTTGAAATAAAAATAAACGACAATTTTGAGTTTTTCGAGAATTCTTCCCAAAAATCTGAATAGCACCATATCAATATATTTCATGCCCCACGACGAACACTACACCGAAAAACCGTTCAATTTTTGATTTTGCATTTGTTTTTTTTTGCCGCACAAATTCAAAAAAGAATGCAACAATTCAAGTGTGTATGCGTACTCTGTGCTGCTCAAACGATAAACGAACCTCGAGAGGAATTCTTCGAAAACTTTCGCTGTCATCGCCTACCTTCCGACGTCGACGCGCCGTTGTTCCGACAAATCATCAGCTCTTTCAACATTTTTGTCAGAAATTCCATGTCCGAATTGAATTTGTTTTGAAGGCGATCGATTTGGCTAAAATTGGACAAAAATAAAGTTGAAATTGAAGAAGAAAAAACACAGACGAACCCTTCCATTAAATCGAACTTCCTCAAAAGCATGTTATTCACTCGTTTGCATTCTTCAAGTTCTTCATATGTCGATCGATCTGGAATTATAATTGTATTATATTGTCGGCGACTAAAAGAAATTGGGACCCTCGAATTCGAGAAATTAGAGTAGAATCAAGTTTATCGCTAATTAAATATTAAAATGCGCGTACGCTTTAATGCAATGTACGCAGTTTTGCGTACTTCTCGCACATTGGCACATAGCCAATAATTTTTTTTAAAATTTTGTTCAATCGTTTGACGCCAACTATATTTTTTTAGGCTGAGCTTTTTTTTTTTGATTATTCGCACACGACACCCCGATTGTTAATATCAATATCGTAAATTGTAGACGAGGAAAAAATGTCTAAATTTCCAGAACATAAAATTAATTTTTCACCCAAAACACATGCAATCAATTAATGTGCGATTTTCGGAAAAGATGGCCCCGTCAATTCGGTAATCTCGAATTGAAACGAAAAAAAGAAAGGAATTGCGACGTGTTGATTTACCTGTCTGTCCGTCGCAATGAAATTGGTGTACTCCCGGTGCTACCGTATTCCCTCTCGCAAATGCTCGAATGTCATCGAATAGCGCATCGTCGTCGTCATGCGGCGCGCCGGCGCTTCTCCTCAGAAGTGGTGTTGCTTCGGCGCGCGGCGCGTTGACGGCAGCGTGCGGCGGCGAGCATCGAGAAGAGCCTGTCAAGGCAAAAAATGACATGGTTAGACGTGCAGTTCACAGCAAATTCCAATCCCCATCCCCCTTGCAAAAACAAATTAAAAAGATCGAATCCATTCTTACTTCTCGATCCCGCCGATTGCCGCCGGTCGATCGGATTCGAGTCACACCTCGACACCGAGTCGGTACTCCTTCGAACGGCAACCGCATTATCGGTTGGCGGCGCTCCGCTGTCCGGTGGCGTCGTGTACCTTTCCTTGTTCAGCCACGACGACATCCGCAACAGCTTATGCCGATCGAATCGCTTCCGAAGGCTCTGCGAGTCGTCGCGAAGATTATAGGTGATTGTGAGATTCTTGCAGAACTGCTCGCAAAACTCGGGGTACATGTCCAGCACATCCAGCAGATCGTCTCTGAGGATCTTGTGCAGATCGCAATACGTCAGCGCGCGGACATTGCACGACGATTTTCCGACCTCATCATAAAGAAGTGGGTTCTCTCCGAAGATGTCATCTTTTCCTAGAAGACGCAACAATACATTGAGATCAGTGCTGAGCATCGCATCAATCTTACCTAATATCCCCATGACCGTGTTGTCATCATTTAATATCTCGACACTTCCTCTTGCAATGAAGTACAGTCCAGTCAAAATGTCACCCCGATGGACTAACGTGTCTCCCGGCGGAGAATGAGTCGTTCGAAATCTGGAGAATCATGGATCGATGAAGGATCGAGCCAACGTTGACCAACCTCATGCTCAACGCGCGAAGGCATCCCGGCGAGCTGCCGGCAAACGCCGAACAATTGCTGAGAAGATTGCGATTCAGGTGTAGGCAAATATCGGCCTGCAGACAATCGGGAAACCCTTTCAGCACAAGATTCATGTCGATTCCGTTGGTATACGACCAAGCATGCTGGAAATACTCTTCGAGTCGCTGCCGTAATGGATTCGGAATCTGATGGAAGCGAATGAATTCGCGCAGTCGTGACATTTCGGTGTGATACCTGAAATTTGGAAACAATTTGTTGTTGTGAAAAAAAAGCGTTTTGTTTTTCATTTTCTTTCCAAAACTTAAAGGAACCATCAAACTATGTAATTTAAAAATTGGCTGATTAAGTTAAGCTAAAAAGTTTTGCTGAAGAAATGAGCTATTAGACAGACTAATGAAATGACTTATTAGCTTTTTTAGGAGGTCCGAAAACGCATAAAATTTTTCAAAGAAGTCAATTTTAAATATATTTAAAATTTTCAAAAAACGATTCATTGCACAAAAAAAGATTTCAAAGTGTTTTTTTTTTTTGCCAAAATTTCTGAGAAAAAATCTAACATATTGAAAAGTTTCAAAAACCAATGGATTCACCTCGCAGTTCCGGAATACAATCGTTGAATGATGGCCGACACATTTCCGAACACCGAAGCGTACATCAATGATCCTAGTATCATCATGACAATTGTGAATATTTTCTCAGAGTCCGTTGTTGCAGAAACATTGCCAAAACCTCAAAATGCTCACAATCAACATCAATCAAAACTGCTCACGAAACCTATAGATGTAATAGTGGAAAGTGTGAAATACAAAGAGGTCACATATCGACTTTTCAGCGTCGGTCCGCCTGATGGTATCGTCCCGTTCGTCGAAATGTACGGTTGATTTAATTGCCGCGCTGAAATTGAATTCAACAGTGAGAATTTCGAAAAAAAAAAACAACAACAACAAGGAATCTTACATAATTGATGTAACCATGTGTATTCTTTATGCGCTAACTCGGCACTACCAATTGCATACCTAAAACAGGAAATTTGAGACAAACGAATCAGAGAACATCCAATACCATATACAAGCTAGCCAATGTGCGATGAGGGCGAACGTGGCCATGAGTAATAACAAAACGGCAGCTCCGTATTCCGAATACCTATCCAGTTTGCGCGCCACCCGTACCAATCGCAATAAGCGCGCCGTTTTCAGTAACCCGATTAATGTTGTTGTCTGCAAAAAAATCCAAGTTTGCTCTACCGTCTGCGCTTTTTTTAAAGTGAAATCTGTATGTTCAAAATTCTTATGAAATTATTTAAAAAAAAAACAAGCACCTGCAAGAATTGTGGACCATCGTAATTTTTCTGGTTCAAATTTCGATTTACAGTAAATACTGTAAACGAATATTTTGTTGAATTTGGCTCTTTTTTTTTAAACTGTAATTTAAAAACAGCAAAATATTACTTTTTTTTCCTAAATTTCTCAAAAAATTAAATGTCTCCGTCTCTCAAAATCACACGCTCTCTCTCTCTATTTCTCAAACTCTTTCCTTTTTTTTTCAAACTGAGTTTTTCAAAAATTATCTATTCATTTCATTTCTTGTTCCACTATTATTTTCGGCTTCATAGGATCTCAACCGATCAGCGTTCAAACCTCATCGCTATTCGTGTTGACAAGTAGTAGATCGAACGGCACCGCGGCAATCATGTCAATGATGAACCATCCTTTGAAGTAATGCGTCGCAATTTTGCCGGGATGCGAGACGACCTCATCGTTCTCATTGACGTACGTCGTCCGAAAATTGATGATGATGTCGACGATGAACATGATGTCGACGATCAGATCGACGATCTCTAACGGTTCGGAAAATCTCGATTTTCGGGTCGTGTCTTGAAACTGCAAAAATGCGGTTTGAAAAATTGCAAATTTTCCTTGCGCTCATTTTTTTGTCTTTTGCAACATTACCCCCATGAGACCAATTATTCAACGCCAAGAAAAAAGTGCGTGTGAATGTGTGGCACATTCATTGATTTCAATTCATCATCATCGCCGCCAAACTGCTCAATGATCTTTTTTTCCACTCGCGCGATTCAAATGAATTCATTCATCGACCAAAAACTCACTTCTCTTAATAAAAACGCGGCGACGTAAGGTGTAAATACCGCTGTGTAGATGACGAGCAACAGAATAATCCAGTCCCAAACTGCTTTAAACGGGCTGAAAATTGCAATTTGACGAACACCGCAAAAAAAAAATAAATGCTCCACCTATAATGCACGATAGTACAATGGTGTATTCTAGTCGGCTGTAATTTGTATTCCGGCAGTACATCGGCGCCCAGCGACAGGACCTGAAAGAAAAACCTCATTCATTTCGATTTCAATCAATTGGAGTGATCATTTTTTTTCTTCTGTTCAATAATTTGGTATGACTCGGCGAGTTGAACCTTGTGCGATCCATTCTGCAGCACAATCATCAGCTGCTTCGGCAGATTTGTGACCGTCGCCTGAGCGGCATGCTGCTGTAGCTGATGCGTGCTCGTCGACGCCGCCACATTTAACGACATTTGGCTTCATACGGATCTCGTGGCGCACGTCTACGTCATGATTGGCGCGTTTTTTTTTAAATAAACGAACAGGACACACAATATCTCAATGCGAAGCACGTAGTCCTGGATACACAAAATTTCATTGTTTTTTTTTCTTGTGAGAAGAATAATAATGACGATTACAAAAAAAAAACATGTGGAATGGAAATAATGTTTGTTTTTTTTCGATCTACTAGTTGTTGTCGAAATTGCGCGACACCGAAAGAAATGGTCTCGAGACGCGCCACTTCGACATTACATATTAAAAATAGAAACACCAAAAACGGCGGATAGAGTTGTGAGAAGTGTGTATGTGTAAGTGAATGTATGTGTGTGTGAAACTTTTGACACGACACCCCACCAATTAGTCGTCGTCAAGAAAATTCGATTTTGTTCGCCTGCTCTCGTGGCGCGCTTGCTCGGCTGGTTTTTTGCCTTTTTTTGGTGGTTGGTGTGTGTTTTTTTATTCAAAGCGAACGAGAAGCAAAAAAAAAACGACGAGGAATATGAATCTGGATAATGAAGCCTAGATATACTAGTTGACGGCGTGTTCGTTGAACAAATAATGGAACACGAAGGAGGTAAAGCATAAGGGGAGAAAAAGCGACGAAGAAAATTGCATTGTTTTTGAGCAGGCAAGCCAAATTTTTGAATAATTCATATCGGCTCATGATTCCACATTTTTTTGCGAATTTTTCATTTTTTTTTCTATCCTGCAAGATGAAATCGAACAAAAATAAACCCGAGTTCGATGGGGGTTCAAAAATGAGCACATCGAGCCGGCTAGGCTATTTCAAGAATTTCGCAAGTCGCTTAATCATTCTGAATAACCTATGCTATAATTAGATGGATGATTTCATCTTTTAAGTCACCAAAATCAGAATAGCGTATATTAGAAGCGAGGTGAAGAATGTGAAAGGAGCAAATAAAAAAACGCACGAGTCATAAAACAAGGCGAGTCAAGTCAAGTGTGTCGATGTCAAACTCGACGACATCGTCGTGTTCGGATCCGAAATACCGGACGAAACGATGAGGAGTCGGAGAAGAAGTGTCAGTGGTACGACGGCGGGCATTAGTATAATGAATTATTCTGCTCACGGAGCTCTTCATCTTCATCCCTCTTCCGTCGCTTTCTTCTTCTTCTTCGTTTTCTTATACCACAAACCAAAACCAAAAGAAGAAGGAAATAAAAGCGAAACGAATCGAAAATAAAGTGTTGAATGAAGAATGAAAAATTTTCGATTATTTACAGCGCGATTTAATTTTTGATTTTTTTTTCTCGCGCATCGTTGAATATTGAAAGATGGCGAAAATATGTTACGCTACCAAACAACACCATTCATTTTTATTGAAGCAAATGCAAATTTTGAGTGTTGAACACAAAAATATTGGCATTATTTAGAAATTCGCGGAAATCGGCGTTCAATTAAAAAGAAAAAAGAAAGAAAAGAAAAGAAATACGCATTTTGACGTCGAAAGATGAATGCGCAGTATTTGACGCAAAACTGCAGAGATCACCAAAGTTCCAATACATATTTGCATAATTAATGGAATTATTTTGTTTCGAAATCAATGAGAATCTGACATGGTTTCTTATTGAATTGAAGACGGAATATTCGAAACCCGCAAAGATGTCCGCAGCTGAGACACGACATTTGAAAGCGGAAAATTGCCTGGATAAGAGTTGAAAAAAAAACGGAAGAGTGATGAGTGCCCGAAACGTGGTGACGAGAATTTGTATATGCAACAAATACGTCGAAAATTGCATTCCGGGCCCATTCATTCATATATCGCTATCCGAAATGAAATATTCATAAACTCGGTTTTGCAATATTAATTCGCAAAACGGCCAAGTGTCGGCGGTGCCAAAAACTGAACTGCTTGAAGGTCGAGCGAACGCCAAAAACAACAATAAAGAAAATAGAAACTGGAGGAAACGAAAACGAAAAGAACAAAAATAATGGACGGGTGGAATCCATAAAAAAAAGCAAACTTGGCATACGGCCAGGAGGCACGGCTTCAAACAAGAAAAATCATTGTCCCTATTAGGCGGTCATAATCGAGAAGGGGGGAATATCGCGACGAAAAGCGGAAATTGAGAAACTAATTTATGTTTTCTCATTTTTTTTTAGACTGAAAGGATTATTGACGGTTTTATTTTGAAAAGTAGGGCAAGCAAAAAAAAAAATATAAAGAATTCGATCAAGTTTTGGTAAGCAAAATTAAAATTTGATTTGCTTCAACAAAAAAGAAGAGTAAAAATTCCGATGCGAATTTTAATCTATTGTATCAAATTTCAGAAAATCTTTTGGTAGATCAACACCGAGCGCTTCTAGACGAGGTAGATTTGAATGAAAGAAAAAAGTGTGACATGGCAACGAATGCAAAAAAAAGAGAGTCGGGGCAATTAGTCGAACTTGATTTATATGTGGTGAAAAACAAAACAAAACGGCAAAACACTGTAAAAGGCAAAAATGAAGAAGAACAAAAAGAAGAAGAAGAAGCTGATGAGCGAGGCGAACCGACGAAGAAAATGAAGTAGCGTCATTATCTACGGGACGCATCGTTTAGCATTAAATAGTGTGCGAAACGGAACGAAGAATGATGGCAAATTGCTAATTGGTAAAAGCGGCGGCGTTGTTTTTTTTTTGCGCATCTGATGCTCGCGATGTATCAAATTACCGCAAAAGACTAATGAGATGGATAGGCGCGATCGACGACGAATCGATTCGCCAAATTGCTCGCCGCTTTCACTTCTTCTCCTTCTTCTTCTTCCTTCTTGTCATGCGACTACGGACACAAAACAAACGCTACAAATTAGGGATTCGGGGAAAACAAAAATTATCAGGTGCGATTTGCACGGATAAATTCCTTCTATGAAGTGGGGGCTGAAGTGAAACGAAAAATGCAAATAAATTATTCTTTCATTCTAAAAAATCATATGAAAATTGCGGAAAGAGCTTTTTCAACCAATTGGCGGATTTTCACCAATAAAAAAGTGGGTGAAACCTAAAACATGGCTGTCAACATCGGAGGAGTAGGGGGAAAAAAAAACACGAAGAAAAACGAAAGTGGAGACTAATATTTGTGCGAGCAAAAGCGCGTCGAAGCGGAAAAGCCTTTCAATTTTGCGTGAGCGCGATTTGTGCGCAATTGAGAAGGAAGGGACCCCCCAACACCGAAGCCGCCGCGCCGCCACGTCATTGAAGCAGCGACGACGACGACGGCGATGAAGAAGAAGAAGAAGAAAAAGAAAGTGTTCGAATAAAAAAAGAAGAAGGGATATATACATATATTTGGAGCTAGTCGAGCACAGGTACTCAAAATTGCCGTTGTTGGCTTTAGGCTTCTATTATTCACCCCCCCCCCATTCATTTTGTGTGATTTTTTTTTTCGTTGAATACAAAAAAAAATAGACGAAGTAAAAGGAAATCGGAGGGGCACGCCCGCCGGAAAACCGCCTATTAAAGCGGCGCCAAAACAATTATCGGGGCTAAAAATAATAATATTCAGGTGGGTCTCAGGTGAAAGCTCGCGAATGAGCATGCTATTTCCAGTTAACTAATTAATTTTTGTGGTAAACGCCTAATTAGACATTTTGTTGGAGCACAAAACACACAGAAAATTTGAAAGAGGGCCACGTTGCAAAAAAAAACAAAAACAAAAATCGTTTCAGAATCCGACGACGATCACTGGCCGAATCTTCTCGATAATGCGAGAACATTTTCGAAAAGCAAAAATAGAAATATTGGCGAGACTGCAATTTTTGAGAACGCGAATCTCACAATTACGTGAGAGAATCGAGGCGAAGAAGAAGAAAAATAATATCGTTTGAGGAATTTGCGATTCTGAGAACAAAAATCATTGAGCAAATGCGCACAAATTCATATGATTTATCGAGTTTAGTGGAATTTCTCATTTTTCTCAAAAATCACGTTAAGAGAAACGTTTTTTCTGAAAGAGGAACATCGAAAAATGGTTAGTGTCAAAAATTTGAATTCCCGGCCAAATTTGCAAAACCCAAGAAGCCCGTTGTTGGAATTCTAAGTCGTTATTTGTTTTTTTTTCCTGAACTGGCTCGTTTGTCTAGTTATAGTAGATCAAATAATTCATTTTCTCTTAGCAACGAAGCATTCGATTTTTTTTAGTGTTCGTCTGAAAAACAAAGAAAGACAGCCGAATTCATGGGCTCCATTCAAGCTCGACTTCTCAAACCAAAAACAAAAAACTTCACGAAATGACAGAATAATAAAATGGGAGATTTATGGCTGACACACATAAATTAAACTAAGACACAGAATTCTGGAGAAAAACGAATGGTTAAAAGCAAATTTTTGAGATAGAGAGCGAGAGAGAGAAAAAAATGGCGAGTGATTGGCGATCAATTATCGATTTGGGTGGATCATCGAAAAATTTCGACGCAGGTGAAACGATCGACATTTCGAGAGAAAGGCTGAAGTCTCAAAAATCAAATTGCTGGGTGCCTTTTTCGATTATTGCACGTCGTAATTCGACAACAACGACGGAGGAAGATGATGTGAAGAAGCGGCGAACAAACAAAAAGGGATTTGGGGGAGCAAATGCTCGATTCGAATGAGTTTTCGAGCACACACACACACACTCAATACGTGAACATTGAAAGGATTTTCGTGGAATGATGAAGTCGATCGGATTTTGTTTTGAGCTGATTAGATGATAAGGCAATTAGGAATTCAGCTAATCCTGACAAGAAATGATATTCTTTAAATGTTTCGTTTCTTCTGTTTTCGTTTCTTCACACATATACAACTCACCGCTGAAAACGGGACCGGATCGGCGGATAGCGTCGGAATCGCCATCGACATTCGACGCACAAAGGCGGACGCGCGGCGGCCCGCCGATGCTGACGACGACGACGACGCAATCGCCGCGTTGCGTCGCGTCGACGTCGCCGATCGATGAATTTGCGCCGAGCATGGTCCGCCCGGCATGCCGCCACCGACGGCGGCTGCGATCAGCGGCGACGACGACGATGGCGGCAGCGGCTGGTGCTGGTGCTGCGTCGGCTGCTCTTGCTGATTGTTGAGGCGATGAAGGGCGGCGAGTTGCGATGACGACGACGATCTCCACGCGCCGCCACGACGACGACACCTCTTGGAAACAACATGAATTGAATCAACGCCGACAAAAGTCGTGAAACGAGGAAGCACAAAATAAAAAGCACGGCTAGAATTAGGGAAAAAGGGAATGGAGACCAGGGAAGGCCGAACTGTGTAGTAGCATAGGCTGAACCTAAGCAATATTATTACTATTATTATTATTATTATTATACTATGATTATTAGATATTGGTTACCCTGCATGTCTCGCAAAAAATGCCATGCATAGTATTGATTGTGGTGTGGGAAAAAAACGAACCAACGAGGGCGGGACTCGGCGAACGAAAATGAATCAAGTTCTATATAGTTTTTTTATTGCTTCTGGTGTGTTTTGAAACCCGCGTTGTCCTGCCACCGAATCGATATAAATGTATGGATGTGAGTGAGCATATGAGAGCCGAAAAACTCGACGACGAGTCTCATTATGATGAAAACAATATGCATTACTAATGATCGGACACGACGTCGTCCGAGAGCGACGGCGACGACGACTCGTCGGACAAGCGTCGAATCAATCATTCCTCAACATCCCTCTCTCGCGATAGATAATAACACCTTTCCATGGGAAGTATTTATTGTCCAAAATTGGAGTGCGTCTCAATGTTTTATTGTCGGGATTGCCGTTTCATTTTTTTTTGCGCGTGTGTGTATGACAAAACGAACAAAATGCTTGCGCTTTTAATCAAAAAAAAAGTCAATCAGCACACGAGGGAAATGATTAAAATCGGCGTTGGCTTTTATGACATCACGCAACAAAAAAAAATCGGCTAAATTGCTAGTTTTAAAGCAACATCGGGTTGAGTAGCAATTTTTGAGTAATTGAAAGAATATGAAAGTAGATCAAAATTCTGGAAGCACATTTAATACATAATCACTCAAATTTCATCGACTTTTTTTCTTCAAAACTCTCAAGCCTCATTCTTCAACTTGTGAATTCTACGTGCGATGGACAAAAAGAATCTAAACAAGGGAGGTCTTTTTGAGAATTTTTTGCATACAGATTCTATAGAAAATTTCCAATCGATTAATGTAGGCCGCCACCTGCGCAAACTTTTAGCTGACAAGATATGGATCGTCAAATTTCGACTCCCATGTGAGATTCGAGAAAAACGTCATCTCAAATCAGTGTGCCACATCACTCAGAATCGCTCTAGGACCAAAAACGATTTACAATTTTCGACTATTTTCTTCTACAGTAATCTGTCAAATATGGGTAACAACGAGTTCGAGATTGGATGAGACTAAACATTTTTCGAGAGGGGCCGAATCTCATTCTCATCATTTTCGGAGAAAAAAAAGGACGTGTTTATGACACACACACAAACACAACAACATCGACATACACAAAAAAAGTCCCAAAGAAACACACACCGAAAATGTGTTGATATGCGGTTGTTCACGCGAGCTTACGGGCACGACTCGGCAGAGCTGAGCCCATGTATGCGCGTGTGTGTGTGTGCAAACGCGTGTGCTCTCACAAATTGAAATTTCGTATCCCGTGTACTTGTTGTTCGTCGCCCCGTTTTTTATTCCGGACCCCGAGACGACCCTGTTGTTTCCACAGAGCCACCCCCCCCCCCACTATTTCATTTTGGCTTGTCCTTTCTTCACTTCCTTCTGTCCGCGCGTCCTCACCCCACCCGGCGAGTCATTCTACTCAAACAAGCCTCGTCCTCCTCCTCCTCTCTTCTCATCACCACCATCATCCTCATCATCATCATCATCATCGTCGTTTTTCGAGGAGCACGAGTGTGAGAAGCATTGATGATGAGCATGAGAATTGGCGAAACAAATGAAACATTCGCAATTTTTTTTTGCCGCCAAATTTTTGCACTTTCTAGGATCCGCCCTTGCCGTCGTCATTTTGCTAATTTGATTAGGGTCAAAAGATCGTTTTAAATTGACCCACAAAGAGTCGTTTTTTTTTTTGGAAAATTATCGCATTTTTTTCTCGAACCGATCAAAATTTCATGGGCCGATGCAGACATGTCGAAAAATGCGCAAATTTTGCAAATTACTTCGAAAATAAATTTTCGTTTCAGATTTATTTTTAACATATTGTGAATTGATCCGAAAAAAAAAATAAATAAAATGAGAAAAATAAAAATGATTTATTTTCTTTTTTCGTGCATTCAAATTTTTTCCAATTTTTTCCGGTATAGCCTTTTAATGAAATAATAAAAAAATGTTTAACATTTAAGACAAAAATTATTTTTAATTTTAACAATTTTTTCTATCACATCCTACGTTTTGTATTATAGAGGGAGTCGATTCCCAAAAAAAGGAATTTGTTTTCTTTTTTGGCAAAACGGAATCAGCTCATACCTAATTAGTAACGAATTTTTATTTTATTGTCCCTGTCTACTACACAGTTCGGGAAGGAATCAAATAACTAGAGGAATCGAGAGGAATGAATGAATGTGTCACCTCATCATCGGGATCCTCGTCCTCACTTCGATATCTCGCCGCTGCCGGTTCGCTTCGCGATTTGGGCGGCAAGAATCGCTGTCGCTCTTCGTCTTGCGAATGACAATGAGGCTGGTGCTGCTCCTCCTCGAACACCTCGTCATCGCCTTCCGACGTTTCGATGACGGGCGCCAGACGGAGCAGCGGCGCCCGTCGGCTGCTCATCGGACGAAAGACGGGCGGTGCAGCGGCGCCGCCAGCCGCCAAATACGTCGGAATAATCGGCAGGTTTTGAATTGTGAGTTTTTTGTCGAGGCCGACGAGTCGAAATCGGAGTTCGCCGCCGTCGACGTCTTCTGATGTTGTCGTGCGCGTTGTTTTGTGGTGGTGGTGGGGTGTTGCGCAACGCGCGAAGAAGCAGCGGGTTCGATGCGAAATGTGTCGACACAAATCAGGCGCCAATGTGTTGACATTGGCCCCGAGAAGAGCACCTCTTGGCCGATAATGTGCATGTTTGAAGGAGGACGACGGCGAGGTCTGGCCCCGGGCGGGATGATTCAAAATGAATGGCGCCACATTCATTCTTGATAACTCTTTGCCGATTTCTCTCAATTTTTTGCTCGAGCGGTTGAGATTTGCGCGAGAAAATAACACAAACAACAAAAACAGGTGCCGTCTAGGCGAAAAATTCCAATCGAGAATATCATTCGCACTAGTAATTATGGTTTATGAAAAACGAAATTTGGGGGATGTCTGCGAGGACGATGTTTCCAATACAAGTGTAGATTTACGGAATATGGATGGATTAAAGGCGCACACAATCATCACACAAAGAGTGCCAATCTATAAATGCTATTCCACTAATACTTATTTTTTTTTAAATCTTGAAACAGAAATGTCTAATAGTCTTTAAATTCTACAGTACTCTGAAATGCTGAAAATCGCAATTCATGTTTTCTTTTTTTTTGGTCTGTTGTTTTCCCCGTGCCTTATTAATTAGTTTTGTTTGTTTGGCGAAAATCGATACAAGTCTGAAAGGTGAGCAGTCAATTGTAAGCTTAGCGGTATGAAAACGAATGAAAATTGATGGGTTTGGGAGGAAGCGTTTCATTCGAAAGAAACACACCGGAAGCTCGAGAGGCAATAAAACAAAAAGTTGGGTTTCGAATGGCAAAATGAATCGGTTGCAAATAATTATAATTATTATAATTATATTGGATTCTCAAAAAAAAAAAAGAACAGTGAGAACAGTGCACCGAAATAGCGATATTCGGATGTTTGAGATTGGTTTTCGGTTCGACCAATCCATTTTTTTTTTGTTCGGAGCACCATTCCCCTCCCCTAATGCTCAAATTTCACCAATTATGAGCAACGTGATATCCTGGAATATTTGTCGACTAATTGAGCGACACGCCGCTGACAATTTTCTGAGTGTGTGTGTGTGTTTTTTTTTGTTCGAATCATCCACCGAAAACTCGCAAGATTGATGATGAATCAAACCAATTAGCGATGCTCGATGAAAAATGAAAATTTTGAAACAAATATGAATTGAAGAATGAGTAATGAAGATCTAGGGAATTATTACGATAGATGCTCTCAAATTTGCACTCTCCGAAATTCACATAACAATAAACCAAATGCCTTTTACATCGGAGAAAAATCCCCCCCACCTTTGCAATCTGAAATTTCTCGGACAGAGATCAGACCGCCGACTAGAATAAATCTGGGTAGAGAAATAGGAAAAAAAAGAGCAACTAACATGTGCAATATCTTTGACGGGTTTCGCCTTCTTGGCGAGCTCCTTCAATCCGAGCGCCGTTTCGGATATCGTCGAATCGCGTGTGACCAGCGGTTTTCGCGACGAGGCGGTGATCTCCGAGAACGGCGACGGCGATAGCGGTATCGTCAGCATCAGCGGATCAAGCCCATTGTTTTTCGGCGCGAGTGTCGTCGTTTCTCCCGGTGGCGTCGGCTCGTCCTCATCATCCGAATAGTCGATCATCGCTAGTTTGATGCTCATCACAGTGCGGGGAGCCGTGGTGCGGCGCGGTTGGCGAGCCCCCGCGCGATTCACACCGATCGAACGCAATGCCGCCTTCTTATTATAATGAAGATGGCTGATGAGGTGGCGTGTCGGATGCTGGAATAGTGAGCCGAAACGCGCTGCTCGAACAACTATTGTGTATAGGCGTGAGTGTTTGTGTCTGCGTCGCCGCGGCGCGCGCGGGGCGACAGCCCGCCACCAAACAAAAAAAAACCGCCGGCGTTGCTAAGCAGCCGCGCGGGGCTCCGAAGACGAAAAGCCGCCGCAGCTTGTGGTGCTCGAAAATTTTTCGAAGAATCACCACCAACAACACAATCATCAATAGCGTCGTGAGCTGCCACATCTTGAATTATTCACCATCAATTGGCGACGTGTTAGAAAGTTCACCATGGCGACTTCGATGTACGCCCTTCAAACACAATGGCCAAGTATGGTATGAATATTGAAAGGCGTCTGGTGACCGGGGCACACTGCCAACCGGCTATTACATATTAACAGCAAGCAGCACACGTTTCCATTGTTCTCTCTTTTTCATTTCCTCGTTGGACCTTCAGACGTCACCATTGATCCATGAGTGATCCGAGAAAAAACTTGAAAATATTATTTTAAAAGCCTCTGCACACATAATAATGGCCAAAGAATGACGTCAAATATTCAAATTTTTTGGCGGCCGCACACAATTTTCGAACGTTTCCTGCTGAACCATTTATGGCTGGCGATTTCTTCTAAATCCGGTTCCAAATAAGTGGGGGGGGGGAGCTCATGTGAAAATGAGGAGTGTACTCGATTCTGCATATTTCAGCATTCCCAAAAAACGAGTTGCTGAATTTATCCGACTCACGTGGCCTCTTGAATTTGATGACGTCGCATTAGAAAAAAGAAAGACGAAAAGCGACGACAACAATGAGGCGATATTAATAATTGCGATTCGTATTGAATGTCTCATGCTCATTTTTTCGAGAATTTCCCGAATATTAAGACCTTTTCCAATTATTCGAATAGAAAATATCACGTGAACAACGGCATTCGGAATGATGAAGAACATATTCATTATTTGCCAAGAAATTGAGCAGATCTAGACAAAATGGCGCAAGATGAGTCAAAGTTCAACTCGTTCAATGTATTCAATTCGAGATTATGATTTGATGCAGACGATTGCAAATTATGCGCGTCGCCTTGTTCAATTTCAGAATGCCAATGTCTGCATCATTGAAAAGACGGTCAGCATTTTTTTTTCAAAGAAACTTCTAGAAATGGGATTCTCAAAAGCCGTCACGCTCTAATGAGCACAGGTTTTAGTAGATCAAAGCTAGATTTGAGAAATAAAACCGTTTTTTTTTTTTAATGTTTTAGACCACCTATGAAAACTCAATGGCTCACACATAACAAAGAATGAATAATATAGAATGTTGGAATTTCAGAAACATTCGATTTGGAAACCATATTCAACTCTTATTTTTTTTGGAGAGAAGAGAAAGAAGAAGCCGCAAACCTGAATGAGAAAAAAAAATTATTTTCGAAATGGAATACGGCATTTGTCCGCAGCATACATGCTTCACTTTAATTCCGACAAGACGGGAAAAATTTTTTTTTTCAACTTTGTCTGGTCGTGTTCTTAAATTCTCCTACAGCATTAGAATTTGATATGATCAAGAAGGCAGAACGCTTAATTGTGGAGAAATGAAAAAAAAATGAAAATCAGGCCATTTTTTGAGGATCGTTGACGAACTCTATCAATTTCCCGATCATATTGACATATTTCGTATTGATCATTTTCATTGTCTTAAATCAAACTAACCCCTAATGCTGACACATTGTGCATTCGACTTGTCCGCCGCGACGAGTGCGACGCGCGCGGTCCACCGGCGCCCATTGTGCCGCTCGGTCCCGGCGTACCAGCGCCGCCGCCGCCGCCGCCACCCGACGACGACGATCCGCCGCCAGTGGCGCCACGCGTGTTCCCACGCGTATGGTGCAACGACGGCGGCACGAGGGCGGCGGGCGGCGTGAACGTGAGCGATGGCGGCGCGCCGCACGGCGAACTCGACTCGACCGAATCGCGTCCGAACACCGCCGTCTTCATCGCTGTTGATGGTGATGATGGTGATGGTGATGGTGTGATTGGCTCGTCCTCGTTATCGTTGTTGTTGTTGTTGTTGCTAAGTGGCACCCTTCATTGTGTCTATACGCAATTTGGGCTAGCTGAATGATTCATCGTTCTACATTGAATACAATTTTTTGAGCGACGAACGAATTGGAAAAGAGAATTCGAAGAGGACGGTGTAATGAGATGAAGCGAACGAAATAAAAGTGCGTTCTCAATCAAGTTGTCATCTGGGACGATGTTTGATATGCTAGTTATGAACTATTAAAATTCGAAAAAATGCTCGGCGCAGATTATAGTTAGTATGTGTGTGAGAGGAACCAAAAAAAAAGAACGCGGAAAATTTTAATGCACCCCCTCCAATCCGAAAAAAAAGAACGATATAGTTTGATTATCTCGTGTGGAATCTCGAGTTCAGAAGTCGTCAAGAATTGTCCGAACTGAGAGAGAGAGAGAGCACTCTTGAATATCGTGGGAAAAAAAATTCAAGTTGAATTATACTACAAGTAGAGAAACAACAAAACACCAGAAAGACCAGTTGCATTAGTTTGTCGTGTCGAGACCAAAAAGGTGGTTACGGTAGAAATTTCGGACGAGAAAAAAAAGAACAAACTTTGCGTGTGAAAAAAAAATGTATTTCTCGTTCAAATTCGCACTGTTTAGCAATTTTTGGCAAAGAAAAATTCATTCAAAATTTGTTGGGCTTCAGAATTCAGAAGCAACTGCCAATCGTGTTGAGACCCAAAACCATTTGTATTTCTAGTTGTATCAAATGATGTCGATTTTCGATGAAACAAACATAATGCAATTGATTGAAACGAAAAAAAGCAATTTTTGAGAAATTGGTTTCGAGAAGGAATTCGACACAAAAGTTTTGGGTCCCGTAAAATGTCCGTAGATGGATTTGGGAAAGAACAGACGATTTGAGCACGCTCGAACGGCCGCCGCGTTTTATTCATGGTCTCATGAAAAATGGAAACAAAGCTTCATCTTCCGGCACTCGGCGAATTTTTTTTTTGTTTCGTCGTCGTCGCCGAAATTTGATACTTGTCAACACCGATTACCTCGTTTGGCAAGCCAATGGTTCGGCCACAACAAAAAGCGACAAAATTAGCAAAAAAAAAGAGAGAATCATGTGAGAATGAGAGAGAGAGACCTAAAATCATCGAATGAATTACTAAATGAACAATAATAATAATAATAATATAATTAACGGTTGCTAGGCGCTTTGTTAATGATAATTGGAAAGTTGGCAATCAATGAGGTCCGGAAATCGGCAACGTTTTCAGAGGTCCCGGCGGCGCACACAGAAGTCGCTCATTTTCCGGCCCCCACTATCGTTTTTTAGATTGCTTATTTAAAAAAATGGGTCTCGAAGCGAAAAGCGAAACTCGGTCGCTGGAACACAAAAATTGGGCGATGAGAAGAAGAGAAAACTTGTGGCGCATTCAAGCCTAAGCAAGAAAAAAATGTACCATGAATCGCGGGAATAACTAAACATCAAACAATGTGCTAATGGGCTGCAGCATATAAGAGGAGGAGAAAAAAATGTTGGCGTATTTTTTTTTTTGGGAAACCGAGAAGAGACGATGGCACCCGATGCCTTATTATTCGAATGGCATAGCAACGAGACAATGCGTCTCGAGCCATTATGCACTTCTATCAAACAAATGAGGAGGACAAACTTCGCCAAGATCAATTATGAATTGGCAAAATATACACGAATTTGATTCGAGTTGGGTCGGATTTAAATGGTCCCAAGTTGAGATGAGAACCATGACAAACCTAGCGAGACGAGAAATGCACTTTAAGGGAGGTGCAGCGGGCAGGATTGGAATTCGAATCGGGCTGTTGGCATCCGGTTCGAGCGACGAGGAGGGTCCCTTCCAATTAAAAACCGCAACATACGCATACATACACACACACACAAAGGTGGTGTGGCTGAGCCGAATTGCAGGAATGAATGAATGAATGAACAGAAGGAAGGAAGGAAGGAAGGAAGGGGTGGGGGGAGGGGACGGCAGAAACGAAACACGAATGCTAGCTCGAGCGCGCGAGCACGCGGTCGTCGCAACACGAATACATAGAAGTCGAAAAAAAAACAAACAGCGCGACGTCGCCAATAAACAGAAGAAGCCGCGCGACGGGCGAAAATCATGAGCATGATCTCATTAAATCTGGAGATGGAGAAACAGACAACGGACCATTGCCGGCGTCGAGGGTACCGACACACACACACAAGGAGGCAGAAGCTTGACACTCATTCGAAACGCGTTTGCATTTCAAATTTGTCGCCATCAAACACCTTTGGTAATTCGTGTTCTAACTTTATTCGAAATTCGAGAACGTACGGAATTCATCAGAATCGATATTATGAGTGCGCGACAGGTGCAAATCTCGAGTTGTAGTAGGGTCGGGTGGCGAGGGCAGCGTGTGCACAATTCGACGCTTCAGAAGCGGCGACGATGGCGGTGGTCGCGGAAATTGAATGTCTAAAATGAGCAAGACGGGCGGGGGCAATAGTTTCTCACAAACATTAGCACAAACAACCCTATAAATGGAATTGATATAGTCGGCTTCTTGAAATGTAAAAAAAAACTATGAAAGTTGCTGGCCATACAAAACCAAATGTGATCGTTCTCGGAAATTTCAAATATTTGAAGATACTAGTTGAAATATATTAATTAATTCAGAAAAAAAGATAATTTGGTTTTAAAAAAATATCCGAAATCGCCTCGAAAATGTTATTTTCATACAAGACCCAAGAAAACAAAATTATGGCAAAAAATCAATTTTGTAGCGAACCCACGTTTTTTTTTAGAAAAATCAAACAATTCGAAGATGATTCATTGTAACAAATTGGCATTGGATCGCCGATTTTTTTTGGTGAGAAAGCCGCTATGCGACTCATTAGCAGTTAACTAGTCATCGAGAATTTCGTCTCATCTCCCCAAGGAGCTCAATGGTGCCGTTTAATCAGGCCGCCACAAACTCGGTGCATATGAAATGAGTAATATTGATAAATGAAATGGACGAATGAGAAAGAGAAAGAGAGAGAGAGAGAGAGTCTCCGGAATGAATCGCAGCACAATATGTGTGTGTTCGGATCCGAGTCGAGTACTTAACCGAATGAGTTTGAGAAAAAACCGCCCAACTTCATTCTTCCTCACACCACATGTGGGAAAACCAACCGCGAATGAATTTTGAGCCGAGCCGAGCCGAGCCGAGCTGTGGTGACGCTCACCGGCCGGCCGGCCGGCCGGCCCCGTCCTGCGACGGCAGCAGAATGAAAATTAGTTGGCATTGAATTCAATTCGATGAGTAAATAAATAAATACGTATATATATATAAATAGAGGGAGCTTCATTTTCGAAATGCTCCCTTTTTTTCCCATCTGAAACGCATTTTCAGCGCGTTCGACGGAGGTGATTAGTTTCGAAGCGACACACAATTCTTCGTGTTCGTTCGTTTTTTTTTTGCGGCATCGTTGAAAAATTGCCCGACAAATTTGATGAATTGCCTCTTGAGGTCCATCATATGGACGACGGATCCAATGATTTCGAACAGCGAATGAAGCGAACGCCAACGTGTTTTGAATACCAATTTCAAAATGATTTTCAAATGGGTCGGGCTCGAAAAAATGAATGAGCTAAATGCATATGTTCGAGACAAAAAAAATCCAGCACAATTGCGAGAGAATAATTATTACCATCGCAACAAAAAAAAACGCGATAATTGGGGACCATCTCGCATTTTTAGGGCGATAATTCAAATTTAAATAATGGGAATTCGGCTACCGAACTACATAAAGCCTGCGAGTCAAGCACATTTTTTTTGCAAATAAAATTTCCGGTCACAAAATCGGCGAAAAGAGATCACAATAACGAAGAATGAGCAAAATTGTTCGAGATTCATCAAGAATTGCGGGTTCATTCGATTAAAATGGGAATAACATCGAAATTCAACCGATTCGAAATTTTGAATTGCGCGCGCACACTACGTTTTTACAGCAACCAGAAATTGGTGGCAGTAGTTTATCAACAAAAAAAAAATATGTCTGCGCCAAATCGAAATAGTCTCAAATATATACAGATTCTGAATACAATTCTCGAATCAACACTTAATTTCAAGCTTTTTAAGCGAATTTGGTAAAAATTTTTTAAAGTTTTGTCAAAATTTCATGATTCAACCACTTTGAGCAAATTTATGTTTCGAAAAACCAAAAGTTCATTGACTTTTAAGCAATGGATGTCAGTTTTTACCATTACTTTAAAAAAATATTCGAATAATCTGTGGGTTGGCAAGCAATTAAAATAAACAATACGAACTGTATTGATGCACAAAAAGTGCGTCAGCAAGCCGCACCATGGCGTCAAACTTGTGTGAGGGAAATTAAATCCCACCCTGTAGTCTGTTTTCCAAAAAAAAAAGAAGACTACCATAATAATTGAATATCGGCAGACGTTTATTCGTCGAACTACAAGATCTTGCTGCGAAAAATTCTGGAAGTCGCGTTTTTATAGGGAAGATATGTAGATTTTGCTTTTTCAGCATGTTTTTTCTGGAATCAGAAAATCAGAATCAGAGGTCTCGCCACGACCGACAACAAAATATTTGGCAATGGTCCAATGAGTCGTTTTTTTTTTGTTGCCTATTTATGGGAATGATCGACAAAGTTGAAAGTGCAAGCTAAACTTTCCATCAAAAATGATTCGTCATTCATCATATTGAAATAAAATTTTCATAGGCGGGTTGGGCAAATGACCACATTCAAAAAAAAAAATTCAACGAATTCATCGTACAAAAAATTTGCGATATTCGAAGAGACCAAAAAATCGGCGCGAATTTCGAAATTTTCAATGCTCACTTTTCGCATATCGACACAAAATTTGTGTCGATTGGGTGAAAAAAAAAAACAAAAACAATAACAGAGAGAGAGAGAGAGAGAGAGAGAGAGAGAGAGAGAGAGAGAGAGAGAG